TGTGTGTGTGTGTGTGTGTGTGTGTGTGAGATCCGATTTCACCGGCACATCTGGAACTGGAGAAACACAAGAAACATCTTGAAGAACGAGCTCTGGTTTCAGAGGGTTTTCTCTACGCTATAGTTAAAGAGCAGCACAGGAACACACACTCCTAAACACACAACCACTCGCATTCATTCAACCAAACACAACGAGCATTCCTGTCAATCAGCGACACAGCGGCTTTGTTCAGTTCAGCGCATGACTCACTTCACATCAGAATTCACTTAAACTGAAACACAATCCCACCCGTTCATATTCAGATGAATGCCATTCCCATAATGTCAGACTCCCATTCAAATTCACTATTCGACATTTCATTAAATATTCAACACTATTATTGATCTCCTGCACTGACAGACAGCATTATATGGGAACTGAGCTGGATGATGACATCACGGTTTACTACAAAGTAGGGATGGGCAACGATTAATCGCGATTAATCGCATCCAAAATAAAAGTTTGTGTTTACATAATATGTGTGTGTGTGGTGTGTATAATTAATTTGTATATATAAATACCCACACATGCATGTATATATTTAAGAAAAATGTGTTATTAATATATCAAATATTTATATTTAAATATATTATATTAATTGTGAATAAATATATATAAAATAAAGACATGCACATATTTCTTAAATATATATATACATGCATGTGTGGGTCGCGATTAATCACATCCAAAATAAAAGTTTGTGTTTACATAATACTGTATATGTTTGTGTAGTGTGTATAATTAATTTGTATATATAAATACCCACACATGCATGTATACATTTAAGAAATATGTGCATGTATATATTTTATATATATTTATTTACAATTAATATTATATATAAATATAAATATTTGATATATTAATAACACATTTTTCTTAAATATATACATGCATGTGTGGGTATATACACACTACACAAACATATATTATGTAAATACAAACTTTTATTTTTGGATGCGATTAATCGCGATTAATCGTTGCCCATCCCTACTACAAAGCGACTATATATAATAAATGAACTAAAATAATAACTTTTTTACAACTAATCACTGATCTTACTTAAAGCTGCAGTCCTCATTTTTTCCTCTTTGTTCGACATCTGCAATTGCAGTCATTATCAGCTTTACGTGGGTTGTGCCTCGGCTCGGCACAGCGCGGATGAATACGATGTTTTGAGGAGTGTGTGCAGCTGTCAATCACCACCGGTGTGGATTACTGGCGTTCGCAATCCCAGATTATACTTTTTGGAAGTGACCAATGTAATAATTTTCACCCTTAAATGTAATCTGAACAAATAACTACTTCTGTTCTGACCAACAGCATTGCAGTAAATCACACTGATTAAATCTAACGATCGCTTATTATATCACGTCACGTGCAAATTATACTTTGTTCTCAAATTTTTAATGTCCAACATTAGCATTGTGTGACTAGACCTTCAGATATTTATCTGTGTTTGACAGTACTGATGTGTGTGTACACTTGTGACGTAATGACGCAAAGACAAGCACAAATTTCCCGTACAAATCCACAGTACTGGAGTTAAAAACATTATTAGCTTTTTGAAACTACGGCAAGCAGAGAGTTTCGAACACTGGCGGCTGGTTATGTATTTGCTCAAATTAAAATATTTCGGATAATTTTAACCCCCCAAAAAACTTACGGACTGCAGCTTTAAGCTGAACCGTGATGCTATTTTCTTCTGGAAATAAACTTTGTTGCATTATGTTCCTGTTATCTCTGTAAAGCTGCCTTGAAACAATCTGTATTGTAAAATAAAGCTGACTTGACAAATCTGTGATCTAACGTTAACACTTTCTGGCTGTTTGCTAGTTTTGAGAATCAAAAATCCTCTGATGATAACCCACAAATCTTCTAATACGGACGGAGTCTGACACCCAAAACACTCATTCAATCACTGTATCTTGTCATGTGTAACGGGATGTTCCGTTCTTCTGAAATCTCCAGGCTTTTAAACATCTAAAGTTTGATTAATGAGCTCGACCCGTGACGAACATGATCCGGATGATGTGTTTTTACACCTGCCGATCGAACTCAAACACAACCTGATTGATTCGCTCAAGTTCTCAAACTCATTTAAACTTTATCTCGATAGTTTCTCTTCTATCGCTCGAACAAACGCAAACGAGATTATGTTGGTCATCAATAAATAAAGTAAATAAGCTGTAACTCACCGAATGCGTCCGCTGGACTACCGACTCCGAGAGACTATTGAGAAACTTCTAATGACACCGAATGAGTTGAATTTAGAGATCCGAATCAGTTTGGTGAATCGGTTCGCTCGGAAAGTTTATTCCAACACTTCAACCAACTCTCAGCGATCTTTGTGAATCGATTCAACTGAATCATCAAAATGAGCCGGTTCAAGTGAACAATTCGTTTGTATTACCACTACCAGGACCGAGTCACTTTCATTTCCGTAGGGGGGCGTAATGATTGATCATCTCGTACAAACTATCAAAATACTCTACTATGCTATTTTTATAATCGCATTACTGTGTTATCAGTATTTGATGTGCACAGTATAATAGACTGAACAGCAATTAAATCAAAAGTGCACGTGAATAATCTCATGTAAAATGGTATGAGCCAAGTCATTGTTGAGAGTCCATTGACCTGTGAGCCTCAAAAACACATCAAAACAAACCGTTGGAAGCTTCTTCAAAGTTTCCCCCACATAAATCGAAGGTTTAAATGGGTTTCCTCCACAATAAAGAACTATGAGAATGTTTTAAGGACTCCCATTCAATTGAATCTGACCAAACAGACACATAACTTGTTCTAGCTTCAGTTCAGTGCCTGTTTAGACGCGTTTCTCTCCGGTAAAGCTTTGCCAGTTTGCGGTCTCTGTTCTTACTCATCTCTCACTCTCTATCTCTTCCTCTCTATTGTTGAACTTGCCCAACAGTTATGATGCTTTGATAGAGGAAGTGGGTTTCTTTCTGAAGTTTATGTGACATGAGATTCTTTAGTAATGACGTCAAGTGGCATCTTTTCCATAATGACTGTTTAAATATCAACCACAATCATGTACCATATGCAGCACTCACTAGCTCACAACCCAGAAAATAATGCATTTTATCATCACAGTACAATAAGAGCTTGTGGGGGTTTTCGGTCTTCAGATGGTTCCAGTGACCCCTATCCTGGACTATAATTATGTTAAAGTAAATACCTCATTTATTCTGTGTGATATATATATATATATATATATATATATATATATATAAATTCTTGGAACTATTGTGCTGTACTGTTAAATGTAATATTTATTTATTTAAATCAGTTTGTTTATATCAAATGTTTTAATTCTAATGTTATCATTGATAAGAACGAAATATTAACATTCAATCAATAACAAAGTCACTTACGTCTCTAACGTTTGGTATGGTGGTGGCCAAAAGGGTGATTTTGATGGACTGGAAGTCCATTGTACCACCCAGCTTTCATAAATGGCTGGCTGAAATGGTTGCTGCCCTTAAGCTCGAAAGGATTCGTTTTTCTAAAGCTGATGCCTCTAAAAAATTTGATAAAATCTGGGGCCCCTTCCTTAAGTATCTTTCTAAGAATTGAAATATCTTTGGACATGTATGTAATATGGATGACTTTTTTCTTATTTCATCTTTCCATTGTCAATTTATATTTTATTTTATTATGATTTTTTTATTGCTGTTTGTTTAGTTTTATTTTATGTATAACAATCTTTCTGTAAACATTTTTGAGATTTGGATATGTTTTGTGTACAAAAAACTGCTACAAATAAAATTATAAAAAAATAAATAAATAAATAAATAACAAAGTCACTTACACATTCCTGTAGCTCACTGTAGATCATTGCGCTCGCGACATCAAGGCCATGGGTTCGATTCCCTAGTGATGCATGAACTGGTTATAAACCTTGCTTTGGATGAAAGTGTTATTCAAATAAAAGTTACAGAAATTTCTAAATAGTGCATTTTTACCCATCAAACCCTATCAATCACCCAGAACACCCTAGAAGCAGCCTAGCAACCACCAACTCTCAGAGTAACTTAGCAACTGCAATCACTCAAGGTACAATGCCTAGCAACACCCAATCAACTTAGAAACCACCCAGAACATACCACCTAGCAACCTTCCAGAACACCAAAGAAACTGCCTAGCAACTACCTAGAACACTCTAATTACCAACCTTCCGGAACACCATAGGAACTGCCTAGCAATCACCTAGCAACCATCCAGAAGACCCTAGCAACTCCATAACAACCACCTAGCAACACTAGTAACTGCTTAGTAAGCACTCAAGGTATCATGCCAAGCAACCACCCAAAACACCATAGCTACCACCTAGTAACCATCCAGAACATCAAAACTACCAACTAGCAACGCCCTAGCAACAATTTAAGAACCTAGCAACTGCTTAGCAACCATTTGGAGTACCCTTGAACCCGCAGAGCAACCACTCAAAACATTTCAGCAACTGCCCAGCACCAACCTAGAAACAATCCACAACACCCTAGCTACATACTAGAAACTTTACAGAACACCTAGCAACTGCCTATCACCATAGAAACAATCCAGAAGACCCTAGCAACGGCATAACAACAATCAACTAACCATCCAGAACAATCTTGCAACCACCCAGAACCCCCTAGCAACTGCCCAGAAACCACCCAGAACACCCTAGCAACCACCCAGAATACTCTAGCAACCGCATAGCAACACCCCGGTGACCACTTAGCAACCATCCAAACAGCTCAGCTTTTAGTAAGCATGATATCAATGAAATGTTTGTTTTAAATGCTTATCATGAACTGTAAGATGCACTGAAACTGATAATAAGAGTCTGAAACACATCTGACGTCTGTACTGACTTCTGAGCCTCTGTGTCACCCAAGATTCCACGACACCCACTCGCTCATCACATGACTTCCTGCCGACTTTCACACTGAGAAGAGTCGAGGTCTTCCGTCTTCTGCTCGTGTGTGTGTGGAGGGCCTCGACACACTGACGGATGATGATGGACCGAGAAGACAAGATAGCAAACTTCCACAGACTCCTATCAGGTGTGTGTGTGTGTGTGTGTGACAGTGATCAAGGGACATCATATATCACATCATGGCTTTTTGTTTGGATCATTCTTCAGTTTCCTGATGATTTAGAGTTTCAACAGAGACTTGACTTCCTTCTTCTGTGGTTTGTTTGCAGAAATGCATCACACCTCTGTTCTATATTTATAGCCAGATGACAACAAAACAGCTTTTAAAACACAAAAAACTTTCATGAATTGTTAGAATACAGTATGTTTAGTGTTCTTCATGTGTCCGAATGCACGTATGTGCACTGTGAACAATGAGTTTTTAAAGTTCACTGCAAAAACAACAACTAAAAACGATTCTTGATTTCCAGCACAAATATCTAAACGTTAATAAATCAAGATACATTTACTTGACAAGCAAAACTACTTGAGATTTCAGGGCTTGTTTACTTAAAAGTTTATCAAAATTAAGTGAGTTTATGCTTAAAACAAGCAAATATATCTGACAATAATCATGCTTTCCCTTTGAATTAGGTTTTTTATTACAATATTCTTGTATATTCAATTTAGAAATTGTTGGCAATTCTTGCATATTGCAATAAAAAACTTTGGATATTGCAATAAAAACGTTGCATATTCTTGCATATTGCAGTAAAAGCAGCATATTCTTGCATATTACAATAAAAAAACGTTGCCAATTCTTGCAAATTGCAATGAAAAAACGTTGCATATTCTTGCATATTGCAGTAAAAACAGCGCATATTCCAATAACATTTTTTTTCCAAAAATTATTAAAAAAAAGTTGCATATTCTTGCATATTGTTATGAAAAACGTTGCATATTCTTGCATATTGCAATAAAAAACTTTGAATATTCTTGCACATTGCAGTAAAAACAGCGCATATTGCAATAAAAAAAATTCCAAAAAAATTAAAAAACGTTGCATATTATTGCATATTGTAATGAAAACGTTGCATATTCTTGCATATTGCAGTAAAAACAGCATATTCTTGCATATTACAATAAAAACTTTGCCAATTCTTGCATATTGCAATGAAAAAACGTTGCATATTCTTGCATATTGCAGTAAAACCAGCGCATATTCCAATAAAAAAATGTCCAAAAATTTTTTTAAAAACGTTGCATATTCTTGCATATTGTTATGAAAAACGTTGCATATTTTTGCATATTGCAGTAAAAAACGTTGCATATTCTTGCATATTGCAATAAAAAACGTAGAATATTCTCGCACATTGCAGTAAAAACAGCGCATATTGCAATAAAAAAATTCCAAAAAAATTAAAAAACGTTGCATATTCTTGCATATTGCAATTAAAAAACGTTGCATATTCTTGCGTATTGTAATGAAAAACGTTGCCAATTCTCGCTTATGACAAAAACAAGACAAAAAATATTAAGCATTTATTTCATTGCAATTTAAAAAAAAAATGTTTGCACAGTTGTAAATAAAACGAAGATTATTGTAGTGTTTTACAAGAAGTCTTTCACGTTTCACGAGAGAAAAACAAGTTTTTGTTTTTTTAACGATCCTCTGATGATTAATGATGTCCGGCAGAGGAGAGCTGCACCTCGAATGTGTCCAGCGACTCGTGTGAATACTATCAGACGGAGATATTCGGGCTGTTGCCGAGCTCACAGGCTCATCGCCGGCCGCACGCAGACGCCGGCACACAGGATCCCGGCAGAGTCTCCTGGAACCCCAGCGTCCCGCTCAGAGCTCTACCGGTCTGTCTGCAGGGCAAGAGGGACACCAGGTGAGTCAGGCTGACACAAGGATAAGTTTGGGCTGTCAGTCTAAACCATCGCCCAAACATAGACTAGTCATCAATTAGATAACAAAGAAATGAAATAAGTGAAGAAATTAAACCAAACACTGATGTTTACTTCATCTCGTTTATCTGTTTATCATGCATCTCGCAAGTTATTTCGGGAAAAACGAAACCAAATGCAAGGATATTTTGTCTAGAAGTGTGCTAACGTTACTCATATTCGGATTATATCAGGTCTATATAGTTAATGAGGATGACTTAAAATGATTTAAGTTAATTAAAGTCCCCTGTGGTGATCCAGCGTTTAATGTTGTGTTATTATAATACGATTTAACACAGACCATGTGTAAGTTCATAAGGAGTATTTCCTCCTTAAAACTTCAGTGAACCAAAGACAGTCTCAAAAACACGCTTTGAAATCGCTGGTGTTTCTGACGTCACAAACCACCTTGTAACCAATCAGATCAAGTGAGTGAGTGAGGCGGGGCTCATTTGCATATTCATATAACAGCGCATACCAAATGAGGCAAGGGTGTCGAGTCACATTCAAGATATTTTAAGACATGAAGATTGGAAAAAATCTGGTGATCAAAGATGAGATTTAACGAATACAATGATTGACTTCAGAGTGACTTTAACATAAAGCCTACTGTCAAGTCAAGTCAAGTCACATTTATTTATATAGCGCTTTCACAATACAGATTGTATCAAAGCAGCTTCACAGTGATAACATGAAAGTAGTACTTCTTTAGCAAGTGAACTGAAGCGCACGGTTCTTCAATCTATTGAAATCACAAAATGAATTGTGGATTATGTAATAGTTCAGTACTCCCAGTTAAAAGTTCGCAGCTTTATCATAATTACAGCATAAATACAGAAATATCGCAGTCTATATTGGGGAGCCTTCAAACATTGAAGTACATATAAGTAGTGGATTGAGTGAATTATACACAAACACATCGCCATCTAGTGGTCAGTTTCAGAGTTTTAGTTTTGTTTGTGCCAATCAGAGATAGGCAGCATCTGCAGAGACGCAGCATTGGCTACTGGGACTCGTGGAGGCGGAGCCAGCAAACCACAAGGCGGCGCTTAAAGGAGCATGTGGGCAGGGCCCTGTCAGAACTGTTGCCATGGAGACACGCGATTCATAAGATCGAAGGTGAGTGTCCAGTATGTAGTGCCGGGCAGATCGAGGCTTCGTGAAACAAAAGCAAATGTGCCGTATTGTGTCGAGGCTTCGAAATAATCCACGGTGACCCCTAGTGGTCAGAACAGGGTAAATGCAACCAAAAACATGCACAAAAACACCTTTTACAAAATATAATGCAATATTTTTATTAAGAGTAAAATCTTTCAAGTAAGATAATCAAGTGTCTAGCTATATGTTCTTTTATCAATAGTCAGGGTTTGCTTTGTTTTTTCTCAGCTAAACAAGCCAATAGACTATTACAACTACACTAATGTTAAATTGGTATTATTACAGTATAATTAAATAACAAAATCGTTATGACGTAATGAAGCCTTGTTTACTGCAGTCAGTTTGATTCAGAGCAAAATATTGTTAAAGGTTTCGAAGCTTCATGTTTTGCAATCACTATGACTCTAGGAGTGTGTTGATGTTGTGCCCGTTGAGTATATGATGTACAGTATGTTAGACCGGTTAGCTGAATCTGATCCACAGGTCAGTTTGGTGTCGGGGTGAAGGCGTACTTTGTGTTTCTGCGCTACTTGCTGTGCTTGAACCTGCTTTACTGTGTGATCATCGCTGGATCTGTGCTGACGCCAACGCTGGTGTTCAGGAAGGACTCAGGTACCAATACTAAGACCGGCCGTTCACTCCGAGGACAAGCGCAACTACTCGAGATTTTTAATACTTGTTAACCGAAATGTAAAATACTGCTAACCACTCTTTATACTTTCTGGTTCAGATTACTTGAACGGCTACAGGAGGTCCGGTTAGAACAGGATGTCTCACACCAGAGTAGTTTGGGTCTTTATTGTACAAAGGTCAGGCATGTAACCATGAATGCGACCATGTATGTGGTTCTGTAACAAACAATATACAGAATATGAATAAAATGAATTAAAAATCACAGATCTACAACAGCTCTACAATTCTGGTATAAATATAATCAAGGATGTATTAAAGGGAATTAAAGAAATAAAGCAATGTGATAATATACATATATTTATAACTGTCTCGATTATTTTCTCACTGTATGTCTAACTCACGTAGTGCTAACATGCCCGTACATGTTCCCCGAGACCCAATTGAGGTCCACACAACATACAAATATATGTCCCTATACTTCTAACAATACGGGAGGATAACTTGCTATTTAAGTGACAATACAAAGGCAAACATAACCAACAATATGAACACTCCGATACAATGCTGCGACAGCCTATTCAAATCTCCCTCACGGATGCATCATGCGATAAATATGCAAGTGTACTTACTATTAGCTGCACGCACACACATAATCTTTAAATCCTTGAATGACAGCACTTCGATCGAACTTAACTGCTATTTACAACTTTTATTCACTATAAACATGTCAGCACATCCTCTAGTCAGGCGATCTTGCTTATTAACTCTCCGTGCAACTTTTACGAACAGTCCAACTCACGAACAGAGGCGGGGGAGATCGGAAGAGTCCATTTCAAAGGGGTGGCCTTTTCTACAGCCGCCCCCAAATTCACAACGTGAATTTGAACAACTAAAAGGCCATACTAAGTGTTGAGTTATCGATAAGTTACTCAGGAAGAGGCGGTAGACTGATGATCTTGGTTACCGGTCTTATGTAAGTTTTGTCCTTTACTTTGATCTCAGCTGATCTGACTCGGTTGTCATTCCCTGGATAGACCTGTGTTATCTTTCCCACTGGCCACAGTGCACGAGGTAGCTGCTGATCCACAATCATAACGATTTCGCCTACCCGTAGATTGTCCTTTTCTGACATCCATTTATGTCTGGCTTGAAGACTGGGTAAGTAATTGCGAATGAATTGCCTCCAAAAGTGATCAGCTAGTAGCTGACTATGTCTCCATCTCCTTCTGCTAAGGAGTTCGGTATCCTGGTATGTCACTTGTGGAAGTGAGGCATCCCGCCGCCCCATCAACAAGATGTTGGGTGTAACGGGATCTGGGTCAGCAATATCTGAAGATGCATAGCCAATCGGTTTAGCGTTCAGTAGACCCTCTATCTCAATGAGAACAGTCCTCAACACTTCTTCAGTTACAGTCTGTGCTCCGAGGATCACTTGCAGGGCTGTTTTCAGAGATCGAATCTCTCGCTCCCAGCATCCACCAAAGTGTGGTGCACTGGGTGGATTGAATGTGAACCTAATTTGCTGGCTTGCCAGTTGAGCCTGGAGTTCAGGCTGAAGAGCTGCGAAGGCATCACGAAGTTCCTTTTCTCCACCTTTGAAATTTGTTCCTTGATCTGAAAGGATTTCGAAGGGTTTACCTCGCCGAGCAATGAAGCGACGAAGGGCCATAAGGAATGAATCACTATCCAGACTTGCAAGAAGATCAATATGCACTGCACGGACGGTCATACACTTGAAAATGATCCCCCAACGTTTCTCATTTCTGCGTCCCACCTTTATGAGATAAGGGCCGAAGCAATCTATGCCAGTTGAATAGAAAACTGGCCGGTGAATCCTCAACCTTGCTGGTGGGAGGTCAGCCATTCTTGGGGGTTGCGGTTTAGCCCGCCATTTTTGGCATTCAGTGCATTGACGCTGGTGATGTCTGACTGCTGCTCGTCCCTTTAATACCCAGTATTTCCTCCTGAGCTCTGCAAATACCCTCTCCGGTCCAGGGTGATGCAAACGATCATCGTAATCTTTAATGACCAGCTTGGTTAATGGGTGACGTGGGTCAAGAACAATAGGATGAACAGTCTCTTCTTCTAATTCGCTGATCCGTCGGAGACGACCGCCAACACGTATGAGATTGGTATCCGGGTCCAGATCAGGGGCTAGGCACAGCAGTCTACTGTTACTTGGTAAAGGTTTACCAGATTGCAGATGAGACACCTCTTCAGGAAAGGAATCTGCTTGGATCTGACGGAGGGCCTTGAGCTCAGCTTCTTTATATTCCTCTGCAGTCGCAACAGGAGGAAGGTTCTCATTGGATGGTTGCATAAGAGCCTTCAAGTAGTCTGTGAACGTGTGAAATTGCTGAGGATCTGGCAGTGGCAGAGCTGAGGTTAACAGTCCACAGAAGGTTGACCTTTTTAACTCACTGTCTTGGTTTAGGTGAGCTAATAGTGGTATCTCTGGCCATTGTTCTGCTGGTTGTCTGAGGAATACTGGACCTTGGTTCCATATGCTATCTCTGTTGAGATCAGAGGGAGACTTCCCTCTCGTTATGGCATCTGCAGGGTTGTCAACCGATGGTACATAACGCCAGATGTCAGATTCAGTTAGGTCCTGTATCTCTGCCACTCTGGTCCCCACAAAAACCTTAAAGCGGCAGGAATCTGATAAAAGCCAGGTCAGTACCGTAGTTGAGTCGGACCACAGAGTGACGTTACTGAGTGGTAATGTTAACTCGGTCTTCAGGACTTTAGCAAGCTGCGCCCCTGTAAGTGCAGCACACAGCTCTAGACGAGGAATGCTCTGTTGTTTCTTGGGGGCAACACGGGACCTAGCTGCTACAAAGGCTACCTCCACCATACCTTGAGGGCTTTCTGTTCTTAAGTATGCCACAGATCCGTAGGCCTTTTCTGAGGCATCGCAAAAGACATGAAGCTGCCTATGATTATTGGAACAGTCTAGCTCCCTACTACAATAACATCTGGGCAGAGTGATATGCTGCAGGCCTTCCAACTCGCTCTCCCAGTGTTTCCAAGAGTCTAGTAGGTCTTCTGGTAGCCGTGGGTCATCCCACTCCCTCCTTTTGTCCCACAACCTCTGTACCAACACCTTAGCTCGAGTGGTGAATGGTACGATGTAGCCAAGTGGGTCGTACTGGCGAGCAAGAATCTGATATATGCTTCGCATTGTGGGCACTTGATGGTCAGGTGTGCGTTGTTTATACGAAAGTGTGTCAGATTGACAATTCCAATGCAGACCCAGTGTTGATTCTTGAGCCTCTTCATGACCTTCACGGAGCCAGAGGATGCTGCTCTGAGACTGAATTTCCTCTGGCAGATGACTGATGACTAAAGGGTCGTTGCTAGCCCACTGTCGTAACTCAAAGCCACCAGATGCTAGAAGGCTGCAGAGTTTGTCGACCAGATTCTTGGCCATGTCACGGGAAGCAAAGCTCTGAAGACAATTATCCACATAAAATGACTTCTCCACTGAAACACGTGTGTCCTCTCCAGGCCGGCTGTGATCCATTACATGTTTCTGGAGCGAAAAGGATGCACAACACGGACTGCAAGTAGTCCCGAAAGGTAGTACCTGCCATTCATAGACATCAGGGATTCGTTCTCTTTGCATATCTCTCCAGATGTATCTCAGTAGGGGTCTGTCCTTTGGCAAGAGGCGTACCTGATGGAACATACCCCGGATGTCGCTACTTATGGCAATGGAGTGCTCCCGGAAACGCAGAAGGACTGCCAGAAGTGACGGACCAAGTGTTGGACCAGGAAGGAGGAGCTCGTTCAGGTTATGCCCTTGGTATGAGAATGAACAGTTGAAGACCACCCTTTTCTTCTCATTATGTTGCACTATGTGGTGCGGAATGTACCAGGCTTCCTCTGTTTGGTTCACCTGTTCCTGATCAAGTTTGACAACATACCCAGCTTTTACTAGCTTGGTTAGCTCCTCTTGGTATACTGCAGCCAGATCGGGTTTCCTTTCCAGTCGTTTCTCGATTGCCCTTAACTGAGGTAGAACCGCCTCCTTAGGTGCATGGAGACGAGGCATGTTCTTAACACGTAGCAGAGGAGTAGCGTATCGTCGAACACCAGCAACATCCACCCTCACAGTGGTTTCCTGCAGAAGCTGAATACACTCTTTGTCTTGCCGTGACCTGGTGATCACCTTTTCGCTCTGGTAAGGTAGAACATCCATTTGCCATAATCTCTCAACGTTGGCATAAAGGTCATTGACGGGCCGCAGCGAGGTGAAGAAGCATTGATCAGAGGAAGGATGACTGCTCAACTCCTGAGTTGGACCCTGCAGTGTCCATCCCAGACGGGTTCTCACTGCTGCCGGACCACCAGGGGGCCCCAGTCTGACTGGCTGTATAGGTGTGATAAGGTGTGGGCAGTCAGAGCCAATGAGAAGCACAGGTTGTACCTTGTTTAGATGCTGCAGCGGTAACCCGGAGAGATGCTTGAACTTTCTTTGCAGCACACTGACTGGGTGAGTATGTTCTGCCAGGCTAAGTACATTGGCTGTGAAGGCATTACCGATCTTGTAGACTTTGCTGGGGTTAACAGTTGGAGACACTGTGAAACTCACTGCTGCGCCGTGAACTACCTGAGTATCTTGTCTCACTGTGCGAAGCATAAGCTCCTCAGGTTTTCCCACAAGTCCCAATCTCTCTACTGCATCATGCAAAATGATGGTCCGCTCTGATCCATCGTCCAACACTGCATAAGCTTCAATCGCTCTGTTACCATTCCGAAGTAGTACCTTTGCCACCTTAAGAAGCACTTTGCTACTGGACGTTGAGCGATCAAGATACAAAACTGCACTAGACGGAACGGTGTTCTGCTTATATGGATTGACTTGATCGTTGACTTCATGCAGTACTAGAAGGTGCTTTCTGCTACAAGTTGGACAGCAAGTCTTTAGTGTGCAGTTGGCTGCTTGATGTCCACGACCACAACGCCAGCATCGGTTTTTAGTCTTTATCCAGTCTATCTTCTGGTCCTTGTTAAGAAGCTTGAAGTTATCACAGCCATTCAAATAATGCTTGTCGTTGTCACAGTATGGACAAAAGGCCTTTCCCTTCTCCGCTCGGTCTGGATCTGGCTTGGACGTGGCTGACGACATCAGTGTGGACGGTGACTTTCCAGTCCCAAGGAGAACTGTAGTTGGTCTGCGAAACTGCTTAGGCTCTCTTCTCACCTCCCTGAGATGTGCAGAGGAATCCTGTTTTGGGTGACATGCATACTGACTAGCATCCTCCTGCACTTGAAGCTCGTATTCCAGCCAATCTGCAAAGTGTAGCAGTGTAGGAATTTCAACTCGCAGTGGGTAAGTATATCTCTTAAAACTGGATCTAAGGTCATGTGGCAGTTTACTCTGAAGACGAGATACATGTGATCCACATTCCAGCTCTACTTTACCTTTGTGACCCAACTGCTGCAACATACTGACAAGAGAGCGTACCTGGAGTCCAAACATCCTAAAGGCTCTAATATCTCCACTGCGTATGCTGGATCCATCCATCAGCTCAGAGATTCGTTGCAAGGCTAATTGATGAGGTTGACCATACATTTTAGTCAGAGCACTCATAGTGTTGGTGAAGGGAAACCTTGAATTGCTGTAAGAGTCTGCCACTAAGAGGGCCTCCTCTAGTTTCAGATGGTCTGTGAGGATTTGAAACTTAAAGTGTTCTGAGGCATCATCAGGCAGGATGTTCTCCAGAGCAATTCTCAGCCTTGAAAACTCCCTAGGGTCAGGAGACTTAAGGAAAGGTATGGTAGGTGCTGGGCCTCTGTAGGTTTTCTCGTTGGAAAATGAAGGTAATGGATGTAATGGTGTCTGAAAGTCCAGTGATGGAACCACGTAATCAGGCTGCTCAGGTGGCGGGGAATACAGGGTAGAGTTATCATACCTGCTATGGGGTGTGTAACTACACTGTGTTGTCAAAGGGATTCTCTCATTTGTAGAAGAAGAAATGTTCATGTTTCTTAAGTCCTCATTCAGCTCAGAGCTTTCTCCTAATGCAGCTGGATATGACTGTCTCTTAACAGCAAGTGGTGTCAATCTGGAGCGTGTGGCTGGTATTGGGCGGTACGACTGTGGAGTCGGCATGTTGACTACTGGAGAGTAAGAGCGTGGTAGTGGCATTGGTGTAGTGACTGACTTGGGTAAATCTCTACGCTCAGATTTCAGACTTTGAAGCTCATTACAGAGTACAGCATTCTGTTGACGCATCTCCTGTAGTGTTGTGATGATCTCAGGAAGCTGGCTGGCCTGTCGTTGCAAAGCTGCGTTCTCCCTCTTAATCTCTTCAAACATAGCTGTTAACTCTGGTAACTGTTGCACTTGCCTTTGCAATATAGCATTCTCTTCTCTCAGTTTTACAGAAGTGCTGTCCCAGCGGTCAGTCAATCTCCATTCTGCACAATCTGATGCCTGGCTGACTGGTGAAGTGGATCTGGAATGATCTGTAGGATTTAGTGGTTCATCCTCCTGTACAGCTTGGTAGTTAGACGACCATGGTTGCTGTCGACGAGACCCAGGTCCACTGAGCTCATAGTCTTCGAAGTAAGCTGGAGGGCAAACTCGTCTCCGTGGTCGTGCGACAGGGGTTTCTCTTTCTGGATGAGACATAGCTGTAGCAGTCCACTCAATCCGGCTCGAAGGACCATGTAAAATACTGCTAACCACTCTTTATACTTTCTGGTTCAGATTACTTGAACGGCTACAGGAGGTCCGGTTAGAACAGGATGTCTCACACCAGAGTAGTTTGGGTCTTTATTGTACAAAGGTCAGGCATGTAACCATGAATGCGACCATGTATGTGGTTCTGTAACAAACAATATACAGAATATGAATAAAATGAATTAAAAATCACAGATCTACAACAGCTCTACAATTCTGGTATAAATATAATCAAGGATGTATTAAAGGGAATTAAAGAAATAAAGCAATGTGATAATATACATATATTTATAACTGTCTCGATTATTTTCTCACTGTATGTCTAACTCACGTAGTGCTAACATGCCCGTACATGTTCCCCGAGACCCAATTGAGGTCCACACAACATACAAATATATGTCCCTATACTTCTAACAATACGGGAGGATAACTTGCTATTTAAGTGACAATACAAAGGCAAACATAACCAACAATATGAACACTCCGATACAATGCTGCGACAGCCTATTCAAATCTCCCTCACGGATGCATCATGCGATAAATATGCAAGTGTACTTACTATTAGCTGCACGCACACACATAATCTTTAAATCCTTGAATGACAGCACTTCGATCGAACTTAACTGCTATTTACAACTTTTATTCACTATAAACATGTCAGCACATCCTCTAGTCAGGCGATCTTGCTTATTAACTCTCCGTGCAACTTTTACGAACAGTCCAACTCACGAACAGAGGCGGGGGAGATCGGAAGAGTCCATTTCAAAGGGGTGGCCTTTTCTACACGAAAAGTTTATCAAAATTAAGTGATTTAATGCTTAAAACAAGGAAAGTTTTCTGCCAATAATCTTGTTTTCCCTTTGAATTAGTTTTTTAATTTGCAATATTCTCGCTTATTGAATAAAAAAAGTTGCCAATATTGCAAAAAACCCGTTGCATATTCTTGCATATTGAATAAAAAAAGTTGCCAATTTATGCATAATGCAAAAATAGTTTTTTTTTTCATATTCTTGCATATTGCAATAAAAAAAATAAAAAAAGTTTCCAAAAAAATGTAAAAACGTTGCCTATTCTTGCATATTGTTATGAAAAACGTTGCATATTCTTGCATATTGTAATGAAAAACGTTGCACATTCTTGCATATTGCAGTAAAAACAGCATATTCTTGCATATTACAATAAAAAACTTTGCCAATTCTTTCATATTGTAATAAAAAACGTTGCATATTCTTGTATATTGCAATAAAAGAGTTCACATCACAACTATAACTATACATTCAAAACGATACTGTTGGAATCACATTCAGAATGATTCGTTTTTTCAGCTGATGAACGATAAAACTGGAATCCATCCAGCTTTAAAAGCTCAAGTATTTAAAGCGGCGGACAACAAAACTGCAATGCACTTTTACGGCTCGTTCACACCAATAAAGATAACTATATCAGTGTCCACATCAGCGCACAATATCTTTCTGTTTATTAGAAACGCTGTTTGAAATGGAACACAAAAACACACAATAGCCAATCAGCAGTGAGGGGCGTGTCCACGCATTAGGGAGGAGGAGCCTGTGTTGCATAGTGTGTTCATGGATTTGTGGGCGGGGCTTTACCGTCAGGGGTGTGGTCCTGTTGGGTAGGGGCGTGTTTGTTTTGGTGATTTCAAATAACAGTTTCTCACAAATTGCTGCTCCAGCTCTTTAAATCAGGATGGATTCTGATTGGCTGTCAGTGTTTTATCGTTCATCGGCTGGAAAAAGTCGTTCTGAAAGTGATTCTAATGATATTTTTGATTGTTTGTGTATAATTTGCTATTCTTTTTAATTTTTTTTTTTTAGAAATTTGTCCTTGGTGTGAATGCTAATGTAGTTATAATTATACAAATATTTATCGTTGTGATTTTTGGTGTGAACAGGCCTTTGGAGGTGATGCACTAAAACTGACCTAATTTGTCATATTGAATCATTTTTTTAGGCCATTCAAACCAAATCTTTGGATATAAAGACATTTTTGTCGGATCAGTAAGTCATTTTATGGTTATCACTCTTTAATTTCCACACTGATCATCATTTTCAGATTTTATTTAATTAACTCATTTACCATAAATTAAAATTCATGAAAAGTCATGTGGTTTGTCTTTATATTGAGTTATGTTTCCTTTCTGTTAATTTAGTAAACAGTTTTTATTCTATTTCCTGACATTTCACAACTGCCTAATGTTTTTGTTAGCATATGCACAGATATAAATGAAGGTATGGCGATTTCAGTTAACCCTCTGGGGTTGTTCGTTTCAGAGTCACACTCGGGGTGTTCGGGTCCAAATGGACCCAAAGAGCGGGATTCATATTTTTTTTAAAAATCATGATTTTTTTTTTTTACTCGTTTTTTATAATATTTTTTCTTTTCTTTTTTGGTGTTTTGAGAAAATTTCATTTTCATTCAATTTCCCACATTGAACATAATAGAAAAAATATTTAAACATTTTTTTTTTTTTAAAGCTGTATTTCATTTTAGAGTCAAGCCTAGGCCTCATAAAAACAATTTTTGAAATGAGATGGATGCCATCTGGTGGAAAACACATTAAAAATGCAAAACATGTATAATCTGAATTTTTTGGTGTGTGTCTGGATGTGTCTGTTTTGCACTCTTGATGTTTTATAGATTCACCCCTTCACTGTTGTGTGCTTTTTTTCAAGATCGTGGCTGATTTGTAGATTGTACGCACAAAAAAAACCTCAGTATTTTCACATTTTTGCCAATTTCCCATTCGTTTTCCATGCGGGTCCATTTGGACCCGAACACCCCAAGTGTGACTATTTTTTTTACAACCACTTAGACTACTCACATCCTGTCCCCAATTTTTTGGGGTGTTCAAATACCAAATACCAACAAAGTCACCAAATTTTGGACCTTTCCGAGGAAGCTGTGATTTAAAAAAAAAATTGTTTAAATTCTTCGGGTCCATTTGGGCCGAACAACCCCAGAGGGTTAACCAGGATATTGTTTTGATGGTTTACGGGAGTCAGATTTATGTTTATTTGCATGTAAAGAAGGTCACTGTCTTGTTTTTTCATCAGTCTTCAACACTTTGCATGCTCTCTCTCTCTCTCTCTCTCTCTCTCTCTCGTGGTCCGTTTCTCTGTGTTTTCCAGGGTGTCCTTGAAAACTCTTCAGTGTTTCACAGTTTCTACACTCGCGGATCTCTTGATTTGGCCTGTTTAAACACTCCACTCCTCTTTCTACTTGGCATGATCTCTGTCCTCTTCCTCAGCATCATCATGGTGGTCCGCAGGTCAGATCATTCACCCTGAGCTATTAGACCAATGTTCCCGCTTCAGTGCAGCTTACAGATTGAGATTTCAGCCGAAACATGCATTTGCTGCTCTCGACAGCTAAGTGGCGCTATAACCACAGACTGAATCAACAGCATCTCGTCTAATTGTCTAATTGTCTCTCAGTTTGTAAATGATGTGCATAGACCTGAATAGCTATTGAACGGGGAACATTCATATCGGCAACACACATGTACATGTGTTTCTCATTTTAATTGTTGTAAATGGATTCATTAATATTAGGGCTGTGCAAAAATTAATTGCGATTAATCGCATCCAAAATAAAAGTCTGTGTTTACATAATATATTTGTGTGTGCTGTATATAATTATTTTGTATATAAATACACACACTGACACATGCATGTATGTTTAAGAAAATGTGTTATTCATATATAAAATATTTATATTTATATAATATAGATTATGTATTTATATATATACAGAATTTAAGCGTAAATAATTCTTAAATAAATACATGCATGCATAGGTAATTATATATGCAAAATAATTATATACAGCACACACAAATATATTATGTAAATACAGACTTTTATTTTGGATGCGATTAATCGAAATTAATTTTTGCACAGCCCTAATTAACATGTGAGTGAATGAATGATGTGTTTTTTTTATTGAATACAAAAGTTTGAGACTGAATGCAAGTTTGATGAACAAATGCAAAAGCGATGAAATCTAAGTTTCCTCCGACCTCATCATTGTGTCCATCTCCGCGTCCCTTGGGGTCACTGATGTCTCTTCTCTCTTTCAGGACGGTTGTGGGATACAAACACTCGTGGCTCACTGGAAACCGCTTCAGTTCAAACCTGAGCTACAAGGTTTTCTGTGGGTGGGATTTCAGTATTCAGGACTCGCAAGCATCAACCCTGAAACAAAACTTCATCAGAAACGAACTGAAGGTGAAAGGTCAACACGAGCTGTCATGTCAGATATGTGATGTGCATTTCTGAAACGCATAAACATGTGTATTCTCTGTAAAGCTGCTTTGAAATAAGTGGTTTTGTGAAAAGCGCCAAACAAATAAATGTGAATTGAATTGTGTGCATGACCTCTGACCTCTTCTCCAGATGGATCTAGAAGAGCAGAAGTTTCACGAGAGGGTCCAGCGCCGATCGCTCGCTCTCTGGGTTCGACTCATCCTCCTGCGGGTCTTTCTGAACATCATTGTGCTGGTTCTTCTGGGAAGCGCATTCGCTCTGATCGTTTACAGCATCATTCTGTCACAAGAGAAGGTACTGAACATGTATAAAGGTGAAGGTGAAGCGAATAGTCTTGAATGTTGATTATTTTCCTCATATTTTCTTTCGTTGCAGCTCCACCCTTCCCAGTCTGGCAGTGATGCTACGGTGAGTTCCTGTCTCGATGAAGCCCCTCCTCCTGAAAAGCACACTGTGCTCTGATTGGTCGGCTGGAGCAGTGTGTTGTGATTGGTCGAGTGCTTCAAGTGTGTTTGGGAAATGTTCCGCCCCTTTTTTTAACCACCAGTTTAACACACTACTAACTAACTCAACCAGGCCCCGCCCCTTTATTCTGCGTATTAATTATTATAATGAGGAATATTGTGACGTATTCCCGGGAGAAACTCGAGACTACAATGGAGGCGTTTCAGGAGTTCAACATCACACACTGAACAACACAAACGAAGATGGAAAAAAGAACGTTTTTTTTTTTTATTATTATTTTTATTTTTATTATTAAAAGTAAAGAGCATTACAATCAAAATAGCAAAAAAAAAAATAAATAAATAATAAAAAGTATCGAAAAATAATCAATAGTAAAGTTAAAGTGATAAAAAAAACACATTTAATCACATAAACACATTAAAAGTAGAACAAATAACCACAGTTTTAACAGCTTTTTTGTTTTGCATAGAAGAGAGTAGAAATATACTGTTCCGTTTCAGCCTTTAGCACAGAAAAAAATAGTTTTTTTTATTACTGAATTTACACTTATGGAAATGGAATTTGGCAACGAATAAGATTAGTCATTAAAACAACCAAAAATGACATTTTTGTAGTACAGGGAGAAATCAGGAAGAATATTTTCAACTATAAATGAATTAAAGTCTTTCCAGAACTTATATGTGAATTCACAAGACCAAAATAAATGTGAGATAGTTTCAGGATGTAAGCCGCAAAAAGAGCATTTTATATTAATGTCATTCTTGTGAGTTTAGTAAAGCGTTTCCTAATGATTGTCTCTCTCGTCACTGGAAGGTTCTGAACTGGTCTCTGATGTTGGAGTATCTTCCTCCAATCACAATGGCGACCATAAACTACATACTGCCGCACATCTTCAGTAAAGTCTCAGAGTTTGAAGATTATTCACTCACCATCCAGCTCAACCTCACCCTGATCAGGTCAGAAAGGTCATGCCCTCTGACCTCTAGTGTGTGTTACATGTTCCTGTGGTATTAAATACCCGATTTATTTAATTGCAATTTGCAAAATGTAAATTACCGCAATCATAAAGCATATTCACACGCAGTTTGATTGTTTATATCATTGCAAAATGTAATCTATACTGTTTTCCAGCTCTAATCTTCTAAATGCAACTATAAGGCATTATAAACATTAACCGATATTCTGTTAATCTGCTTTGAAACGATGTGAATATATTACAGGAGTATTTTCCTGAAGTTGGCGTCTTTGGGCATCTATCTGTTCTTCCTCCTCATACACTCTCCAAACAAGCAAGAGGTTTGTTCATAGTTGTTTCTCTTAGACAACAATGAGATTTCATGAGACAAATGGGGGCTTTTGAACTCTTTTGACCTTTGAACTGTGCTCAGCCTCAGATATGCGAGGAGCCCTGCAGAGAGAACGCGTTCGGGAAGGAGATGTACAAACTCGTCGTCTTCAACTTCCTGGAGTGTTTCTTCAATGCGTTTTTTGTGGCTTACCCAAGAACGTGAGTTACTTCAACTTTATTGAACATGGTTTAGCTACAATATTTAACCTCAGGTTATTATTATTAGTTAGCATTTCAATAATTTAACAACACATTCGCTTATTCATGGATGTCGTTAATGCTCGTAAGACACAAATTTTTATCTTTTTGTAATTTTTTTATTTTGATTTTCAAATCCAAAAGTATTACGAGCGAACGCAAAATTACTCGGAACTTGAAAGTTTTATGTGCGAACGCAAAACATTCTCACAACGCAAAAGTTTTAAGAGTTTCTAAGAACGTAAAAGTTTTACAAGCGAACACCAAATGTCTCAAAATGGGATTTTTTTTTTATCTGCGAACAAAATGTTCTCGTAACGCAGACATTTTAAGAGCGAATGTAAAGTTTCTCAGTGTAACGCAAAAGATTTACAACGTTTCTCATAGGCCACATATTTTATGAGCGACCGTAAACGTTTTCCAAGCGAATGCAATGTTTTGTTCTGATATTTTGATTCACATTACAGAACTATATATATATATACAGTGTATAATAAACTTTATTTAACGTATAGCTTCTTGGTGGAGAGGTTTCCATCCTCGTCGCTAGCGCGGTTACTAGGCAAGAAGCAGTTTGAGATTCCCTTCAACGTGCTGGACCTGGTGAACAGCCAGACGGTCACATGGGTGGGAGTGTTTTACTGCCCCCTGCTGCCGGCCATCAGCGCCGTCAGGCTGATGGTCCTCTTCTACCTCAAGAAGGTCTGATTCACTCTTACTCTCTCAAATTCTATTTTATTTCAAGCAACACAAATGTTTTTTTATGCTTTTAGTTAACTATAATATAAGGAAGCCCTGACCCGCAACGTAAAAAAAAAAACAAGAAATCTAAAATTACGAGAATAAAGTTGCAATATTTCGAGAATATAGTTGCAATATTTTGCGAATAAATTAGAAAAAATTCGATATTAAAGTCGAAATGTTTCAACTTTAATTTCAAAATATTTCTGATTTAGTCTCGAAATATTGCAACTATATTCTCGAAAAAGAAATCCATAAAAAATATAAAATTATGAGAATAAAGTTGCAACATTTCGAGAATATAGTTGCAATATTTTGCGAATAAATTAGAAATATTTCGATATTAAAGTCGAAACGTTTCAACTTTAATTTCAAAATATTTCTGATTTAATCTCAAAATATTGCAACTTTATTCTCGAAAAAGAAATCCATAAAAAATATAAAATTATGAGAATAAAGTTGCAACATTTCGAGAATATAGTTGCAATATTTTGCGAATAAATTAGAAATATTTCGATATTAAAGTCGAAACGTTTCAACTTTAATTTCAAAATATTTCTGATTTATTCTCGAAATATTGCAACTTTATTCTCGAAAAAGAAATCCATAAAAATATAAAATTATGAGAATAAAGTTGCAAAATTTTGAGAATATAGTTGCAATATTTTGCGAATAAATTAGAAATATTTCGATATTAAAGTCGAAATGTTTCAACTTTAATTTCAAAATATTTCTGATTTATTCTTGAAATATTGCAACTATATTCTCGAAAAAGAAATCCATAAAAAATATAAAATTCCGAGAATAAAGTTGCAATATTTAGAGAATATAGTTGCAATATTTTGCGAATAAATTAGAAATATTTCGACATTAAAGTCGAAATGTTTCAACTTTAATTTCAAAATATTTCTAATTTATTCTCGAAATATTGCAACTTTATTCTCGAAAAACAAATCCATAAAAAATATAAAATTACAAGAATAAAGTCGCAATATTTCTAAAAAGTCAAAATTACGAGAAAAGAAGTTCCATAGAAGTTTTTTTGCGCTCGTGAAGTCGAACTTCTTTAGACATGGATCTAAACATAATAATAGTTCTCGTAATTTTGACTTTCTTCTCAAAATATTAAGACTTTATTCTCGAAATGCTACAACTTTTTTTCTCATAATTTTAGATATATAATTTTTTTTTTGGATTTCTGTCAGGGCTTCCGTAATAACAACCCTGCTTTCAGATTTAGATTTAGAAACAGCTAAATAATCCTAAATATCTCATCCGTCTGTCAGTTCACAGTGCAGCGCTGTTGTGTTCCGGCTCAGAGAATGTTCCGGACCGCCAGTTCTTCTGTTCTCTTCCACTTCATGCTGTTGTTGGGTCTCTTAATGTCTGTGGTCACATTAGTGGTCAACATCAACAGGTACTAGTCAATGTGGACATATTTATAATATAATACAGTTTAAGGGAAGACTCTACACATGCACTGGTCTGTTTTGCTTCCATAATGTTCTTCATTCTAGTGGAAAGAAAACATCCAAAAGTGTTTATTTTAGTGCACTTGATCTTGTCGATCTATAAAGGCTTTGGGTTTGAATCTGAAATCGCCACTTCAGCAGATTCACACACTCCAAACTTTACAGTTTTATTCATATCTAATGTAATCTGGAGATTTGTTCATATATCATTCGGCTGATTTATAGGACATTTTATTCCTAAAAACGTCTGTTGACCGTATTTTCTGATTTATCAAAATCCCATTTGGAAAAACCTTTAATATATTATCAAAATCAAACAAGAATAATGAATATGGCTTGATCTAATGTTCAGATTTACTTGCTGGAAATGCATGCAAATTAGTGCATATTTATTTAGATGATGCCTCATATTTAAACATAACATTTCAGAAAATTTGGTTTGCAATTGTTAATGTAAGTAATCAAGTATGGTGAATTAGTTAATGTTAGTGTCACCCTTGATAAAAACACCTATTCACCAAAAACGTATTCACTCATAATCTGTTCTCTTCTGAGGTTTAATCCGGGATGCTGCGGCCCGTTTAAAGACACAACTGTGTTTAATGTGACGAGTGTGTGTAAAAAGACGCTGCCCGATGAGGTTCAGACCACCATCAACTACATCTCATCAGAGGGCTTCGCATTCGCTCTCATACTGGCTGAGGTGTAAGTGTGTGTGAGTGTGTGTGTGTGTGTGTGTGTGTTGCTGGATCTGGAGCAGCTGTGATGGAATATTCTCATAGCTAATGAATGTTTAGTCACTACCGTGTTCCTCCAGTGTGATCCTGACGTCGTATGTGTCCCGCCGCCGAGCGAACCATAAAGCCATCGAGAGACTGAAGGACATGCTGGTGATGGTGAGTGTAGAACAACGGAGACGATTTAAAAGAAAAATACAAACACAATGTTCAGCGTTGGCCAACAATCCCACTAATAAAAATATGCTCTAAGAATGACAGGTTAAAGGGATAGTTCACGTTGAAATTAATGTTTGGTATGTTTTATCTTACCTCAAGGGCATCCAAGATGTAGGTGTCTTTGTTTCCACAGTATTTTCAATTTTGACATTTTTCGGTCAAACCGTTGTTGTCTATCAGTCATATAATGGAGTTTTAGGAGGTCCACCACCTCAAAGAGCAGCACAGAGAAGTCCAAATTAAACATGATTTAATGACTCGTAAATGTACACATTGATGGCCTAAGACACCAAACGAGCGGTTTGTGTGAGAAAACCAACAGGATTTATATCGTTTTTACCTCTTGTTAACAGCCGTCGAATTGATCTGAATCAGATGTCCAACTGTCTCCAGACGTTACGCCGGAAGTGATCTCTTGTTTACACGGAAATTTCCGAAGTTTTACCCTTCACTAAACATATTTAGATAAACGGGAAATCACAATGGAAGACGATTTAGATGTATCTAAATATGTTAAGTTATGAAAGCATTATTTCTGAATGTTCTAAACAATAATAATAAAAAATAAAAGCCGTTTAAATGTGTTTTAAGGGAATGTCCCAATTTCGTTCGTTCGGAATGTTCTCAAAACAACTGTGAAACAATGTTTCTTCTTGATTAAGTGAACATTCCATTGTGTCATTCTTCACACATTATGGAATGTTACTTTTGAATGAACGATCTGAAACATACGGAGGTGTACGGAGGCGTATTGCATTCACTTGAAGAAAAAAAATCTACTCTGTTTTTCTGAATTAATGAGTTAATTTTTCATGAGAAATTTTTTTTGCTCTGTTTTTCTGAATTAACAAGTTAATATTTCATGAGAAAAAAAGTTTTTGCTCTGTTTTTCTGAATTAACGAGTTAATTTTTCATGGATTTTTTTTTTTTTTTGCTCTGTTAACTCGTTAATTCAGAAAAACAGAGCAAAAACTATTTTCTCACAAAAAATTAACTTATTAATTCAGAAAAACAGCAAAAAAAAAAATCTCATGAAAAATTAACTCATTAATTCAGAAAAACAGCAAAAAAAAATTCTCATGAAAAATTAACTCGTTAATTCAGAAAAACAGAGCAAAAACTTTTTTTCTCATGAAAAATTAACTCATTAATTCAGAAAAACAGAGCAAAAAAAAATTGTTCTCATGAAAAATTAACTCGTTAATTCAGAAAAACAGCAAAAAAAAATTCTCATGAAAAATTTACTCATTAATTCAGAAAAACAGAGTAGATTATTTTTCTTCAAGTGAATGCAATACGCCTCCGTAGAAACAAGTACTAACATTTAAAAAAGACAAATTAAAACGTTTCAGAAAAAAAAACTTACCATGAATGATGTATAGATAAGAGTTTAGGATAGAGATTACTGCACTATTAATGTTACTGTTCATAACTTTCAGAGAACCTTAACCATGATGATCAGTGATGCTCATTAAAGTAATGCAAGGTTTCTATTTCTTCTTCTGAACTATATGTTAGAATGTTAAACACTTCTGTGTGTGTGTGTGTGTGTGTGTCTACAGTGCAGCTCTGATAAACGGTTCTTGGTGAAACAGCACTCGACTATCACGCGACACGCTAACTCGACGGCACCCGTAGAAAACACCATCTTCGGTTAAAGAAGAGCGTGAGGCTAAACTGCAACGACTGGATCTGGAACCGCTCAAAAACGACCTGTGCGTCTACATCGGGAGGAAGACCATTTCATTCAGTGCTTTATTGTTTGTGCTCATGATCTCTGAGTTTATTAGGTCAAAGTTCACCCTAAATGTCAAACCTTTTATAGTTTAATTTGGCCCGTTCACACCAGTAACGATAATTATATCCCTGAGTCTGTGGCACCAAGCGCCATCCCATAATTCCACCGTCCACGAACCCACTATTTTTATAATTGCATAAATGCTACGTGGGATCTCAATATCTCAGCTCTGGAAGGGTCTAGAGCCTCCATTTTTGCACTCAGGTCTAAGTCTCATGGCCCTCTATCAGAATCCAGAGTTTGAGAGTGCAGGATTAAAAAAAAGTTTTAATCCAAATATTTTGAAAGCTAAGCTTAAAAACCACGTGTCCAAAAACCCTTTTTAAGCCAACCAAACTTTTTAAGCTTGGGTGATTGGAAAGTTGATCCAGGATCAACAAAGATGTTCATGTGGTACTTGGTGAAATCACCATCCCGACGGCTCTACAATCTAGTCCCAGACTAATGTTTGAGCTGTTTTAACTGAAATACGTCACTGCCATTGTTTTATCTCAAGATGCACACCAGTGATGTTTTTATCTAAGGCACATTTATAAAAGCTACTTAAATGTGAATTTGTGAAACCAGGCCATAAACCCTTATAAAAGGCTTACAGTTAATTAAGTTACAAGTTTATACTTGAAGAATCTTGTCTATTCTTAGCAGCCTATCCAGACAGGGCTAATGATTTAAAATCAACATGAAATTAAATTGGATCCTATTGACTTTTTTATAATACGCTTTCCTAATCTTATATTGAGTGATTGATCAGGGCACATTATTCCAAAGGATTAAAGAAAACCTGCTCCTCTGAAACAACTTGATGGATGTACGGAAGTAAAACGGGCTGCAAACTATTTCATGATGAATAATTATGACTTATAAGAAGTATATTTGAATAGAAAGAGCCAGTCTCTCATATTCTTTGTGGTATTTGATTTTTATAAATGAAGGTATATATTAAATGGTCGACATTTACATTCCCTTTTCATTGAGAAAACATGACAGTTCATACATCATGAGTCCATCACATATATTAATAGACTTATTCTTCAAGTGTGACATCATTCCTGATGAATATTTATTTAACTCCCTTTGTACCCGCAGCCCTGCTTATTACAGTAACATTTACATATTTAAATACTGTTGATGTCATTGTGTGGGGTTTCCTGCATGACTTCAGTGCTCCTCCTCACTCCTATGGCTCCTGAACGGAGGCCTCCATGGCTCCCTCTGCTGGCTGAAACTGGAAGGTCTGAATCCCGGTGAAAACACACTGGGCATGTTCCTCAACAGTCCAGACTTGACTTCATCGTTCCTCTTTTTCATAAGTGCCAGAGCTGGAGTCAGAGGCAGATTATCACAGTTCTGAAAGACAATAGCAGAGGGGCATTTCGGACCGTTTTAGTCTATGAGTAAAATACATGTCATAGTAGAAAATATAGGCTTCAGACACACACACATACACATACCCACTCTCACTCACATACACACTTAGATCAAACACTTAAATCACTCTTATGTCACTTCTGGAATTATGAATTACAATATTGCTCACTACTGCACTATGTTGGTTTGTATGTATGTCTGACTGTTTAATAAAAAAAATTATACATTTGAGCTACTATAATTATTGTGTTTATCTTCATACTGAACTGTTCCATCCATACAAAATTACAATTAGCATATATTTTTGTTAAACTAACATTGAAAAGTGAAGCTGCACTGTCCCTGCTGTCTTTACCAACACCAAAGCATAAATAAATGGGGTGTAAATAAAAAAAAAAATTATATATATATATATAGGCTTCAGAAAAACTGTGATTGGTTTCCTAGGACAATACACTTCTGATTATGCATAAACAATATAAAGATATTTGCACAGATGATGGGCTTACTGTTTAAAAGTTTGGGGTCCGTAAAAGTTTTACATTTTTTAAAGTCTCTTGTGCTCATCAAGTCTGCATTCATTTGATAAAAAAAAAAACCCAGTAATATTGTGAAATATTATTATTTAAAATCACTGTACTTGAATATAGGCTACTTTAAATGTAATCTATTCCAATGATAAAAAAAAAAACTCTCATTATTATGTTGAAAACACTGTTGAACACAAGTATTCACAACACAAAAAGTTCAGATGTGCATTTTAAATCTAGATTTTAAAATTGAAATTTTACAAATTTTTAACGACACTGAGACATGAGTAATGTCATAATTGACATTAACATGCCACGATGTGTTTCACAGAAATTAAATACAAAATAATCATGTTCCATTAATATTGAACAAGACCTCAAATATTATGGAAACATTGAACATCAGCATTATATTTTGTGGCTTTTTAGGGCTGTATTATTGCCCTAAAATATACATAAACGTCTGTTTATCTTTTCGTCCCAACAGCTGCCAAGTAAACTGCATATAAATGATAAATCTACAAAAATAAGTATGATATTATCAACATTTCAAAAACAATATCAAAATGAATTGTTCCTCTTGCTGACAGCTATATCTATCAAGCTAACGTTCCCATGCTGATCAATGAATAACTTTAGCTCTATATATTATATTTAATTCTATTATCATTATTTTCCCAACATGCATTAAAAGCAATTTAATAAAGAAGATTTGAAACATAAATAAATAAATAAATGATAAATCTCCATCTGTCTTACGGTGGTTCGAGCGTTTGACGGCGTGTCTGAACGATGTATGTTGAGCTCCAGTGTGGATTTGCTGATGCCCGGCGTCGGGTTTTCTGTCCTCGTCTGTCCTAAAGAAGTGCGACGCGAGTTGACCCGTTTGAGAATGTCACTCAAAGTGCTGAAAGTCTTGCTCCGGGAAAGATCTGATGGTTTCTGTGAAGGAAAACGAGACTGAAATAAGGACAAAATGACTGTAACAACTGCCTCGAGTGGCTTTGCTTTTATTTTTTTGTGGCAACATAAATATATTTTGTTTTATTGAATATCAAGGTGCAATAAACTGTAAAAATAAATATGCTTTATCTAATCAATAAAATTGTGGCAACAGATTACAAGCAATATTATTTATTAAATTGAACAAATTAGAATTGAGTAACAGTTAATCAAATTAACATTCTAATTTGTACAATTGAATTAATAATATTGCTTGTAATATAGGGCTGGGTAATAAATATCGATTTCTCGATATTAATCGATTCTCATTTTTACAAACCGATATCGATTCTTAAATCTCAAGAATCGATTAGTCATCCTGTTTCATTTGAATGAATGGGACATTGTATCGCGGCTGCGCGCATCCAACAAATCGCAATAATCTTTGTCCTTTGTTACTATTGATATGAAACAAAGTCTCAATTTTCAAATTACGTCCATTTTCTTTAGAAATTCAAAAACATAAATAGTGTTTTGTCGCTGTGGCGTGAGATCGCTCTGGAGAAGCAGCAGCGCTGATCTCTCTTCCGGCTTAATAATACCAGTCACAGCGCCAAATAAACATGAACGAGCATCTGAAAGTGTGTTAAAGATAGAGTACAACTTAGCGAAACACACTGATTCGCTCAATCGTCATATTTACCTCAGAAAATGCACATAAACTCGTTAGTCCACACTCGTTAGTGTTCTTCAATATTTAATGCATGTTTGAATAAATCTGGCAAGTTTTTATGACAGCCACCATTTAAATGTTTATATTTCATATAATCTTCTTATTATAAAATAAATAAAAGTGTAATTTAAGTGTTTGTATAGCTACAAAACAGTTCATTATTACCTTCATATTAGGCTAATGAAGCCCAACTAGACTCCCATAGTTTACAGCATTTAAGAGATTTGATTCCCTTGAGAAAAATTGCCATTTATTGTAACTGATATCCAAAATAATCGATATTGAATCGAATCGTAATCGAAATCGAATTGAACTGCAAGCTTGTGAATCGAAATCGAATCGTGAAATTTGTCTCAATACCCGGCCCTATTGTAATATGTTGCCACAATTTTATTGATTAGATAAAGCATATTATTTTTTTCAGTGTGATATGGGAGAGGCCACCACGGCTAATAACGTCCTTCGGGCCTGCCGTACATCAGCCTATATTGCTCACGTATTCCAGCAGCACTGACCTTGAGATTGGCTTGAGTGGTTCCTTCTGGGTTTGCCATCATGTCTCTTATCAGGAAAGGCTCTCGTCTCATCTCTTCCTCTGATGCCATGTTGCGGGATTTGTACACAGGATACCTCTCCTCGTTTTCAGGATTCAGCGGAGGATACGTGGTTCTGTCAGGCATCTGTGAATGCCTTTGGGTGAAAGAGAGAACCACAGGATTGCCGACATCTATTCAAATATTTGCTTCCATGATTGTCTCTTTCGGGCCGGTTATTTACCTGTTCACTGTTTCTCCTGGAGAGTAATGCCGCCTGAAGAAAACAACAGAAAAAGCACATGCATGTTAAGAGGAAGCGCAAACATATCTAACAATACACCTGTATGAGCTCACATCATGAAAAGCCTTTTGACATATGCTGACCTTTGTATTTGATATTCCGGATGCCTGAAGTCTGACAGAAACATTGAATTGAACCTAAAATGCAGAGGAGTTTAAGTTTAGTTCAACAGGCAGCAGCTTCAGGATTGTGCTCTTCAAAGTGATCACAGTGCACAATATTATATAATAATACAGTATATTAAATATGAATGCTGTACATTCAATTCTGAAAACACAAAATACGTTCAAAATTCATCATAATCAAATCATAATTATTATATAATTAACTGTTTTAATTATTGTGATTTCTTTTGATTATTTTAGTTTCTTCTATGTAAAGCACTTTGAATTGCCACTGTGTATGAAATGTGCTATAAATAAACTTGCCTTGCCTATCTTTCATGTCATACAGTTCTGCACATTGTTTTATATTCTGGTTTTAAGTTTTATATTCTACATATGTATGTACTGTGATGTTTTATGTGGTGTATATTTAATGCATGTTATTTTATTTGTTTACCTGCCCAGGGACAGCAGATGTAAACTAGCTATTAGCTAATTCTGGTGCAATTACTTTTAATTGTGCATTGTCCCTGTAAAATAAACAATAAAATGAAATGAAATAAAAATTAAAATTGGAAGCATGAATAATGACTAATAATAATTGTTACACAAAGCTAACATATAGTTTTAATATCTTTTTTTTACGGCAATATACAAAGCGCAAAATAAATAATCAATTTCAGCTTTTTATTACTACACTTTCGGGTCAGTTATACTATAAATGATGGTGGTTTCTGAAAGTAATTAATGCAAATGGATATTTTCAAATTATGCTTGCATTTTTAATTGAGATCACCTTTTATATGCACAACCGTTATAAAAGTTTGGGTTTAGCGAGATTTTTGTTTGTTTTTAAAAGTTGCTCCTCATGCTCACAAAGGCGGCATTTATTTGATCAAACATCCGGTAAAATTGTATGTGAAACATTACAATTTACAATAACTATTCTATTTAAAAGTTACACAATGTAACTTTTTTTTGTTCGAAATTTATATAATTGAAATAATGAGTCACTGTATCATCCAAATGGTGTTTTCGTCTTACCCTGATTCACTAAGGTAAGCCAATAATGTGGAAGTGTTTATATTTTAGACCTGTCGGGATGGTTTTCACAGAAAATTGTGTACATGTGTCACTCGCCCGTGTGTGTCTCGTCATATCTGTAAAACGAGTGAAGTTGCTCCAGCTCATTTGACGCGTGTCAAGTGTGAGAGGTCAGAGGTTAGTTGAGTGTGTGTGTGTGTGTGGTCAGAGGTTAGTGTGGAGCCGCTAAATCTCCAACCTCCAGAGTTTAACCCTCTGGGGTTGTTCGTTTCAGAGTCACACTCGGGGTGTTCGGGTCCAAATGGACCCAAAGGGCGGGATTCATATTTAAAAAAATATTTACTCGTTTTTATATTTTTTTTCCTTTTGTTTTTTGGTGTTTTGAGAAAATTTCAAAAATTAAAAAAAAATATAATTAGTATTAATGCAATAATTATGACAACATTTCCCCCCATTGAACATAATAGAAAAGCTTTTTTTAAAGCTGTATTTCATTTTAGAGTCAAGCCTAGGCCTCATAAAAGCAATTTTTGAAATGAGATGGATGTCATCTGGTGGACAAACTGAGCATTTTAAAAATGCAAAACACATGTATAATCTGATTTTTTTGGTGTGTTTGTGTATAAAAGTGTGTTTGTGTATGTGTGTGTGTGTCTGGATGTGTCTGTTTTGCACTCTTGATGTTTTATAGATTCACCCCTTCACTGTTGTGTGCTTTTTTTCAATATCGTGGCTGATTTGTAGATTGTACACACAAAAAAAAAAACATTATTTTCACATTTTTGCCAATTTCCCATTCGTTTTCCATGCCGAACACCCCAAGTGTGACTATTTTTTTTTACAACCACTTAGACTACTCACATCCTGTCCCCAATTTTTTGGGGTGTTCAAATACCAAATACCAACAAAGTCACCTAATTTCGGACCATTCCGAGGAAGCTGTGATTTAAAAAAAAATTTATTTAAATTCTTCGGGTCCATTTGGGCCGAACAACCCCAGAGGGTTAACCAAACACCAAACAAAGGAGAGTCTAGTGGAGAAAAGAGAACGAGACGGAGCTCGTAATAAAACAAGAATCAACATAAAGTAGGCGAGACTTTTCGGAGATGGCGAGAACTGAGGGATTTGAAATGTTGTCAAAGTGAAGCAGAGATGCGTTTTTATCACTGAACAGGAGAGAAAAGGTTTTATTGAACAGATTAGATATTTCTATAGCTCTCTAACAGAGTTCACTGTTCTGTTGTATCTGTTGTAAAGGCTCATTTAATCATGTAATAATGTCTAATAATAGGTAAAGCTAACGTCTTCAGCTACCTCTCGAGTCAAATATGGACAAACCTAAAATTGGGTTACATTTTTAAATTACATTTTTACCCAATGGCTGGGTTTGTCCATATTTAACCCAAAATTGGGTTAAAACAACCCAGTATTTTTTAGAGTGTAAACAGATTATACGTCTTACACCCAGACCCAGTAGTAAATGTGTTATAAGCAGTAGGATAATCATATTCATCCGCACAGTCACACGGAGCCAAAACACAACCAAAACAATGTTCTTCCTCAAAATACATGCAGTTTTATTTTTTAACTGCTAGAGGGCAAGTACACCTTTTACTTTTACAATTCTCGAGACAGAAGCAGGTGTCCAAATTTGAATCTTAAAGGGATACTTTTTTTTTGGAAATAGGCTCATTTTAACACTCCCCCAGAGTTAAACAGTTGTGTTTTACTGTTTTCGAATGTATTCAGACAATTTTTTTTTATATTTAGAAGAATATCAGTAACCAGACAGTTTCTGGTCTCATTGACTTCCATAGTATATATTTTTTTCTACTATGGAAGTCAATGAGACCAGAAACTGTCTGGTTACTGATATTCTTCTAAATACCAGAAAATCAGCTGAATGGATTTGGAAACGGTAAAACACAACTGTTTAACTCTGGAAGAGTGGTAAAATGAGCCTATTTCCAAAACAAAAAAGTGGAGTATCCCTTTAACCATTCTATTTCACCAGAATTTGGGCTGTTTCAACCCAAATTTGGGTCAAATATGGACAAACCAAAATGTTGGGTTAAAAGTGTGAATGACATTTTTAACCCAACATTTGGGTTTGTCCATATCTGACCCAAATTTGGGTTGAAACAGTGTAATTGTCACATATTAGATCTGAGGTCATGTTGTACTTACTTGCCCTCCTCCTGATGCCCAGTCAGAAGTCTGCTGTTAAAGTCATTGTAGGGGAGCTCCCATCCTCCCTGACGTCTGTCCAAGAGGGGTCGATGATAGAACTGCAACTCCCCATCATCAGGTGGACTGTCCGTGAATCTCCGGATGACCCCCATCGCCTCCCAATCCAGAACACTGTCAATAGGAGGAGGCGGGGGATTGGAGATGAACTCGCCAAGTTCAATTTTGTTGCTGTTTATGTTGAGGGGTTTTTTTATGTATTCGGGGTTCTGTCGCTGGTTTTCCAGTTTTCCATGCATCCGGGATTGGAAGCGAGGCGGCATAGAGGATCCGAAACTCTCGATCGAAAGATTCCACAACCGGGCCGCTCAGAACGGTGACGAGCTGACGATGCAGGTGAGCATCGCTCCAGGTTAGACTGACCGAGACAAAAAAAGACAAATTACGAGATTATAAAGGATTCGGAAAATGGAACAATCCAAAAAGGAGCAAAGTAGCACCACAAAACTAAAATAAACTACACTCTAAAAAAATGCTGAGTTGTTTTAACCCAATTTTGGGTCAAATATGGACAAACCCAGCTGTTGGGTTAAAAAATGCAATTAATAAATTTAACCCAACATTTGGGTTTGTCCATATTTGACCCAAAATTGGGTTAAAACAACCCAGCATTTTTTAGAGTCTAGTCAATATGTGCAATGTTCGCTTTGCATGTTATATGTTTGGCAACACTTCTTCTAACCCTAATTGATGGAGTGTGTAGCTTTTCATTTCTTAAACATCCATGTAGGAAGACACATCTCACATTCCAGGATGACAATGTCAAGATTCATCAGGCTCAAACAGGGAAGGGTTAAGCCTGAAGAATTATTTCACACACAGTCCTGCACACACTTGTAGACTCATGATAAGCTACACGCTCCATCAATTAGGGTTAGAAGAACGAATGCCAAAAATATATTACATGCTAGAAAGATAATCACAGCAATAATGATCCAAGACCTTTTGCCTTTTTAAATCCAAATGGCGACGTTATTTATTTTATTTCGTTTCGGGGAGTGTATATCACCATTAAAAAGTTTGGGGCCATTAAGAATTTTTTTAAAAATTATATATTTTTATTCAGACAGCAAGGATTAAAAATTGATCAAAAGTGACACTGAATACATTTATAATGTTACAAAACATTATCACAAAAATATTAAGCAGCACAACTCATTACTAAAAAAATCGGATCATGTGACACTGAAGACTGGAGTAATGATGCTGAAAATCCAGCTTAAATTATATTAAAAATATATTCAAATAGAAAACAGTTCAATAAATGAATATTTCCTAATTTGACTGTTTTACTGCATTTCTGAGCAAATAAACGCAGCCTTTGGTGAGCAGAAGATACTTAAAGGATTAGTTCACTTTTGAAAAAACTTGCTGATAATTTACTCACCCCCGTGTCATCCAAGATGTCCATGTCATTCAGAAATGAAGGTTTTTGATGAAAACATTCCAGGATTTTTCTCCATATAATGGATTTCAATGGGGTCCAAACGGTTCAAGGTTCAAAAGACAGTTTCAGTGCAAACTACAAACTGTTCAAAGAGCTTTGAATGATTCCAGATGATGAATAAGGGTCTTATCAAGCGAAACGATCGCTCGTTTTATAAATAAATAACAAAGTTTAAGTTTTATAAGCTCAAACGCTCGCCTTGCTCTGTTCTGTGGTGCACGTTCAACAAAATGAACAAATCTTTTTCCGAATCAATTCGTTCGTTTCTTTTGCTGAATGAACCAAATGACTCGTTCATTTTGATGAACGAGTTCGAACAGGAGTGCGTTACAGAACAGAGCAAGGCGAGCGTTTGAGCTTATAAAACTTAAACTTTGTTATTTATTTATAAAACGAGCGATCGTTTCGCTTGATAAGACCCTTATTCATCATCTGGAATCATTCAAAGCTCTTTGAACAGTTTGTAGTTTGCACTGAAACTGTCTTTTGAACCTTGAACCGTTTGGACCCCATTGAAATCCATTATATGGAGAAAAATCCTGGAATGTTTTCATCAAAAACCTTCATTTCTTTTCGACTGAAGAAAGAAAGACATGGACATCTTGGATGACATGGGGGCGAGTAAATTATCAGCAAAAGCTTTTTCAAAAGTGAACTACTCCTTTAAGACCCAAAACCTTTGAACCGTAGTATGATTTGATAACTGTGAAAGAGACAAAAACAAATTCCCACAGAGAGTTGATTTCACTAATTGTCAGCATAATAGGGGTGGTGTAGCTTAAAGTCTTTAATGGCATGAGCTGGCAACCCAAAAGTTGGTTCAAATCCCAGAAGGTTCACACCCTTGTTCCCTGGAGCGAGTGTTTCAACAGTAATGCGTCTCAACAGCTCTTTTAAAAGACTGATTTACCTGTAGCTCCCCATCATCACCGTCTCCAGATCCACCAACACAAAGTTGTTCTTCAGCTCTCCGACAACCATCTTCGTGTCACGCGTCAGGAACGTTTTACCTCCGAGAACGCGCACCATGATGTTCTGGAAAATGAGATTCCCTTGAACTACATAAAGACTGCAGTTGGTTTCCGCAACAGTCTAAACTTTCAGCTTTCAGAGATGTGGAGCGATTATCCAAACCACAAACATTCCTCAAACACACAAGCCAATCATCCGAATGTAGCTGAACCTGTTCACCGTGGCTTTGTGAGTTCCTCTCATTCATACTTGCATACAAACTCTGATGAAGAGTAACATTTGCTGACAGATGCAGAATACTCCACTAAGGTGTGTCTGGGCTTTTGTCTACAGGAACAGCCTAAGTTCAGTCTGTCAAGGTGTGCGTGAACGTTTTGTGGCTTAAAGGTTACACAAAAAATGACTTTATTCTCGAGTGTTTGGTGTTTTTTTCCACTGACTCACCGGATGTTGAAGCTGGTGCGATGAGCAGTGCTCCTCCGCGGATCTCCTGTTGAGGATGATGTACACCGGGACCCCTCGGGATGCAGCGGTTCGGAGGTCACCGATCACCGCGTTATCCGACAATTTATCTGTGACAATGGCAATCAGCTGCCCAACACAAATGCAAAAATGCTTTCATGCTTAGTTCAGTTTTTTGCATTCAACCAAATTATTTTAACTTTAACCCTTCCTTTATGAGTCACATCCTGGGCCTTCCCGGTCAGAAGTGACCGGAGGCCTAAAAATGAAATTTCTTCCATCACAGTAAAACCAATGCAATTTATTTTTGTTCTATAATATTTATTCTTTTTAATTTAGCATTTTGAGACAATTTGATTGAATTTATTAATATTTATGCAATATTTATGGTCTATTTTTTCAATGGAAATATATATATATTTTTCTATATATTTATATTATTTAAAAAAATATATATTAATGCAGTATTTTAGTTTAATATAGAGTCTAGGCCTTCAGAAAAAAATATTTTTTGAAGAAAATTAGCACCATCTGGTTACAGTATAGAGAAAAAGTGTAGAATCATGGTGTGATGGCATGTACAGCTCTCTATGGAGAGGCATGTGTATTACCCAGCTGTTTATGAACACATTTTTTTTTTTTTGGTGGATTTGAATATATAGTTGAAACAATCTCAAAAACTATTTCTTATTAAAAAATTTGTAAAAAAAAAAAAAAAAAAAAAGTGCATTTTTGTGTTTTTGTCAATTTTCCCATTCATTTCCTATGGGGGTCATTTTTGACCAAAGACCAAAATCGTGACAATTTTTTTTACGACCACTTAACATGCTCGGATCATGAACTCCATTTTTTTGTGTGTTCACATACCTAATGCCAGAAATGTCACCAAGTTTCGTAACATTCAGATGAAGCTGTGATTTTTAATAATTCAAAACAGAAAATTATTCGGTCAGAAGTGACCGCGGACCATCAGAGGGTTAAGGACCTCATTTGTAAAGAGGTTCATATATAATTATCCTAAATGTCAACACATGACAGTTTCCAAAATGTTCCTACGAATGATTCATACATTGTCCATCCGTATGCACAAAAATATTCAGTAGTTCACCTCAAATTAAGAATTTCCTGATAATTCACTCACCCCAATGCCATCCGATATGTTCATGTCTTTCTGTCTTCGTGGAACACAATTTTTTTTTTTTGTTGTTTAGGAAAACATTTCAGGATTTCAGGATTTGGACGGAAGTCCAAATCAATGCAGTTTCAAAGGGCTTTGAAGAGCTTCAACGAGAAGGCTCTACACGTTCCCAGCTGAGGAACAGGTTCTTATCTAGTGAAACGATCAATAAAAACAAACATACTTTAACCACAATTGTTCGTCTTGTGTGTGTCAGGCATTACGTCATCACACTGGAAAGGTCACGCTGGACGTAGGCGTAAGACGCCACTGAAGAAAGAAAGACACGACCATCTTGGATGGCATTGGGGTGAGGAAATTCATTTTGAGGTGAACTAATCCTTTAATGCATTTCTCTTTATAAATCGCAGTTCATCTGAAAGACACGAAATGAATATTACTGTATTAATTATATATAATGTGCCCTTGTAATCTTTCAATCACATCTCTTCCTTGGGCAACCTGTCTCTTATGAGATCCACCAATAGCAAACCACAACCATCCAATCAATTCCCCATGGACAAAATCTACTTTTTTTCCCTTTTTTTTGAAAAAACGATCAACTTCCAACTTTAAAATAAAGTGCATCAACATCAGCTACTGAATGCCTACAAATATCTCTTTATGGTTCAGAAGTACGCCATTCATCAATGTGCAAAGAAATCAGAAAACGTGTGAGCGCACGGGCCACTTTCCGTTAATATTATTATTATTTTTAGAAATTCAATTAATTTCAGGGATGCAATTATTAAAAGCAGTAAAAACATTACAGTAAATTATATCCATGCATATTCTGATGTGTTTTCATAAACAATGTCAAAATAATTTAATTACCGGTGTAGGAGGCCAAAGTTTCAGTTGAGGTATGCATAAGAACATTTTCATGTCGGTTTCAGCCTTTATAGACTAAATGCTGATTTGTTCTTCACTTTTGATCAAATCCATGGTATTCAGGATCAAATCCGACTGTATAATTGCGATTTAGAGCTGAATCGACATTGTTTCATCATTGATGCATTTTGCAACATCAACACTGAACTGAATCAACACTGAACTGACTCAAACTGAAAAACGAAACTATTGTCTTCTGCTTGTAGAGCAATTGAATCCATTTCATAATTGCTGAACTTTACACAGTTATTGAACTGAACTGAATCAGCTGAATAATGTCACGACGGTCTTTTTAGACCAGCATGATTTGCCTCATAATTGATTAAAGTAACACCAAGTAACTTTTCCTCTGCGGTCGCCCTACAGGTTGGAAGAGGAATTACCGCTGTTGTAAATAACTGTCGGACACACACTCGCTGTTTATCCAGCACCGACTTTGGAATGAACGATGTCCACAGACAAGATTTCAAGAAAGTATGATGTATTGCGACATCAGAAACGAAGAAAAACTGAAATAATGACTATTGTAACACTTGACTTAGAGCACGTCAAATTTGTAGTTTTCTTATGTGTCATTAGAACTACAGAAACACGACCCTATCTGGCAATCTGACATAGCGTGGTTATAGCAGATATAGGAGCGCAAAGCGAATCCAGAAGTGCCTTTCACCCCGTTACGACTTTTGAAACGATTTTCGTTTCCTCAGGTGCTCTTCGTTTCGGAGTCACACTTGTTATCTTCCCGGTCAAAAGTGACCGGACACCTAAAAATTAAATTTTCATCCATCCCAGTAAAACCAATGCAATTTATTTTTGTTCTATAATATTTATTCTTTGTAATTTAGTATTTTGAGACAATTTGATTGAATTTATTCATATTTATGCAATATTTATGGTCTATTTTTGCCATGGAAAAAATATATATATATTTTCTATATATATATATATTTTTTTTCAAAAAATTATTAATGCAGTATTTTAGTTTAATATAGAGTCTAGGCCTTCAGAAAAAAAAAATATTTTTTGAAGAAAATTAGCACCATCTGGTTACAGTATAGAGAAAAAGCGTAGAATCATGGTGTGACCACTAGATGGCATGTACAGCTCTCTATGGAGAAGCATGTGAATTCCCCAGCTGTTTATGAACACATTTTTTTTTTTTTTGGTGGATTTGAATATATAGTTGAAACAATCTCAAAAACGATCTTTTATAATAAAAAAAATGTAAATAAATAAATAAATAATTTATTTTTTTTTAAGACCACTTAGCATGCTCGGATCATGACCTCAAGTTGTTTTTTGTTTTTTTTGTGTGTATTCACATACATAATGCCATAAAAGTCCCCAAGTTTCATAACATTCCGATGAAGCTGTGATTTTTAGAAATTCAAAACAGAAAATTTTCCGGTCAGAAATGACCGGAGAGCACCTGAGGGTTAATGTAAAAAAATCTTACTTAATGCTGCTTTAAGCTGTTTATAATACTTTGAAACAGCTGCTATATAAATAAAGGTGACTTGACTTACCCTAGTGGCTCCTTGTAAGAGTCTCCTGAGCACTACTCGTATGGAGGCCTCCTGCTCTACAGGAGGATTGGTGTATACTTCAACTCGACCCATGTCCATCCAGCTGTACCTTTCCGGCCATCCGAGTTCCAAGCACGGAGCCGGAGTGTCAGACTCTGTGGGGAAATAATGTCCGGAGAAGTCGTCGCCCTCAGAACCGACCTCCACCTCACCGTTTCCATCCTCCAGGACCGCATCGCTCTCACGATAGTCCTCGACCCAGCTGGAGATCTGGTTGACCTCGCCGGTGGACAAGAACGATCCCACTTGTTCCTGCTGGAGAGTGGTGTAGAAGGCCTCAGGACCGGAGCTCACCAGGCTCTCCACACAATAGCGCTCTTCCTCGCTGTGCAAGAAGTCTGGACTGGACTCGGTCAACGGAGCGAAGACGGCGTTCTCGTTGAGGCTCTGCTCTTGAGAGTTTGACATGATTGAAACCCAATGATATCCTTCTTCTACCAAACAAAGTGCATGTTGGTGTGTAGAGAATAACTGTCAGCTCCTCTGAGTTTCGTGGAGGAGGATTTCGGTGAATTATTCAAATAGTTGAGGTTCTTCTTCATGCCTCGAAACTATTTAACTCTTTTTAGCCGCCATACGTCAGAAAAGCAGGATACTCCATGGAGGAATCATTGCTGTGGATCCTGGAGGCTTTCGGAAGTCCTAGAATACAGTCTGGAGGAGAAAATAGTTTAAGAACATTCCCAGCGTTTTACTCATCAATTTGTTTGTTGACCACCCTTGTGGAAAAGAAGTGCACTTGATTGTCACTTCTACAAATCTTAAATGTATATTTAAAAAAAAAATTACTTAAAAAAAAAATACTTTTGCTGATAATTTACTCACCGCCATGTCATCCACGTGGATGTCCACATCTTTCTTTCTTCAGTCGAAAAGAAATGGTTTTTGATGAAAACATTCCAGCATTTTCTCCATATAATGGACTTCAATGGGGTCCAAAACGGTTCAAGGTCCAAATGAGAGTTTCAGTGCAGCTTCAAAGGGCTTTAAACGACACCAGACGATCTTTTCTAGGACCCTTCGAGTCATGACTCGAAAAAATATTTGTTCATTTTGATGAACGAGTTCGAACAGGAGTCACGAACGCTCATCACAGAACAGAGCAAGGCGACCATTTGTGCTTATAAAGCTTAAAATTTTAATGTATTTTTTTAAATGAGCGCTCGTTTCGCTTGATAAGACCCTTATTCATCGTCTGGTGTCGTTTAAAGCCCTTTGAAGCTGCACTGAAACTCTCGTTTAGACCTTGAACCGTTTGGACCCCATTGAAGTCCATTATATGGAGAAAAATCCTGGAATGTTTTCATCAAAAACCTTAATTTCTTTTCAACTGAAGAAAGAATGACATGGACATCTTGGATGACATGGGGGCGAGTCAATTATTTTTTTAAAGTGAACTAATCCTTTAAGTGTACTTAAAGAATCATTTTGTAATAATGTCAATTTAAAAGTTCTTTAGTACGTTTTAAATCATGTTTAACAATCTTTTGTAGTGTTTTAGATTTTGATATGTTGACTAACACACCAAAGCATTTGTAAAGTACATGATTATACTTTTAACAGCATCGTGTTATCTGTTCTCTTAATGAGTAATGTACAAAATCAGTAGGTTGTAAATGTCATAAATTGCAACATCATCATAACTACAAATGACATACAAGTTTCAATAGAAATGACTTAAATAAATGCTTGACATTACATTCAGCAGCACCCTAAGCATATTTCAAAAGATAAAAGTAATAATAGATGCACGTAATCTTAAGCGGCTCAAAAAACAATCTTAAGTTCACCCAACTGATTTTACTATAAATTTAAACTATTAAAACATTTTCATTGAATTGCAATTAAAACATCACATGATTCAGTTCGCACCATTATAAAAGTATGCTACTTCTTTTTCACAGGTGCACGTTAAAATCCATGCATTTATATTGATCTATTTTATGGTAATAATTCACAAGAACAGATTATGTACTAAAAGTGGAGACTTACCACCCGCCTGTGCCTGTCTCTCTCACACACCCTCAGTCCATCGGCTCTTTGCGTCAAGTTCTGACATATCTCTGCTATCTCCACCCATTCTCAATCTGGTGTTGAATTACTCCCCGTCACCAGCCAATGTGAGCAACAAGTCAGTGCTGCGATCGGCCCATTTTTAGCTTTCGTGAATCGTGCACAACCAAGTCAGCAAGTCATCTAACATCCCCAAAACATGTTCAGAAACACTCTTCAGCCCTCGATCTCTCTCTCGTAAGGCTGATATCAGATTTCTGCCTTTTTTGTGTCTCTAGTAAACACATAGAGTGCATCTCTGTCGCCGACCCGCTATCGTGACTGGTTCTACCAGCCGAGCCGGTCTTCTCCAGGGAACAGAGATTGAGACCTTCTTTCCCTCTCAGTCAAAGGGGGCGAGGCTGGAACTCAACACCTAGTGGTCTCTTTTCAGACTAGGGCTGCACGATTATGACAAAAATCATAATTGTCGATTATTGCCTTGAAATTATAATTGCGATTATTAATTACGATTATCACAATTTACATTGAATGTTTTGAACAGCTTTATGCCATTGTTCGAAGTGACTGCATGCAAATTGTTATATAAAACGGCTGAAAACCCCTGAAAAACTTTCAATGCTTTTCTATGGTTTAAAGTAACACCGAGTAACTTTTCCTCTTCGGTCGCCCTACTGGTTGGAAACGAAATTGTCCATTGCCGCTGTCGTAAATAATTTAGCCTAGTCGAGACCGAGACCAGAGAGAGTCGAGTCCAAGTCGAGTCCGAGTCCATAGAGAGTCGAGTCCGAGACCAGAGACGGTCGAGTCCGAGTCGAGACCGAGATCAGTGAGGGTTATTACCTAATTTACTTTTATTTACTTAGAGAAATCCTTTTTTTTATTTTACTGAATTTACTTAGAGTTAAAAAAATATGATCAGTTTAGGGTAAAAAGGCCACATAGTAGGTGGTGTTAAAAGTAATTTTATTACAATTGGTCATGCGCAATTGTGCACTAGAAAATCACCAATCACTGGGCGTGTCAATCAATTTAAAGAAATATTTTATTAACATACATTAATAATCATGAAAAATATTTTGAATTGAACTCGAGTGGACTCGGGAACAAGTCCGAGTCCTAAAAAAAAAAAAAATGTTCGAGTACGAGTCAATTCCGAGTCCAAATGCACACGAGTCCATGACAAGACCAAGACCATTAAAATATGGTCTCGAGACCGAGTCCGAGACTCGAGTACTACAACACTGCGCTCGCTGTTTATCCAGCACCGGCTTTAGAATGAACGAAGTCCACAGACAAGGTAGAGTATTTTACATGATTTCCTGAAAGGATGATGTATTGCGACATCAGAAACGAAAAAAAAACCCCCCGAAATAATGACTATTATAGTGCTTGATGTAAAGCAGTCGAATTTTGTAGTTCTTTTTGTGGTCGGGTTCCTACCCGAACCCCGAAGTTACATAGCGCCAGTAAAAAGTGACACAGACCCCAGAAGTGCCTTTCACCCTGTTACGACTTGATGAACCACTGATAAGATTTTGGAAATATTATTTAAAGTAAACAATGTTAGATAGTGTTGCTTTAATGCTAATTATAATTATAATGTTACACTAACTAAAATTGAAAACAATGGGGAAAAGATACGCTGTAAAAAAACACATTTTAAGCACACAAAATAATGTAAGTGGACTTTTTATAATTGTGCCTTTGAACGATTACATAATTACAATACAAATTCGATGAATTGTGCAGCCCTAGTTTAGACGCATCCGGAGAAGCTACGTGTGTTTTAATCCAATGAAGAAAGAATGGGGAACTCACCTTAAGGTTCTGCATGATATCCATTCATTTATGCACACATTCCTCTTCTATCTGTCTAATGCCAATAGTCTCGTAGACAGTATAAATCGTGCTTTTAGAAGTAGAGAGTGTGTGTCGTATAGTGCTGAAGTCCTGCACAACAACTAACGTTAAACACAATAGATTCATTAGAGCATTTGAAAGATTGTTACTACCTGATTCAAACTCACTACTAGGCTATATAAACAACTTAATACAGTAGTGATCCTACTTGAACTACAGCATTTTTGTGATGCTTTTCTTTTTTTTTTTTTCTTCTAAGCAATGTTTACTCTAACCAAAAACGCAACTATTGTTGTGATTTTGAAAATATTTTATTATTAGAGTTTGTATACATAAAACATATAATAATACACATTCAATATTGGGGGAAAAAGACTGGTTTGAGGTTTCCAGTTGAGATATTTTCATGTTGGTAATCCAACGAATTGATCTAGAAACTTTTTTAAACTCCAGTTTTCTTTTTGCGTGATTTAAAAAGGATTTTCGGTCATTTTCTGAACACATTATCTTTTTGGTCTTTTCAGTCTTTTTGATGATATCTGAGATCTTTCTGTCCCTCCATTGACATTTTGACGAGAGATCGTAAAACTAATCCATATGAGGTGAGCGGTTTAGTCCAAATTTTCTGAAGGGATACAGATTGATTTTAATATTATTGCTCAACCAAACCTGCGCAAAAATTAACCTCATTTGGTTCTTGCTGAAGCTCAAACTCAACCTCATTGGTGCTCTCATGATTGAGCTTCTGTTTACCACAACTGATGTGTGAGTTGATGAGTGTTTATATGTGAATGAAAGCCTAAATTCAATCTGATGCATATAAATTGTTACATTTTTTTTATTAGATCGCTCAACTCATTTGGATTAGTTTATGATATTGGTAACACTTTACAATACGGGTGCACTAATAAGCATTAATTCATTCTTAACTAATGCACAAATAATACTGAATTAATGTGTAACTAATGATTATTTAAGCTATTCATTAATGATTACAACATTAGGAACTAATTAAGAGTCTGTAAGGTTAATGTATTAGTTCATACATGAATTGTTATTAATTAAATATGTAATTGTGGATTAATTCCATAATAACTCTTTTTTTTTTTACTAATAGTGTCAATTAATATGTTAATTACCAGAATGAGCCAAAGCCTTGTATTTCAACTTCCAGATAATATGACAGGTACACTAATATGCATTAATACATGATTAATTACTTCATTGTTAGTGCAAATTCATGTGCAAATTTCTACAATTACTAAATGACTAGTTAATAATGATGTGCCCCAACAAGTAAAGTCATAGCAAAATGATACCTTTGCAAATCATTAGCTAATGATTAATTAAAGCAGACAACTGGAAGTTGAAGTGCATAGCTTTGACTAGGTGTGGTAATTAACACATTAATTTACACTATTAGTTCATAAAATATGTTATTAAAGAATTAATACACAATGACGCATTGAATTAATAGCAATTCATGTAATACAAAATATATTAATCATATAGACTCTTTTAGTTGCTGATGCAGTAATCATTAATTAATGGTTTAGTTCTTCATTAGTTATGCATTAACTCAGTATTATCTGTGCATTAGTTAAGCATGAATTAATGTATATTAGTGCACCCGTATTGTAAAGTGTTACCATGATGTCTTTACGAACTTTTAGAAGTGTCGACGTGGTAGTTGTGTAGCTGTCAAGAAAGCTCTCAGATTTCATCAAAAAGATCTTCATTTGTGTTCCAAAGATGAACAAAAGTCTCTCCTATAAAGCAGCAGTTTCCACACTATGGTAAAATACAACACTTGTTGAGTCAACTTCCCAAAAGCAGCAAAGCAGGTGTTGGGAGTTTGGACCTACAAACTAGTAGGATAATAATAAATTACAACACTAACAATAAGCCATACGTCATGAAATATTTGACCTAAAAACAGCCAAAAGCATATATATTCTCGTAGCAGACTAAACATGCGTTGGGTGGTGTTAAAAAATCAGGCCCGTTTGCGCAGATGCACATAAAGTGCACCACTAATAAGTAAAAGGGGCACACAGACCCAGGCTAGAATGTAACAGTAGCCGAAACGACCCATTTCCAGTTCCTGAACATCTTGAAGAATCTCGCTCCTTTGAAAGGTGTAGATAAGGACAGCCGCAAATGCTGCAAAACCTGCGAGTGTGGAGGAGGTGAATCGTGTGAGAATAGAGGTGGCCACAAGGGGGCAGCACATGTGGTATTCAGGGAATAATAACATGACATCAGCGTCAACATGTAGTCCTACCTACCTAAATGAATACAAAATTATATAAAATCAGTTTATAAGTAATTAATGAAAACACTTACCTGCAAAAAATTGACATAGACCAGTGAAGTAGAAAAGTCCTCCTTTGGACATGGTGAAGAGCTGTCCGAGGAACACCATGAAGGAGATGGAGGAGAGCACTACAGATAATATCATGAGGGCCTGGACTGACTGCAGCCATTCTGAGAGAAGAATATCACATATAGATATTTATTTAAAAAGATTACTCGTCAATGTCAGTGTTGAAATGTAGTCTCTAAAATGGGTCGCGACCCAGTGTGCAGTCAAATAAATAAATAAATAAATAAATAAATAAACGTAATTCTGAATGTTTTTCTGATGCGAGACTTTTATTTTGAAAGACATGAGTGTCGTGAACGCGGTTGACTCTTCGGTCAGGCGACAAATTCAGTCAGATGAGATGGTTGTCAGGCTAAGTTATATGTCAGTGTCATTTTTCAAACACTATTTGCGATGATTGTTATTGTTTGCATCTCCATCTCTCTCTCGTATATATATATATAGAGAGAGAGCAAATAAAAAAGAATGCATGATGCTAGAATAAAACAGGATCTGTTCTTTTCTTTTGATTGCATTTATTCATACAATTGTTTGTGAAAATGATAAATGCTGGTGGTGGCTGGCAACTTTTATTTTTTTGAACGCTGGTGGAGAAAGAGTTTGTAATAAAAACAAAATCTAGCCTTGCCTTACCGTACGGTTCACACCGCCGCCGACTTGAGCTTCAAAGCGGCCGGATGTCATTCATTTTCAATGGAAGCTGGCTTTTCTCAGCTGCAAGGAGCGTCAAATAGATCGGCGTCGCGTTTTGGGCGTTTTGAGCGTCAGTCAGAAAATTAAAAGAAGTTCAGCGGCAAGTGTAACGGACAAGCAGCGGCAAACGCCAGCAACCAATCGGAATATAGACGTCCTTCACGCTGGCGGATTCGGGAGAAACATGAATGTAAACTTTCGTTCCTACCAAAACATTCCGAGAAAATGGAAGAGAAGCTAATCGCCGCTGCTGTGTTTCCTTTTTTTTTTTTTTAAATTTTTTTTTTATTTCCAAAATTATATATTAATACATTAGAAACAACAAATCACATATATTTTCCAAATTATTCCAACGCATCATACAATATAAAACATTAAAGTTGCTGCTGTGTTTCCTAATGGTTTGGTATAATTTATGACATGACGTTGCTGAGCGCAACTTTTATTTGAAATATTTATGAACGTTCGTTTTAAAGCGGGAATGCAATTAATTTGCTCATGGTTACACCGATTTGACCGCAAATAATAATAATAGCTTACTATTTTTCCCGACCAAAGGTGACCAAAACGGTTATAAAAATGCTGTCATTAATTGTCAATGTATTGCTTGTTATTTATGTTTATTACATTTCATGTTGTGACACTTCTATTCTCCCTGAGCGTTCAAAGCGTCAACAAGCTTCCCCGTACTTTTTGACAAGCGTCCTTGACAGAGCCAGAGCTTCTTTGACGCTCAAGTCGGCGGCGTTATGAACGTTGTTTCTGAATGTTAGTTACCCACCGTTCTCCTGGACAGATGCACATAACCAGGTTCCTGAGGCATTGTCATAGGAGCACTTATACCAGAGATCCGAGTTCCCCGTGTCTCCCAAAGTCCACCAGGACTAGAAAAAGCATAAAAGGTTTTCCATTGTTAGTTGAAAACGGTGTAGTGTAAATGCCCCTAATGATGTGTAGATGCTTTTTAAAAATGTGAGTTTCTCAAATTACATTTGTTAAAATGTTTCCCAATTTTGGAAAATGAGCTTCACCTGATCTCCAGTGATTTACATTATAATACTGTATATACATTAGAAATATGCAGGCAGTCGAAGATTTCACACTACAATTTTGAGCACGATTTGATTGACAAACACGCATGAACTCTGAACTATGCATTTGCTTATACAGCATAGGGCCGAAGTGTGTCTTTATTGCACTTCTGACTAACCTTCTCCATGGTGGCAATGAAAAGTATGGCCAGGGTGACCAAATGCAGAACGGTCACAAACATCAACAGGAAAGACATTTTGGTGGATCCTGTCGGTAGAAGAAAAAGTTCTGTTTGAGAACTTGAGGAATCATTTGGGTCTAAAAAGCCCGACATTATGAGCGCTGTGTAAATGTATCGTCTGTTCTCTAGCATTGAATGTGATTAAACAAACTGAAAGATACATTTTCTCCTGTTCTATCTAATGTTAATGTGCATCCTTTACAGTACAAAAGTTTAATGTTTTTGAAAGAAGTCTCTTTGCTCACCAAGGCTGCATTTACATGATCAGAAATAAAGTAGAAGTGTTAAAATAAAATGTACACTCTAAAAATGCTGGGTTGTTTCAACCCAAAGTTGGATCTAATATGGACAAACCCAAATGTTGGGTTAAAAATGTAATTTAAAGTTTTAACCCAACTTCAACTTTCACTTTTAGCTATAATTTTTCTAATTACATTTTTAACCCAACATTTGGGTTTGTCCAGATTTGACCCAACTTTGGGTTGAAACAACCCAGCATTTTTCATTTTCAGCTTCATTACCCCAGTCTTCAGTGTCACACGATCCTTCAACATCATGATTTGCTGCTCAAGAAACATTTGTGATTATTTGTGATTCGTTGATGAATAGAAAGTTCAAACGGACACCATTGTTTTCAAATAGAAATATGTTGAATGTCTTTAGTGATCAATTTGATGTATCAAAACTGGTGTATGATGCCAAATCTGGTGTGTGATGCTGACTGCACGAGGAAGTTTACTTAATCAAAATGATGCCATTTGCTGACAGAATCTTTCCAGGGAAAAATGTAGGACTCGCGTGTGAACTTTGATTGGATACATCACTGGCGTCAGACCTATAAATGAATTTTCACCTCATCGCTAGACGCTTTTGCATCATCATGTTTCCTAGCAATACCACAAACGTTCCAGGATTTTTCCATCCATAGGATGAATGGAGACTTCTGCTTGAATTCAACAAAACCTCCATTCATAGCAGGACTGTGTGACGGGTGACGGGAAGGAAGATTGGGAACGACACACACGGATCCCAAGACTCCACACCCTACTGTGCAGTGAAAATAACTCGCACTGCGTTTCAGATCTCTTTCCAAATCAGAGACCAAGAGGCCATTTGCGGTGGCCGAAAGATTACGTATTTAGACAACATTCTCTAACTCATGGTTTTCATTAAATCGGGCCCCGCCTCTCATGTTTACATGCAGGAGCTGCTCATTATGTGTTCCTGGAACAGATTGGGACAGTTCTGGCTCTTTAGTCACTCTCTCTGCCAAGCAAGACTTTACTAAGACGTTAAAATTATAAAGCTGTAATAAAAAAAAAAAATCATAAAAGCTACAGAAACACATCACGCAGGATCTCTGACAGACCAGATCACAATCTTTTCTACATCTAAGATTTTTCTGGATTGTTCTACAAACATAAACACATAGATAGTTTGACTCCTATAGGCTCTTCAGCGGGTCTTAGGTTCAGGATCATATGAACTATTTTATATGAGCATTAACAAAGTAAATGTGAAGATCTATATGATCTTTATGCACAACCATCAGACTGTAAGTCTGGAATTAATCATTAAAGAGAGGATATTCGCTGTTGTTGAAGAAATTAAAATGCAGCTTACCTTGTGTGTGCTCGTACCAGCAAATCTTCGGAAAACTCTCGTCTGAAGTCCAGTGTTGTTTGTATGGTCTCCTCCCCTTCTCTCATCTCCTCAACCCTCACTCACTCTCTCACACTCTCAAACTGTTGGGGAAAAACGGTCCAGCAAGGAATGTGAGCTCTGTTAGAGGAGGAGTTTCCTTCACAGGAGGAAAAACTCTTTGGGTTAGTTAAAAATGGGATTGAGTGTGTGTCCGCCCAAACCCAGAGAGAGTCTTTTACATAATTACACAACACCCAATGCAATGATGTTATATGGTAGTTTCAGCTATAAAAACGTGGATTTTTTTTTTTATATTGAATTTCAAAGATATTTTCACTTTGATGATTAATGATTATATTCACACCTTGTTCAATTCATTGATGTGTGATTTAGTAGGCAGTTAAAACCTGGAGCAATCTGGTCAATTATTTCCTGAAGGAAACGCAGACCCAAATCCCCTGTGAAGCGTTTCAATCTTTCTGCTCAACCAAACTGAACTATTTTATCTTGTTTTGTACATTTGTGGTTTTATTTAGAGTTAGTATAAACAGGCTAAATACTCTAATATGAGGAAAGGAACGTTCAGTAATTGAATTTTATGTACCTTCGTGCACAACAACTCATTCCATTAAAAAAAATGTTTTTTTTTGTTTTTTTTTCAATTTTGTGTCCATCATGAACATTTAAAAAACAAACCCAATGGAAAACCAAGTTCGCATATAGCATAAATTGTCTTTTGTCAAAGATGCCTTATTGTTTTAAAATAAGTCTATGCTATATGGGCTAATTCAAAGTGGAAAATGCACTCGTTTCGTGAGTGAACCTTATATAGCCTACTTGTTTGGGAACCTCGGTTATTATTATTACGGAGTTTGCGGGGTTCTTTTGCAGGACGTCCCACACAAAGATACACAGAGAGGGAGAGAGAGACTGCTGTCGCTGATGAACGTACAGTACATTTCAAGTAAACGCTGAAAAATCGTGAAGGTGAAATAATATAACATGCGTTTCTAGACGACCGTGAACGTCTGGAAGTTTGTTATTGTTAGCATGCGACAGTTGAAAGAAAGAAAAACGCTTCAGTCAGCTAACGTACGTGCGAGTTTCGCGCGATATCTCTCTTTTAAAACAATAATAACTTTTAACAACTAAAAAGTAACTTCAATGGTTTTGAATAACGGTAGGAGATGTGCACAGCACAGGTAAGATCTGGTTTTGTAAACCTTTCCGTGGCGAATCGCTCATTTTACTCTTTTTTCTTTAAAGGGCAATACATCACGATTTGGCTTTGAGGTAAATATCCGTCTGTTATAAGTTACATACAAATATACATCGTACTATTTGTTGCTTTCGCTCTTTTCGTAGAAAAAAACAACAACTGTAACTCAGAGTAGTAAAGTTTTCATGCTAGAAAACCGCAAGTCGTTTAAAAGGAAAAACAGATGTGCGCATGCGCACCACCTCCTCCGATCTGAACAACAGCTGTCAAAGGAGGTTTAAACAAAATGAGCACATCACGTGTTTGATGTACACATCTAAACACTGATTTCGCATTAGTTCATGTTTAGATCAAAGATAGATACACATTTAGACAGACATAAGATGCATCTCTATGTCTGTTTAGGATGGAAAGATGTTGCAGGACATGGAGCAGCGACTGCAGGAGGAAGGTTTGGACCCATCGGCCTCCGTTAATGAGCGCTTGTCTTTGCTGTGGCAGCTTTACAAGAGCAGTGAAAGTACTGTGAAGTCCCTCAACCAACAGTTACAAGATCTTCAGAAGGAACGTGTCGCTGAGATTGAAAAGGTGAGTTGGGCTAAAGAAAAAAGACTCATCATTTACTCACCTGTATTTGTTTCAGATCCACAGGAGTGTCTGTGGAACACAAAACAAGATGTTTAGGTAGATATATATATAAGAGAATATGTGTGTTCCCAGGTTCAGCAATACATCAATCAGATTAAGAGTCTCACAAAGACCCGAGACTCTGTGGCTTTACATCTCGAACAAGAAAACATAACGCTCCGTGCTTCTCTGGACGACGTCCATCTGCAGCAAGGTGCGTTTCTCTGTTTTCTCCTTCCTTTAGTTCCTGCTCGCTCTAGGACACTCATATGACATTTAAATCTATATGTACAGAGGCTCAGAGGAGCGAGGTCTCCGAGATGTTACTTCAGGAAGGTCTGGCTGATATTATTCCCATCAGCTTGAGTGAACAGGTGGCCTACCTCCTCGCTGACAGAGCATCCCTGCTGGAGAAGATACAGAGCCAGGATGTGGATGTGAAGAGCACATGCCATCCTGGTGTCCAAACGCTGCGGGGTTGTGAAGATAATATGGTCAAAGTAAGAGAATCCGTTCTCAGGTTACATGTCAAGTCAAATTTTTATTTATTTGCATGTTTTAAAGCTGCTTTACAAAAATTGATGATGTTAGAGTTTATAATATCTTAACATCATACCTTATGTCACATTTAGCAGATTGAAGCTGGACAAAAATATAGTTTTCATTTTGCAACGCAGTGTTGATTTGCTATATAGTATTACTTTACGTGAAGATACTGTATATAGTATAATATAGTTAATATTTTCCAACAATATTACATTATATGTTCCTGACTTAATTCTTGTTTTCTGTTTTTTTTATGAAAGTGCAAAACGTCTGATTAGAGACTTAATAAATCAACCTCCTCGTCTTTCCACAAGGTGTCATCACCACTACACGTCCAGAGCCCTTGGAAGCGGCTCCTAGGACTGCGAAAGGCAGCTCAGAGTAAACAGAAATTAATGCCTGTATGTTTATATAACCATTAACCTGATGCATGTAGTTGAAATGCACAACAAAAAGCATAGAGGCGTAAACTACATTTAAGAGGCGTTAGTATCACTTCTTATTAGTCTTAATTCAGATGGATTCCGACAAATCTTACAGTATACTGTGTTTAATTTACAAAAGCACCACTTTTACTAACTTGATCCTTACTTTTTTTTATACCTTTTCTATATTGCTATGACAACTGTGTGTAAAGTGTACTTACTTTACACTTTCTTTTACTTTACACTTTACTAACCTGACACTTTTAATTTACACTTTGACTACCTTTTGATTTCTTTTATCTTCACTTTTACCATCATTACAATTTACTTGACATTTTCTTTTACTTGACACTTTTACTAACCCTTTACTAAATTGATACTTACTTTATACCTTTACTTCACACTTTTTACCAACTTTCACAGTATACTATGTTTATTTTACATGAGGACCTTTACTTTCACCTTTACTATCTTTACAATTTACTTTACACTTTCTTTTACTTTACATTTGAACTAACTTTACACTTTTACTAACCATTGATTTCTTTTTACTTTCACCTTCACTATCCGTTACAATTTACTTTACACTTTACACTTGAACTAACTTTACACTTTTAAAACCTTTGATATCTTTAATTTCACCTTTACTATCTTTACAATTTACTTTACACTTTCTTTTACTTTACATTTGAACCAACTTTACACTTTTACTAACCTTTGATTTCCTTTACTTTCACCTTTACAATTTATTTTACACTTTCTTTTACTTTACATTTGAACTAACTTTACACTTTTACTAACCTTTGATATCTTTACTTTCACCTTTACTATCTTTACAATTTACTTTACACTTTCGTTTACTTTACACTTGAACTAACTTTAAATTTTATAACATTTGATATCTTTACTTTCACCTTTACTATCTTTACAATTTACTTTACACTTTCTTTTACTTTACATTTGAACTAACTTTACACTTTTACTAACCTTTGATTTCTTTTACTTTCACCTTTACTATCTTTACAATTTACTTTACACTTTCTTTTACTTTACATTTGAACTAACTACACTTTTACCAACCATTGATTTCTTTTACTTTCACCTTTACTATCCGTTACAATTTACTTTATACTTTCTTTTACTTTACATTTGAACTAACTTTACACTTTTACTAACCTTTGATTTCCTTTACTTTCACCTTTACAATTTATTTTACACTTTCTTTTACTTTACATTTGAACTAACTTTACACTTTTACTAACCTTTGATTTCCTTTACTTTCACCTTAAATATCTTTACAATTTACTTTACACTTTCGTTTACTTTACACTTGAACTAACTTTACATTTTTATAACATTTGGTATCTTTACTTTCACCTTTACTATCTTTACAATTTACTTTATACTTTCTTTTACTTTACATTTGAACTAACTTTACACTTTTACTAACCTTTGATTTCTTTCACTTTCACCTTTACTATCTTTACAATTTACTTTACACTTTCTTTTACTTTACATTTGAACTAACTTTACACTTTTACTAACCTTTGATTTCTTTTACTTTCACCTTTACTATCTTTACAATTTACTTTACACTTTCTTTTACTTTACATTTGAACTAACTTTACACTTTTACTAACCATTGATTTCTTTTACTTTCACCTTTACTATCTTTACAATTTACTTTACACTTTCTTTTACTTTACACTTGAACTAACTTTACACTTTTACTAACCTTTGATTTCTTTTACTTTCACCTTTACTATCTTTACAATTTACTTTACACTTTCTTTTACTTTCCATTTGAACTAACTACACTTTTACTAACCTTTGATTTCCTTTACTTTCACCTTTACAATTTACTTTACACTTTTTTTACTTTGCATTTGAACTAACTTTACACTTTTACTAACTTTGATTCCTTTTCTTGTTAATGTTTTTTCCTTAAGCATCCAAGTTGAGGATTTCTTGGAGTAGCATCTTAGATGCTGTCGTGCTCAGTGCCTACAAAGCATGCACTGGTTAATGAAATACACAAAATACGCACGGTCAAGTGGTCTTATATGAGTGTTTGTGTTTGTAGCAGGAGGTTGACATGCGGTGCAGTGGGGATGACAAGCTGAAGGGATGGACGTTACAAGAACTGGAGCGAGATGTAGAAGAAGCCTCAGCCCGGCTCTCCATGGCCCACAAGGAGATCCGCAGACTCACGGATGAGCTCGAGTCTGCTCTCTTGACCCAGAAGGCTTACGGTAAATCCCTTCACCGGTCTCACACTAGGGATTAAAAGGTGGGAGCACTCATAAACATACTGATAAATCAAAATTAATGCTTTTGTTTTAGAACCAGAGCTGCAAGAAGCTCAAATGGAAGTTGAATTCCTCCGACACGAAGTGGAGAAACTGAAACGCTGTGGTATCATTTATTCCTCATTTCTCTGTCTTGTGCATCTTAGTAGAATCAACCTCTCAGCTGAACTGACCTATAGTTTTACTTGCTTTTCTTAGAAGTGGCTGAACTGCGAAAAATAAAAGAGATAAATGAGAAACAGGAAGAAGAACTGTGTTATCTTAGGGTGTGTGTGAAGAGACTACAGGCAGAGCGTGTGAATTTGCTTGAAATGGTAAGATAATCATCTGTTTAAAGATGCATAAAGAAATGGTTCTTCCAGAAACATATACATACATAACTAACTGTTCAAAAAATTTGGGGTCACTAAAATTATTTTAAGGAATTGAAAGAAACTTTTATTTAGAAAGGATGCATTAAATTGATCAAAAGTGACAGTGTTATAATGTTATAAAGATTTCTATTTCAAATAAACATTATTTTTTTTTATTAGTTTCCACAAAAATATTAAGCAGCAGAACTGTTTTCAACTAATAATGAGAAAAGTTTCTTGAGCATCAAATCATCATATCAGAGTGATTTCTGAAGGATCATGTGACACTGAAGACTGGAGTAATGATTTATTCCCACAGGAATAAATTACATTTTACAATACACTCAAATAGAATACATTTGAGTATTTTTTAATTGTAATAATACGTCAAAAAAAAAAAAAGTTTTTACTTTATTTTGATCAAATAAATGCAGCCTTGGTGGGAAGACCCTTTTTTTAAACATGGTAGTGTTAATAAAGTTATAAAACGTTTGAATATTATATATATATGAAGAGTTCAGATGCAAAAGCCTCTAAGTGCCATTTGAAATTTTCTTCTTTAATGATGATTTTTATAAAACTTGTATATTTAAGTTCAGTAATTTCACTTAAATGGCAATGGTAATTACCTATTAATTGTTATTTAAGTGAAATTACTGAACTTGAATATACAAGTTTGACAAAAAATCATCATTAAAAAAGAAAATTTCAAATGGCATTTAGAGGCTTTTGCATCTGAACTCTTCATATATAAACACACGTTCATATTATATCACTTCAATTGATCATGTTATGTTACTGTAACAGGCAGAAGCCCCTGACAGCACCGTCTCTCCATCCAAAGCCCAGACGCTCCAGGAAGAGGATATTCATAAACGGTTCGACCTATATATAATGGATAAACATACTCCTGCTAATGGACCTTATTTATATACATAATTTTTAGAAGAATAAAGAAAGACAATGGCAAATTCTGCGGAGAAAACATGGACACACCTCTGGTGTTTTCCAGGTGTCTCGACGAGATGCAGGACAGGTTGATCACGCTGCAGGACCTGACTCGGGTCACACTGAAGCTGCGGATGGAGTTTGAGATGGAGGCGGACCTGCGGAGGAGAGCAGTGGATGAGTGTGAAGAGCAGAAGAGGAAGAGGACGGAGACGGAGCAGTTAGTGCGAGACTTTCAGAACCTCTGTGAGAAGCAGACGAGCGATTACAGGACCACCGTCAGCAGCCTTCAGCTCGAGGTGAGCACTGAGAAGGAAAACACACACACACACACACACACATGCTTTAATGCATGCATCTTGTGCATTCACAGATCAGAGATTTAGTATCTAAGGTGCGGGAGCTAGAGGTGCAGGATGTGGAAAGACAGTGTGACAAACACCTGAAGCAGGTAACCAGAGTGATTTGACTTTGGTTTGGTCATTAGTTATGAGAAGGGACTAAATCACTGAGTTTTTTAGGACGCTGAAGTTCGCCGGCTGAAGTTTGTCCTCCAGGAGGAGCAGGAGAAGACCAGACAGCTGACAAAGACCACGCAGATGGAAATCCATCAGGCCAGAGCTTTGGTCCAGGTAAAGGATTTTTTTCTATTCATTTCTCCCACAGGGACTTCAAAAAGTCTTTCTTAAAGGGATAGTTCACTTTGAAATCAATTTTTGATATGTTTTAGCTTACCTCAAGGACATCCAATACAGTAGATGTCTTTGTTTCCACAGTATTTTCAATTTTGAAAAAATCAAACCGTTCATATAATGGAGGTCTATGGTCACCACCTCAAAGAGCATGCACAGAGAAGACAAATTAAACATGATTTAATGACTCGTAAATGTAAGTACACATTGATGGCCTGAGATGGCCTAAGAAAGTATATGGAAAATCGGACAATGGTACAAGGCTGTGTACTTAACGTATTTAGTGATGGAAAGAACTACAATCCCATGAAGCACTGTGAACAGCATAATCGAATTAAAAACGATAAAAACATATAAACTACTCACTCAAAAATGTTGATTATATATTTGTGTATACGTCATAGGAATGGGAGGAGCTAAAGCGCTATTCCTGCATGGTTTGCTTCTTTCGACTCTGTACAGAATTATGGGTAATGCAGTTTAAGTTGAAATAACGTTCACTTTAGCTGGGTTACTTTATTTACGCATTTGCATAATTTCCAACACTTCTGATCTGAGGACAGCATTTCACTTCTATTCTGCCAAATAAAACTTTGGAGGATTTTAAATGTTAAAAGCGGATTTGGACGTTTAAAAGTGAATAATTTAACACATAAAATAGTTATTTTTATAATTATCACAAAAACTGTTGTTTTTTTTACAGTACAACTGTAATTTACAATAGTAATATATTTTTATAATTAGGGTTAAAACTAATTATTATTTTTATGAATAATTATGGTAATAATAATAAAGACCCTGAAAGAGGTCTTACTTGGTTTCATCATCATCATCATCATCATCATCATCATATCGCTGTTAAAATTGCCATACCCTGACAAAATAATTCTATTTTTGTTTTTTATTATTGTGGCCAAGTTGTGAATCCCTATATAGAAATATTAAATAACTTTAAAATAGAAACAATCAAAATAAATCATTTACTGAAAACAGATTCAATATTATATATAATTTGACCATTAACCGACATCAGAGAACCGTGAATTTGTGAATATGGCTCTCAGGATGTACTTCAAGTAAATCCACGGTCAAAAATGTTTGGGGACCCCTGCTGTGACCCTGAACACACACTTTCAGTGGTTGAGAATACCTAGAAAAGCACTATATAAATGTAAGGCATTATTATTCTTCGCATCAGTCACAGGAAGTCCAGCTTCAGCAGGACGCAGAGGAGCAGAAGAGGCTGTTTAAGGAGCTCCAGGGCATCCAGAAGATCCTCAGCACCACCAAACAAGAGCTGCTGTCCCAGCGGAGAAACAACACACAACTTCAACACCGCATCAGCGACGCGGAGCAGGAGAACCTCAGGGTACCTGACATTTGTGTGGCTGAGGGAATCGTAAATCTGCTTTAGTCAACAGATTGCAATGTTGTTTACTAACTCTAAATCTGTTTATTTGCTGTACAAGCAGCTCCAACAAGACATCAGTGACAGTCAACAGGAGGCGGACTCTCTGAGGACTGAGCTTCAGCTAGCTCTAGTTAGCGTGGACACTGAGAGGAGGTATTTTACTTACAGTCGACATTAAACGGAAGTTGTGATTGCGTTTTCTCCCTTATTGTGGCAAATACAGTGGTGTGAATAAGTTTGGACACCCATGCTAAAGTTGCCTAAAAAGAGGAATAAAAAATCATCTTTTGGATATTGATCTTAATGCCTTAATTAGAAAAATGAGGAAAACTCCAACCTTTAAGGACACAAATTTTCTTTGTGAATGAATAATGTGTCATAAATAAATAAATGTTTTTCCTTAAAATACAGGGTGCATAAGTCAGGGTTAAATTCCCATAGAGTCAGGCAGATTTTTATTTTTAAAAGCCAGTTATTTCATGGATCCAGGATAATATGCATATTAATATAAATATTAAAATATCCCCACATCATCACACACCTTTCACCACACCTAGAGATTGGCATGGTTTACTTCAGTTCGCCTAATAGCTGGTTTGATTTGCATTGAAAGATGATCTTATGGGAAGTACCCCATGCCAATCTCTAGGTGTGGTGGAAGCCAGGTGTGTGATGATGTGGGGATATTTTGATATTTATATTAATATGCATATTATCCTGGATCCATGAAATAACTGGCTTTTAAAAATAAAAATCTGCCTGACTCTATGGGAATTTAACATAGGGGTGCCCTGACTTACGCACCCTGTATTTTAAGGAAAAACATTTATTTATTTATGACACATTATTCATTCACAAAGAAAATTGGTGTCCTTAAAGGTTGGAGTTTTCCTCATTTTCCTAATTAAGGCATTAAGATCAATATCCAAAAGATGATTTTTTATTCCTCTTTTTAGGCAACTTTAGCATGGCTGTCCAAACTTATTCACACCACTGTATCTGAGTGAAACGACTTCTCGAACAAGAACAAATGTACGGCGGGACTTGATTTTGTCTGTGGGGAATTGATTGGATGGTTGTGGTTTGCTATTGGTGGATCTCATGCTCCGCCCTCGAGTCGGTAAACACATCATCAGAGAAGACGAGAGGGCTGCATCACATCATATATAGTAGGTCAAACATGTGACAAAATAATTCTGAATTCATAGTGCTCATAAAAGAGTATCCGGATGACCTATCTATTCCAGTGAGATTCATATGATGGACACTTTACTATCCCATGAGGCCACGGGAGAGGATTTATGAATGAACTGACACTGGTGGGTCACGTGATCAGGGCAACATGGTGAATGTAGTACTTCCGAATATCATTCATACTACAGAACATCCTTTTTAGCGGCCATGAATTAAAAATTAACAACTTTTAATATATTAATGAAAACAATATTTTAGTTAGCATCTCAATGATGCTAAAGCAGCGCTGCAAAAAGATCCATACATTAAAGATGAATTTAAAATGCTTTTTTGTTGAGTGATTTAAAGTAAAATCACTCTTCTTTAGCATGTGCTTTACGTTTCCAGTAAATACAACGACAAGCGAATCCACTACAAAAACAAGCTGAGCCGGGCCAGAGGGCTTTACCTGAGAGAGACGGGGTGGCGGGACGACAAAATAAAAGAGCTGGAGAAAGAGATTTGTATTCTGAGGAAACAGGAGGAAAAGGTAAAATGAATACTAATAAAATATTCAAAAGTTGTATGACTTTTAAATGACATCACACATGGTGACGATGGTCCAGACCTCGGACATGATGAAGATGGTCACGTCTGAGAATGAGAGTCTGCTTCAGAAGAAGAGAGGTCTTCTTTTACAGCTGCACGACTTCGAAGAGGCACAGAAAAATGCTTCGGATGCAGTTTCCTCCATGCAAATTAGGTACTATTGGATATGTGGGAAAGTTTGGGGTCAGCAGGATTTTTTTAAAAGAAATTAAAGTGACAGTAAAGACAAAATTTCCACTGTTCTGAAAAACAAAACAAAAACATCACAGAATCCACAAATGATTTCTGAAGGATCATGTGACACTGAAGACTGGAGTGATAATGCTGAAAATCACAGGAATAAACAGTTATTTAAATAATATTTCACACTATAACAGGTTTAACTGTGTTTTTGAATAAATAAATGCAGCCTTGCTGAGAATAAGAGACTTTTTTAAGAGTCCCACTTTATATTAAGTGGCTTTAAGCTAAAAATAAATACTATGTACTTGTTGTGTTTATGATGTATTGTAAAACACTTTTGCTGCTATTGAGGTGTGATACGGGTAAGGTTAGGGTCAGGTGTGTGTAATTACAAACGTAATTACATAAATTAAGTACATGAAGGTATTTTCAAAATATAAATAGAGTGTAAAAGCATGTATAAGTCAACTGTATCAAAGTATTAATTTCAATGCAAGTACATACTGTAGTACTTAAAGGAGTAGTTGACTTTTAAAAAAACTTTTGCTGATAATTTACTCGCCCACATGTCATCCAAGATGTCCATGTCTTTCTTTCTTCAGTCGAAAAGAAATGAAGGTTTTTGATGAAAACATTCCAGGATTTTCTCCATATAATGGACTTCAATGGGGTCCAAACGGTTCAAACGATAGTTTCAGTGCAGCTTCAAAGGGCTTTAAACGATTCCAGACGATAAATAAGGGTCTTATCAAGCGAAACGATCGCTCATTTAAAAACAAAAAACAAAACTAAGTTTAAGCTTTATAAGCTCAAATGGTCGCCTTGCTCTGTTCTGTGATGCGCGTTCATGGCTCTCCTATTCGAACACGTTCATCAAAATGAACAAATCTTTTCCAGAGTCAACTCGTTCGTTGAATGAGCCAAATGACACGAAAAAAAGATTCGTTCATTTTGATGAACGTGTTCGAACTGAACAATTTTGCAGTTTGTACTGAAACTCTCATTTGAACCTTGAACCGTTTGGACCCTATTGAAGTCCATTATATGGAGAAAAATCCTGGAATGTTTTCATCAAAAACATTCATTTCTTTTCAACTGAAGAAAGAAAGACATGGACATCTTGGATGACATGGGGGTGAGTAAATTATCAGCAAAAGTCAATTTAAAAGTGAACTACTCCTTTAAAGCCACTTAATATAAAGTGGGAGCCTTTTTTTAAATGAACTTACCACACATTTGATGATCAGTTGTGTCGTTGTGTTTTTTCTGATCCATCAAAACTGCATTTCTGGTTGAACTTCGTCAGGATAAATTTGCTTGAAGAAGAAAACAGTCATCTACGACAGACGGCAGCGCAAACGTCCGAGCACATCGAACGCCTGGCCGGGAACAATTGTGATGTGAGTATGATTGAAAAATTCACAGGTTTACAATATAACATTGGTTTAGTTTAAGTTGTGTATGATCTGTGTTCATATTTTACAGCAGGAGGACACCACGGAGAGTCGTGTCATAGAGGGCGAGGACCAAACCACTTTTCCTACATAAACTTCACTTTATTTTCAGTATAATCATAAATATTTCTAAATAAAGATCTCAAAAAACATTCACTTTTCCTCATCATTGACGTTCACACTAAGAATTAGCGTATATTGTTCTGTTTAATCTAAGTGCCCCTTCACCGACACCAAAACACATGTGTAACTCTGGATATCAACATACTAGAAACCACTAAGCATTATTAATTTATATTATTAGTCAGTAATTGTCTTACCTGAGAGTATTTGACAAACAGGAAGTGTGAACCGCTCTAATGGGACAGGAGCTTCTCCTCTTTCCTCTTTACAGAAGATGGCTTCATCCAAAGTGACATGAAGATCAGTTTTCAACATTGACATCATGTCTGCTAATTCGCAAAACTCACTAACGTCATAATCAGAGGTAAAAGCATTTGTGATAACCTAGCAGGCACAAACACACACCGACGCAGAATTTTCTCATATATTTATTTGCTTACTTTTACAAAGTCCGTTCCATCGGCGTGTCTTGACTTTGCATTTAGCAGCCAAGGCGGATCTTATCGAGTACCACATTTCAAGACAATTAAAAAGGTATATTTTATAATAACTAGACATGTAGTCATTTTATATAAACTGGTTAACACTTAAGTACTGTATAGTTTATTTACAGCATGTTCATGCTAGGAAATAAAATTACATAAAAAGTACTGAATACACAAGTAAACACCAATATGGTATAAAATATATAAAATGTGATGGTAAACAACTAGTGATAAAATGGTTAAGGCTTAAAAATGTGTAAAATCAACATGTTAGTTGTTAATATTTAAACATGGTAATAAGTATAAACATGTATAATAAGCCAAGGAGGTATTCTAGACATCAATTCAGCTACACAAATCTCATGGGCAACTCTGCATTGTAATCCAGATATTATCCCCCTGTCCTGTGTCAAATTTAAAACGGCATATGGCTGAATTTCAAGAACATGTCCACGTTATATTTCAACCCCAAATTAAACGAAAAGTAGGAATTTTTAATACGAATAAAACTAAACGAAACCATTTAAGGTTTTTTTTTTTTTTTTTTTTAAATTCTCGTAAAATCCCTCCAAACCAGTAGAGAAAAAAAAATGTACTGGTTTGGAGGGAAAATAAAATTAAATCACATTACTGTTATACAGTAATAAAAACTGTCTGGGCAAATTAATATTAAAATAAAAGCATGAGCTAAGTTTAGTACAATGCTAACACTTTACAGTAAGGTTTCATTTGTTAACATTAGTTAATGCACTGTGAACTAACATTTTATTAACAAAACATTACATCTGATATGTGCTTTCTGTACATAATCAGTTGTTTTTATCCTATTGTTTACTATAATTATTTACTAAACCTTTGAAATAACAGAAATCATTCGGCCTGAACGTGTGCCAACCAATCAGATTCAAGCATTCAACCGTCCCATAGTATAACAAAGATTAATAAAATACATTGATCGCTGTTAGTTGACTAGTGAGACCTTATTGTAAAGTGTTACAAATACAACAATAAGTGTACTCTACGATTTAAATAATAAGGGGATTAATGCAAAAAAAAAAACTAAACCTTCATTTTCTTTATGCAAAATATAAGATTGTGGACATTTCCTGACAGTTTCGAGAACATCAAATGCATGCTGACTTGAGTTGGTGCAAGTTTACACTTTTTTAAAGTGTGAATTCTGTGTTCACGCCATTTTTCATATTTCATTTTTGGCACCAGACCACAAAACATTTTTGTAAAGCACTAAGAAAACATCTAAATGTGCTGATTTGTCAGTAAAGTCCTCTGCAGGTTTATAACAGAGAAGTTTACTTGAATGCTAAACGTATTTTAATACAATTTCCCTACAAGCAAGGAAAGAAAAACATTATCAAAACACAAGACCATTGGTCTCTAAACCAACTCGGAGTTGCCCAAGAGAAGGGTGTTTTTCCCAGACAGCATAGAAAAATAAGAGAGGAGGTACTGGACTTGGTCCAAAGTATGTCTTCTGATTTTATAATGCATAATACCTACAGTCCCAAACGTTTAGCTGCCAAGAGCAATGCCTTTATTGTCATAACAGACCAGAAACGTTTAAAGCCAAACCTGCGTGGCCTGAAAGTGCTGTGAAACCATCTTTGGATTTCCCGATTATTCCGTATCGAACCCAACAACGAGTTCAAGAAGAGTGACGCGTGTAACTTCGACCTCCCGAAGTCGCCGCTGTGTTTTCAGCCTCTATCCGCACAGTCTAATACCTTTTGGAATGTTCTCAAAAATTAAACAAACTAACACACACACACCAAAAAAAAAAAAAAGTCAAACCACCAAGAACAGGCGATTTTGCTTGCTTATGCCAAGATTGGGAAAGACTGACCGCAGGACCCGGAGCTCAGATGAGGGAAATGCGAACGGGAACGTTGGGGGAATCGGTCCTTTGTGGCGAGTGTTGACTCACCAGATGTTCTACCACCGTGTGCTTGGACATGTGCTTCATAAGGTAGGTCTCCTGGGAAGGGACATTAAAAGATATTGGTAACACTTTACAATAAGGTTCGTTAGTTAACATGTATAATATAATAATACAATATTAATTCCAACATTAATACGTTCTTAAAATCAAAGGTTGTATTTAGTGTCAATCCATTATATTTTTAAAACAGTATTATCCTATACTAAATCTAAACTAATCTTGACAAACTATATATCATTTGAAAGCTTAGAATTTGGTGATTGATTTTCAAAATATATTACAGAGGAGCCGTAATTTATCAATTTGCAACAAAAATATTTTCATACTCTTTCATACTTTCATACTCATACTCTAACCTTTATTTTGAAATTGTGATGAACATGAAAAATCATGAAAGAAGGGTAGAAACTTGTTTGTTTTCATGCCAAGAGTTCAAAAGAAAGCCTCCATTCAATTATTTTATAATTATAATAATTATTACTTCATATGGAAATGGAGGCGCCCTTATATGGGCAGTAATGGAGTCTGGTTGTGCCCTAGTGAAAAAGTTTGGTACTGCGCCCAAACAAAATCTCACTGAAAGCTCATTTTTTGAGATATCAACCTAAAATTTGAAACACAACTTATTCAGATTTTTGGCTTTGATTTTTTAGCAGTTGCCAGGTTTTAAAAAAATATATATTTTATATAAAATATGAATAATTAATTTTTTTATATTGTACATTTTCATAAACTCAAACTTCTATAACTTTTCTTCTGTTTCACATTCTTAATTTATTTCAAAATCTGCCAAATGTCTTCTTTAAAACGAGACCATTTTTACGTCTATATTCCAGAGCGTTCTTGAATTACAACCATTTAAGTTCGAAATGTGCATTTTCATCTATATTCAAAAAAGGGGGGGTGACAGTTAAGGGGTTAATGGACTGTGAACTAACATGAACAGCTGGATTTGAATTAACTAACATTAACAAAGATTAATAAACACTGTAACTAATGCATTGCTCATCGTCAGCTCATGTTAGTTAATGCATTTACTAATGTTAACTATTGAACCTTATTTTAAAGTGTTACCAAGATATTCATGAAAACAGTGATTGCATATATTGCTAAAAGACTATAAACTGCATGAATATGTTCACTAAATCCTAAAAGAGAGGAAATGACACATCCTGTTTGTTCTCAAGCTGGTACTGGACATTTAAATACATATTTACAATACTGTAAGGCTGTCTAAATCTATCCAATGGTGGTACTTGATTGAAGGTGAAGGTCTCACGTGTGTTTCGTCTCTTCTCATGGCAAAGGGATTTTTAATTAAATGCAATACATTTTATCTTATGTATTAAAAGGTTTTATCTGTGCATCATTAAATCTATCGCATCATCGTTCCCCCCCCCCCCCCCCAATACAGTAGATTCACAAAATAAAATGTTTCACTTTTTATTTTACATTTCTAATTCTTTTTTAAAAAAGAATAAAAAAAGGTAACATCCCAGCGTATCTCAACCCGTGGAACAAATAAATAACAAGATATTTAAATGGTCACATTGTATTTCAATCCCAATAATGACCCGAAGCGTTTAAATAAAAAAAATGTTAAAAATCGTAGCTTCATCAGAATGGTCCGAAACTTGGTGACTTTAATGGTACTTGGTATATGAACACCCCAAAAAAATTGGGGACAGGATCTGAAAAGTCTATGGTCGTAAAAAAATAGTCACACTCAGGACCGTCGGGTCAAAAATGACCCGCATAGGAAATGAATGGGAAATTGGCAAAAATACTGAGTTTTTTTGTGCGTACAATCTACAAATCAGCAACGATCTTGAAAAAAAGCACACAACAGTGAAGGGGTGAATCTATAAAACATCAAGAGTGCAAAACAGACACATCCACACACACACACACACACCAAAAAAAAATTCAGATTATGCATGTGTTTTGCATTTTTAAAAAGCTCAGTTTGTCCACGCGATGGCGTCCCTCTAATTTCAAAAATTGCTTTTATGAGGCCTAGGCTTGACTCCAAAATGAAATACAGCTTTAAAAAAAATTATTTTTTTTCAAATATTTTTTTCTATTATATTCAATGGGGGAAAATTTGGTCGTAATTATTGCATTAATACTAATTATAAATTTTTGTATTTTTGAAATTTGCTCAAAACACCAAAAAAGAAAAGAAATATTATAAAAAACAAGTAAAAAAAAAAAAAACTATGATTTTCTTTTTTAAATATGAATCCCGCCCTTTGGGTCAATTTTGACCCGAAGTTCCCGAGTGTGACTGTTAAACGAAGAACCCCAGAGGGTTAAATAATCATATTTCTATTTGTTTCGAAACTGTGAAAATAGCTTTACAATCAATATTTTAATATATATATTTATATATATATATGAAATGCATTTACTGTAACTAGTCACCATTTATTCCCCCCCCCATCATTTTAATAACCTTTATACATAGACTTTTTTTAATTTTTATGATCCTGCATTTTTTAATCTCTCCAATAATGTAAAGTCGGTCATAAATTCTGCATGAATATTAATTATAAAAGACTTAGCGAGACACATTTTTCGAGCATACGTTCTTGGTTTGTACGTTCTTATCTTCCACTGGGCTGAGAAGAGTGAAGAGGAAGAGGAAGAGGAAAGCTGTAGTACTCACAGAGGTGTATGCGCGCCCACACATGCTGCAACAGTACGCCTTGGCGTTTTTGATGGCGTGAGCCGATAGGTGGATTTGGAGGGAGGCGGAGTCAGAGTACGCGCGGTAACAGTTGGAGCACTTGTAAGGCTTGTCTTTATTATGTGATCTCTGGTGGGACTGCAGAAACACAACGCTCTTGTTATTCACCAACACACAGATGACAGAGCTCAGGGTTAAAGGGATAGCTCACCCAAAAATGACAATTCTGTCATTATTTACTCATCCTCATGTTGTTTCAAACCCGCAAGAACACAAATGAAGATATTTTTGATGAAATCCCCTCCATTGACAGCTACGCAACTACCACTTTGACGCTTCAAAAGGTTCATAAAGAGATCGTAAAACTAATCAATATGAATTGAGTGGTTTAGTACTAACTTTCTGAAGAGATCCAATCACTTTATTTGATGAACATTGAATTTAGGCATTTATTTACATAGAAACTTGATTGGTTCTTGCTGAAGCTCAAACGTACAGCGTAACACGAGAATGAACCACATGATTGAGCTTCCGTTTACCACAACTGATGTGAGAGTTGATCAATGTTTATATGCAGTGTTGGGAGTAACGCATTACAAAAGAAATACATTACAGTAACATATTACGTTTTGCTGTAACGCAGTAGTGTAAGGCATTACTAATCAATTTTCAGTAATATTTTACTCGTTACATGTTCAGTGAGGCTTGTATTACAGTTGTATTACAGTGTATTGTCTGCTTTTACTTCTTAAAGGCAACAGACTATGTGAAAGTTTTAAAGCAGTCTTTCAGTGCCAGTTCAGAGCGGTCGCGTCTGTAACATTGTTTTTTCCTCATAAATGCGAACACGAAAACTAAAATAAAATGAATATTTTAAGTTCTATGGAGACTGGAGAGCCAACCCTTCCTCATCCGATTTGCGCAGTGTAATTAAAATAATTACAAAAAATATATTTTGCCATTTTTTTGTCACGCATAAATGTGCGTCTTTTCCCTAATATTAAAAATAAAACATAGACTGATATTTGTCTAATGTCTGGAGTCCTTTAAGGAAGAAGCCTTTATACGCTTCAATACATGTATTTTCTGAGAATTTTTATTTCAAGTTTTGACTGCAAATGTCATCATGTCCATAATACTGGACTTCCCCAATTTTAAATAATTTTTTCTCAACTAGTTTTGTGGTTAACTTCAAATGTTAACTTCAAACAATACTAATAGCCTAATTTAAAGATAAGGCAGCATTGGATCTGGACGGTAAGGAGAATAACGCTGGAGTTGGAAGAGGTGTGTCGCGATTCTGTAGGTTCGTGGATCTGAGTCGTGTGGCGAATCGCGATTTCGGTTTCATATTGCATATCGTTACAGCCCCAAAGTTAAGTTCTACTTAGTTATTTTGGTGAAAGTAACTCAAAAGTAATACATGAGTAATGTAACGCATTACAATTCTGGGACAGTAATATTGTAAGGTAATGAATTACTTTTAAATAACAGTAACAAGTAATGTATTACAGTTTGGAAGTAACTTGCACAACACTGTTTATATGTGAATAAACGCCTAAATTCAATCTGTTCATCATAAAAAGTGATCGAGTCTCTTCAGAAAACTTGGACTAAATCGCTCATATCTTACGATCTCTTCATGAACTATTTGAAGCGTCAAAATGAAAGATCTTATGGGTTTGGAACGACATGAGGGTGAGTAATTAATGACAGAATTTTTCTGACCGATTACAAGAGAAGAGATATGTGGGTCTTACTTGCAGATTGGAGAGCTGCGTGAAGGCCTTTTCACAGCCTGGATGTAGACATTTATACGGCCGATCGCCTGTGTGGATTCTGCAAAACAACAAGCAGAAGGTGACGGAAAACGTCAAAACACAAGATTAAACGTCTTACAATCTCGAAATATCCTCGTTTGATCCTGGTAATACCATGCCTGGACACAGTGACAGCACGCTTGTGGACACGAGCTCTTGCAGTACCTGGTGTGCTGCTGTAAGTGGGAGAGCTGGCGGAAGGATTTCTCGCAGTAGGAGCAGTGATAAGGCTTCACTCCCAGGTGAATGCGCAGGTGCTGAGACAGGTAGGACGCGTTGGCGAAGGACTTGGTGCAGTGAGGGCACTTGTGGGGCTTTGCTTCCGTGTGGGATTTGGAGTGTATCTGCATGTCCGACTTGGAGAAGAACGTCAGCGGACACACTTTACATCTGCAAAATGTGAAAAAAACGATTGAAAATAGGGGTATGTGGGGGACTCAGGAGCGGTTTGTGTGGTTAGTACTATTGTAAATAGAGGCAGACCGATATTATCGGCCGATATTAGGCATTTTCCAAGCTATCGGTATCGGCGGTTATAATGGCCGATAAATGAATATTTCAAAAATAAAATAAAAACGGACGAAACACGCTTGAACCATGTCATGAGTGTTGGAGTTGTATAGTTTGTCCACCAGAGGGCGCTCTACACCGTTCCTGTTGGCAACACTCGTTAAGTTGGTCATTGCTTGAATAACAATTAAAAGATCATCCGCATCAGTTCTCTGAACTCAAATAAGCATGACAAAATTTGTGACTATCATGTCCAGTTTAAATAAATAAAAAAATAAAATATCGGCCGATATATCGGATTTTAAAACCCAAAAATATTTGTATCGGTATCGGCCTTCAAAATGCTTTATCGGTCGGGCTCTAATTGTAAATGGTATAAAAGCAATTTATGGAAGCTAATCTCTATAGATGACATATACTGCAGTTTGGAGCCATATATAACGCTGGAAAGAGGCTTGCAGGCGAAGGGAATTCAATTCAATTTGGATTTGGAGAAAGAGATCGAATGCTCGTTTGCAGCCAAAAATCAACGCAATATTTACATCTAGGGCTTTAAAATGAAATCACGTAAACATTAAATAAGTATATGCACGGTGTGTTCACAGTAAATGCTGATCCACATGAGCAACACAACATTATCTTTCCAAACGTTTTCTTAAATTAATTCAATTTAAATTAATTCATAACCACAAATTATTTGGCAGAATTGTGCAAAAAGACAAGTATTCAATATCGCTACTTTAGCTGAAAAATAGCAATAAAATTGTTATGAACGTGGCTGTGGTTAAACGAGGTAAAAACGATATAAATCCTGTTGGTTTTCTCACACAAACCGCTCGTTTCGTGTCTTAGGCCATCAGTGTGTACTTACATTTACGAGTCATTAAATCATGTTTAATTTGGACTTCTCTGTGCTGCTCTTTGAGGTGGTGACCATAGACCTCCATTATATGAACGGTTTGACCTAAAAATATCAAAATACTGTGGAAACAAATACTGTGGACCTACATCTTGGATGCGCTTGAGGTAAGATAAAACATATCAAAAATTAATTTCAAAGTGAACTATCCCTTTAAATAACATTTATGAATTTGTCCGATGCTTTTATCTTTTATTTTATTTGTTCGTATACAAAGTAAGCAAATTATCAGTTCATGACTTTGCACCTTCACTGTCTTGATTCACCATATTTCTATGTAAATGAAATGCATGCAATAAACGAGAGCAATACTGGAGGAGAATATCTTAATTTTGGGCCGAAGTGTTCCTTTAAACGCAAATCTTCTACCTGTATGTTTTGCCCTCCTTGGCAGGGATGCCGCTGGGTGATTGGTCGACTCCCGAGGCCAGGATCGGGTAGGGAACGACTAAGAGCGGCCCGGAGGAGTTTTCAGCTTTGATCTTTTTGCGACCCCGTCCTATGCTCTTGGGAGGGGGACCCAGCAGTCCTGCCAGTCCTCCGCTGTTTTTGAAAGCCTCCATCCCGGGCCCGCCGGCCAGTCCTGAGATGAGGTTTGGGGAAAGAGTCTGACTGCTGGTGGTTGGAGTGGTCGGGGTGGTCGGAGTCACGCTGTCTGATGTGTTTCGAGAAGACGTCAGTGACAGTCCTGAAAATATACCTCAATTAAATAGGCCATATTATGCACTGTTACAAACTCTTGATTTTGTTTGTGACTCTACTACAACAGCTTTTCACATATTTGACATTATTGCAGCTCCTCTTTTCCCAGTCTGTCAGTAACGCTCTGTTTACTTCCTGTCTCCCTGTCCTGTTTAGGGGTGGGTTTAGGGATCAGGGGGTGGAGCTGGGTAGGTTTAGGGGTGGTTTAGGGATCAGGGGGTGGAGCTGGGTAGGTTTAGGGGTGGTTTAGGGATCAGGGGGTGGAGCTGGGTAGGTTTAGGGGTGGGTTTAGGGATCAGGGGGTGGAGCTGGGTAGGTTTAGGGGTGGTTTAGGGATCAGGGGTGGAGTTGGGTAGGTTTAGGGTGGTTTAGGGATCAGGGGCGGAGCTGGGTAGGTTTAGGGGTGGTTTAGGGATCAGGGGGTGGAGTTGGGTAGGTTTAGGGGTGGGTTTAGGGATCAGGGGTGGAGCTGGGTAGGTTTAGGGGTGGGTTTAGGGATCAGGGGGTGGAGCTGGGTAGGTTTAGGGATCAGGGGGTGGAGCTGGGTAGGTTTAGGGGTGGTTTAGGGATCAGGGGGTGGAGCTGGGTAGGTTTAGGGGTGGGTTTAGGGATCAGGGGGTGGAGCTGGGTAGGTTTAGGGTGGGTTTAGGGATCAGGGGTGGAGGCTGGGTAGGTTTAGGGATCAGGGGTGGAGCTGGGTAGGTTTAGGGGTGGGTTTAGGGATCAGGGGGTGGAGCTGGGTAGGTTTAGGGGTGGTTTAGGGATCAGGGGTGGAGCTGGGTAGGTTTAGGGATCAGGGGTGGAGCTGGGTAGGTTTAGGGATCAGGGGGTGGAGCTGGGTAGGTTTAGGGGTGGTTTAGGGATCAGGGGTGGAGCTGGGTAGGTTTAGGGGTGGGTTTAGGGATCAGGGGTGGAGCTGGTAGGTTTAGGGGTGGTTTAGGGATCAGGGGTGGAGCTGGGTAGGTTTAGGGGTGGTTTAGGGATCAGGGGTGGAGCTGGGTAGGTTTAGGGTGGTTTAGGGAACAGGGGTGGAGTTGGGTAGGTTTAGGGGTGGTTTAGGGATCAGGGGGTGGAGCTGGGTAGGTTTAGGGGTGGGTTTAGGGATCAGGGGTGGAGTTGGGTAGGTTTAGGGTTGGGTTTAGGGATCAGGGTGGAGTTGGGTAGGTTTAGGGGTGGGTTTAGGGATCAGGGGTGGAGCTGGGTAGGTTTAGGGGTGGGTTTAGGCATCAGGGGCGGAGCTGGGTAGGTTTAGGGGTGGGTTTAGGGATCAGGGGTGGAGCTGGGTAGGTTTAGGGGTGGTTTAGGGATCAGGGGTGGAGTTGGGTAGGTTTAGGGGTGGTTTAGGGATCAGGGGGCGGAGCTGGGTAGGTTTAGGGGTGGTTTAGGGATCAGGGGGTGGAGTTGGGTAGGTTTAGAGGTGGGTTTAGGGATCAGGGGTGGAGCTGGGTAGGTTTAGGGGTGGGTTTAGGGATCAGGGGTGGAGCTGGGTAGGTTTAGGGGTGGGTTTAGTATATAATGGCAAAAACATAATTGTATTAAACAATTAGCATATTTTACATGCACATACCTGAAAGATGATTCGCTCTGGACGGCTGGTCTATGATTTGCCGCAAATGCCAGTCTTCCCACAATCCCCTTGCTTTAATGGCAGCCTTATCGTCCAGATTCAAGTTGACGTCCCCCAGAATGCGACCTGCCCGAGTTGAGAGTGCAGTTAGCAGTCTGCATGCGTGTCAGTGAGCAGCTTTGCTCCATGCCTGGAGGGTTTACCTGCGACGGAGCTGGAGGCGGGTCGAGCGTGCAGGGCGATGTCGGGCTGAGAGCTGTTGTGCACGTGGAGTCCTGGCATCTGCTGCAGCTTGGGCGTCGATATATTCTGCTGCCCGCCTTCTGTGGATGTGGGTGGAACCAGCAAGGGCTGCTGGGAAGGGACAGAAGTGGGCGGCAGGTGCGGAGGTCTGATTTTCTCCGCCATTAGCTGTTCTTTGATCTTGTTAATCAGCACGAGATTATCCAGCTGGGAAAAAGTGAGATCAACCTGATGGTTCCGACATGATGAGAAGAACTCATGTTTAGCCCTACAAACCCATGTTTGATATGCATTTCTTTAGGCCTTTAAATGATTAAAACTGCTGAAAAATCGTCTAAATGATCATTTAAGCAGGTAAAACAACTTTTAGTATCATTCTAAAAACATTTCTGTAAAATCTTCACTGATTCGTATAAAGTAAATGCAAGAATAACTTTTATATTATTAGTAATATTTTAAAATGAATACCTACTGGACTGAAGAAACTTAGGTTTACTTGATTATCCATACATTATTGTTTAGAAAATTAGAAAATGTGAATATCAAATATGAATCATCAAGCTTTTTTTTTTATTTGCCTTATATTTCCCTCCACGATAAAAACTAAACATTCAAGTATCATCTTACCAAGACATATTGTGTGTGGCAAATGATATTTATATGCATTTTATATAAGTAGTCTTTTACACCGTTTATAAATGTGGCCATGTAAATATCAGCAATTGCATATTTTTGCTCAGTTTGGGCCTTTGATTAAAACCTCCTATGAGCTTCATATATAACTCTGGTGTATCAAATATGATGCTTAATTTTCTTTTTTTGATTTTGTCTAAAGGTTCAATAATAAACCATTCCATTACAAAACAATTCGATTTTTTACTATTACTTCACACGTCAGTCTTTACGAGGTTAAGAGCATTTGCTGACTAGCGAAAGATCTGACTGATTGAAAGATGCATCTTAAACTCTAATCTTATACAGTAATTGCACTTTTATCTGTTACTGAAGAACTAAAGTAAATAAAAAAAATATAAAGGGGATTGATGCACGTTCATTTTCATTACCTGACCAGGAATAGACGGCGGAGGAGGCCAGAAGTATGGATTATTAAATCTAGGTTCTGCCATTCTGAAACACACAAAGTCATGCTTGATTAATGATGCTTTATTTTAGGTCATTCACTGTCACTTGCCCAATCCTAGGATGACAACCAACCAAATGGATCCTTTTTGGGATTGCATACATAATTTAGATTCGTTGCTACTGAGATTCCCAGATTATGGCCTGGTTTCACAGACAAGACTAAGATTGAGCCAGGATTAGACCTTAGTTCATTTAGGACATTAAAGGAGTAGTTCACAAAAAAAAAAAAAACTTTTGCTGATAATTTACTCGCCCCCGTGTCATCCAAGATGTCCACGTCATTCTTTCTTCAGTCGAAAAGAAATTAAGGTTTTTGCTGAAAACATTCCAGGATTTTTCTCCATATAATGGACTTCAATGGGGTCCAAACGGTTCAAGGTCCAAACGAGAGTTTCAGTGCAGCTTCAAAGGGCTTTAAAGGACACCAGACGATGAATAAGGGTCTTATCTAGCGAAACGAGCGGTTATTTATTTTAAAAAATAAATAAAGTTTTATTAGTTTTTTTTTACGTTTTATAAGCACAAATGCTCGCCTTGCTCTGTTCAGGAGAGACACGAACCCGCGTCACAGAACAGAGTGTTTGTGCTTATAAAACTTAAACTTTTTTATTTATTTTTTAAATGAGCGATCGTTTCGCTTGATAAGACTCTTATTCATCGTCTGGTGTCGTTTAAAGCCCTTTGAAGCTGCAATAAAACTCTCATTTGGACCTTAAACCGTTTGGACCCCATTGAAGTCCATTATATGGAGAAAAACCTTAATTTCTTTTCGACTGAAGAAAGAAAGACATGGACATCTTGGATGACATGGGGGCGAGTAAATTATCAGCAAAAGCTTTTTTAAAAGTCAACTACTCCTTTAAGTAGCTTTTATAAATGTGCCTTAGATAAAAACATTACTGGTGTGCATCTTGAGACAGACCAATGGCAGTGACATATTTCAAGATGTGTCAATGCACGTTGCGTTCAGTTGAAACGGCTCTGGACTAGACTTCAGCCTTGTCTGTGAAACCGGAAGAAAGACAATATACTAAGAGAATGTGAATGAATGAAACTAGGGCGACTGAAATAAACAGGAACATATGTATCGCATAGATTAGGTCTGACCTCTCCGGATCATATATTGATAAGAAATGCAGATCTAATCTAAGGACAAAAATTCAATTAAACAGGATATCAGTTGAGAAACAACATTTGAGAATAAAACAGGACTTTCAAGAAAATAAATAATTTTCTTAGTTAAAGGTTAGTTAAAATATGCCATTCTGATTTAATTAAACACTATGATCTGGCTTCATGTACAGAGTTATAATAAAGCTTTATTACAGTGACGTAGAATCACTCCCATTGATCTTTTTATTGAAGACTTGCACTAATACTAACGCATTCATTGTAGACTGTGCCTTTAAATGCATTGGTACATTGCTGCGTCATATTATTCATGACACAGTGGTATTAATATGATACAACACAGAACCAGTATTTCGGGCAAAATCACACAGTTCACACACCTATAGCGGATTAATAATATAATCCCTCAACATGACGCCCGTTGGGAAAATCAAACAAGTAACTTCCTAATGCAATTGAGTATTGCTTGTTGGATTGCTAAAGGCAAAATACATAAACGTTTTTAGTAAATATGCTTTGCTGTGCTGGTGTACACTTGTTCAGATTATGTTAGTCTTATCACAACAATGTAAAAGATTTCAACCTATTTCAACTTCAGTTCTTAAATGGTTAAAGTCATTTCAACTTAAATCATGACCTTAAAAATCAAGTTGTCTCGTATTACTTTTAACTTAGATGAGTTAAAGAGCCCTAATATAAAAACCTGTTGCCTTAACATATTGATTTACAGTGAGAGCTTATAAACAAAAGGCACTTTATTAAGTCGATCTGTGACAAAAAGAAAAGAAAATGATGATATTTGTGTCTCTGAATGTTAAAACCTAAAAATGTCAACTGCAGCGTCTGATTCATATGGAAAAGTGAAAACTCTACCCCACAGTTTTAGCAGGAAGTGAAACAGACACCCTTTCAGCATCATTAAGGAAATATTCAGCAGGGCCTGGCCTCATATATTTGGACATATCGCTTTTATTATTTTTGGCTGCGGTAAATGAATTTCTCTGCAAGGCCCCTTAGTCAAACACTCTCAAGACCCATAAGCACTGCCAAAACATTCATAGCACGGTGTCACAGACATAATGTATGAAAATGATACGCCTAAAGTAATCACACCGTATGGAAACGTTTCTAAAGGTAAAGATTGGCTTGAGCGGAAGGATGAGCGTCAGTGTTCAATTCAACCGCTTCTCCATAGAAAAATAAATTACTGTGGTGAATACAGTGCTGGATTGTTAGTTATAACAAGTTATAATAATATAAATATGGAATACTTAGTTATATATATTATATAATATAGTTATAACAATATAAATATGAATACTTAGAATTAATTGTTTTGTAAAAACCAATAGCTTACCTGCACTAAAAGTAGTTTATAATTAATTATTATGAAGATCTCAACTAATGTGGCACTGAAATTCACATCTGGTAAGTATTTCCGAGAATATCATGGTGCTAAATGTCCTCTAAATAACAAACAAACAATGATATACCACGTAGATTGGCATTAATCTGAGGTGTATTACAAATATAGTTATAAAAATGGTTCATTTTCCATTTTAGTACTAGTAATAACTATAAATTATGCTTAATTACATGCAACTAACCCCGTAGTACGTATTTCTACTAATTTAATATTACTCAATAGGCTATAGTTGTAATAAAGACACTTGTAATCGGCAATTAAGACTTATTTCTTCCTGTCTCATTTAAATGACGCCGAGGGGAATAAGTCTTGAGTTGCAGGATGACTATAACATTTAAAACTAATTCACACTCAAATAAGCACCTTCAAACAACACGTAAATATCAAATAAACATTTCGGCGAGGAATGACACGCCTCCGAGTCTCTGATATAAACTGAGATAAAACTTACTCAACTTTTTATTTTATTCTATCGGCATCCTTGAAACCATTCCCAATTAAAGCGACGTCGTCTTTGATCAAACATCGAATTAAAAAGATTCGGAAAATCGCGTAAAATCGCGGCTACGGAAAGTGCAGGTCCCCGGCGTCTGCCTCTCCCACATTCTCAGACAGTTTTATTAAAAATTTCAGACAAAAGGAAAACAAAAATGGCAGCCTGTCTTATTTTTATAAGGACAGGGCGCCATATTCTGCAGATCCCAAATTTTTTAGCGACAAAAATAAAGCGCGTGAATTCAGATCAAAGGAGCGACGCGTAAAACGCCGCATTATTTGCATTAAGTGTGTGAATGATTGTTTACTTAGATCTGCAGGTTTGAATAGCCCGGCTGGAGGAGAAAAAAAAAAAAACAGAGAGGAGAAAAAAAAAACGAGAGACTTCCTACAACAATCATGCGATGCGAAAAACACACACAAATGGAAGCAGACGCGCATCCCTCCCGACAAAATACAACATTTCTATCATGACGCGATTATGCAGGCGCGCGCAGATGGGTATTGTTGCAAAGCGCAACTGCTTATGATTTTTTTTTTCTTTTATTTGAACTTTTTTGCTCGCTCGAATGACTGTGGTAAACTAGCATCGTTTCACTGCATCGTGCAAACGTCAAAAAATTATATGCATTCGCGAATATGAAGAGAGACAAACAGACGCCTACCTTACAGAGCTCGACGGCGGATTTATTAGATTTATTGAAAGGTTGAGATGTTGTTTCGGCTTTGCCTTCGGAGGGAGTTCAGACCTTCCGGGTCGCCTGTCGTTCACTTCTGGTGCTGCAGACACAGCTAGAGCAGAGGAACCATATATGATCACAGAACATCACACACACACACACACACACACACAATCATGACTCGATGACATTTCGCGTTAATTCCTCTGAGAAGTGATTTACAGGCTATAGAGTTCAAAAGAAGACATTACAATGAGATGTGGATTGCCTGAGCCAGCATATAATATGCATTTTTAGAACATAATATGCATATACATGTAGCTAATATCAAGATATCATACACGTTTGGGTTGGAGTTGAGAGGATGTGCAAACAAAAACAATATAGGCACTACCAGGCAAAAGTTGGAACACATTTACTAGTTAGCCTATTGTTTAGGCAGTTTTCAATATCTAAATAAAGTCATCAGACCTATGATTATGAGAATTATGCTGTGACCTAAATATATTAAACAAACAACAACAAAAATGAATGAGCAATGAGCTTCCAGCTCTGGACATTTTCTTAAAGGGACAGTTCACCCCAAAATAAAAATGATCTCATGATTTATACCCTTAAACCATATGTGTATATCATGACTATCTTCTTTCAGTCAAACACAATCAGAGTTTTATTAAATAACATCCTGGCTCTTTCCAGCTTAGCGCATATAGGCTTTCTGAAGTGAAGCGTTTGTGTAATCAAAATATCCATGTTTATCACTTTATAAACTCGAATCACTGGCTTTTCCAGTGTCATCCGTACCGGAGTCTAGTTCTGGTGGAGGCCCGACACATGATGTATTGACGAACGTGGAATTAGAAGTATAAAATTATTATTTTAAAGAGAAATTTTGGAGAAGCTTGAATTTGTTGCCTGGCTTTATTAGTTTGAGCCACGAGAGGCGTCTATCCTCACCTCCAACATCATATGTCATGCGTCAGGTCAGAGGTCACTCGTCATGCGTCACTCTTCTGCCAGAACTAGACTCGCAACACATCGCTGCTCTTCAGAAGGCCTTATTAAAGGAGTAGTTCACTTTTAAAAAAACTTTTGTTGCTAATTTACTCATTGTGTCATTTGGTTCATTCAACGAACGAAATGAAAGAGTCGACTCGGGAAAAGATTCGTTCATTTTGATGAACGAGTTCGAACGGGAGAGTCACAAACGCGCATCACAGTACAGAGCAAGGCGAGCGTTTGATCTTATAAAACTTAAACTTAGTTTTTTTTTTTTTTTTAAACGAGCGATCATTTCGCTTGATAAGATCCTTATTCATCGTCTGGAATCGTTTAAAGCCCTTTGAACAGTTTGTAGTTTGCACTGAAACTGTCGTTTGGACCTTGAACCGTTTGGACCCCATTGAAGTCCATTATATGGAGAAAAATCCTGGAATGTTTTCATCAAAAACCTTCATTTCTTTTCGACTGAAGAAATAAAGACGTGGACATCTTGGATGACATGGGGGCGAGTAAATTATCAGCAAATTTTTTTTTTTAAAAGTCAACTACACCTTTAACCCCTGGAGTCGTACGGATTACTTTTATGATGGATGGATGCGCTTTTGGGGGGTAACATCCACTCTCATTACAAAGCTTAGAAGAGCCAGGATATATTTTTAATATAACTCTGATTGTGTTCGGCTGAAAGAAAGTCATATACACCTAGGATGGCTCGAGGGTAAGTAAATTATGGGATAATTTTAATTTTTGGGTGATTTTTTATCACTTGTACCAATTTAGGATGTTGACAACCTGTTTTATAATTTGTTTCATAATTTGTGAACTCAATCTGTAATTGTCTACAAAACCAATTTCAAGCCTTCAGATTAAATGGTTTTTATGATGATGCGCAACATTAAAGCATTTCGTTTCTTTAGTACGTTATTTGATTGTCGTTCTGTTAACTGAACGCTAGATGGCAGCAGGAGCACAGTCTGCTTGATTCAAGGGTTTTTAAACGAGTGTGTGTGGATACACAAACACCCTTCAGTGTTCTTGCAGGAGCTCTTTAGTGTTCGCCATCAGTCGAATAAAAGTCAACGAACCATGTCGTGTGCTGTCAGTGTCACGAGATCTGCATCATACATTACACACATCTGAACACTGGGGAGGAAGCAGATGGACTGGTTCCTGTGAGTTCTAGTCAAACACTCCCACTGCACACACACACACGTGCTTTTGAGTCCAGGTGAGACAGGAATACTCTCGACTGTTTAGACACGTCCCACTGGGGGAGGGTGAAGAGAAATGCACACACACACACACACACACACACACACACACACTCTGAAAAACTCACGCAGAATGAGTGACTGCTGCTGTGTTCAGGTGTCTCCTCAGTGCCTTGACTAATGTTGATCTTCATCACGTGAAGAACCTCAGATCTCACAGGCTTCATTACTGCATTACTTCATCTTTCTGGTGAGTGAGGAATCATCTTGGATTGGCCCTGCGATTATGGCATTGCAATTAACCAAATGCTCTTGATTTTATTCGATGTTGTTTATGCTGTTATATTCATGTGGCGAATTGCCCTAATGTGGGACATTTTTTGCACTTCAGACTTCTGTGAATATATTACGATGTGCAAGCAAAACAGTAAATCCACACCCAATACCATTAAAAAACAAAACAAAAAAAAAAAGTATGTGTCCGAATTAGGGCTGTCAAACGATTAATCGCATTCAAAATAAAAGTTTGTGTTTACATAATATATGTGGGTGCACTGTGTATAATTATTTTGTATATAAATACACACACATGCATGTATATTTAAGAAAAAAATAATATTTATATATAAAATATGTATATTAATATATAATATAATTATATCTAGTATATATATAAAAATATTTCTTAAATATGTGTGTGCATTTGTATATATAAAATAATTATACACAGTGCACCCACATATATTATGTAAACAAAAACTTTTATTTTGGATGCGATTAATCGTTTGACAGCCCTAAGAGAAAATTCAGATAAACCATTCATAAGAGAAATTATTAGTTGTCTGAGACAATCTGCAGCTTCCTAATGTGAGACACTGAAAAATCTATGATAAAATAAAATAATAGAATAGTAAAATCGTATTTTTATTTTAGATTCTCTCTTAAATCTTAGTTAGTCATTTTCTTTGTAATGAATGAATGAAACATTTTTAGTTAGATAGATCACAATCCATAAACAAGACTATTATATCAATTATAGTGATGCATTTGTAAAACACCTAAAAAATAAACAGATAAACTTAAGAGCAAAATAATTTCGTATAAAAAAGAGGAAGCATTGTTTATGCTTCCTCTTTACCAAAACAGCATAATGGAGAAACCCCTTCTTTAAACTTACTGATAAAATTGTTACATGGATTATATCTATTTATTATTTTAAAGCGAGTTTCTTTGACGTATTTATTAGGAATTACATATGTATTAATATCTGACCACAGATTCTGAAAAAAAGGCCTAGGTGAAACATTTTTCTAATATAAACATTATTCATATTTTTATTAAAATAATAATAAAAACAAAAATACTGTCCCACATTAGGCCCGGATTTGGAAACCACATCTCCTAGGAAATTTGATAAAAATATAAAATATATAGTTTATACACTATTTTTTGATGTACAAACATTTCATAAGCTTATTAGGACGGTCTTCACACAAGTTGTCTCCTGTTTGATGATTGCTACACCCTCAAATATGATTGGACATGTGATTTTGATCATAGTTTGCATTTGGGTCATTGACCCACAGTTCAGTGTCATTCATGTATTTATGGGGGACCTACAAAGACTAGACCTCAGGTGTCCCACATTACAGAAGTGGAAAAAGTGACTTTTTTTATGACAAAGACATTTCAAATTTGTAAGATCATGATGCCATTATGAATCCTCCACAATAAGACCAGATCCATGTATTAAAGGAGTAGTTCACTTTTCAAAAAACTTTTGCTGATAATTTCCTCACCCCCATGTCATCCAAGATGTCCATGTCTTTCTTTCTTCAGTCGAAAAGAAATGAAGGTTTTTGATGAAAACATTCCAGGATTTTCTCCATATAATGGACTTCAATGGGGTCCAAACGGCTCAAGTTCCAAAAGACAGTTTCAGTGCAGCTTCAAAGGGCTTTAAACGACACCAGACGATGAATAAGGGTCTTTTCAAGCGAAACGATCTCTCATTTAAAAAAAAAATAATAATAATAACAAAGTTTAAGTTTTATAAGATCAAACGCTCGCCTTGCTCTGTTCTGTGGTGCACGTTTGTTCGTGACTCTCCTGATCGAACAAAATGAACAAATCTTTTTCCGAATCAATTCGTTAGTTTCTTTCGCCGAATGAACCAAATGACTCGGAAAAAGATTTGTTCATTTTGATGAACGAGTTCGAACAGGAGTGCGTTACAGAACAGAGCAAGGCGAGCGTTTGAGCTTATAAAACTTAAACTGTGTTATTTATGTATTAAACGAGCGATCGTTTCGCTTGATAAGACCCTTATTCATCATCTGGTGTCGTTTAAAGCTCTTTGAACAGTTCGCAGTTTGCACTGAAACTATCATTTGGACCCCATTGAAGTCCATTATATGGAGAAAAATCCTGGAATGTTTTCATCAAAAACCTTCATTTCTTTTCGACTGAGGAAAGAATGACATGGACATCTTGGATGACATGGGGGTGAGTAAATTATCAGCAAAAGTTTTTTCAAAAGTGAACTACACCTTTAACCCTTATGCTGCATTAGGGACATTTTTGGTCTTTTGCAGTTTAATTTCTTTGACCATTTTGGCTGTTTTAATGCAAATGGTATGAAATTTGGCAAAATTGTGACTTTTTGGATACATGTAAAAAATGTGATCCCATTTTGCAAAATATGTATAACACACACTGTGTAGATCAAATAGTAACACTCAGCACCATAAAGACCAAAAATGGCCCATTGAAACCCATTAAAACGTTGTTTAAATCTGAGGCTGTCAGTAATACATGAAACATGATTTTTGCACAAACATCCTTTCATTTTGAAGCAAAAGCATTATATTTGCATTATAAAGTGTGTATTCCACCAGATGACGTCACTACATATTTATTCCCTATGGGTGGAAATGCACCTTATTTTAGGCAATAGGCAATGTTTAATAGGTGGCCATTTTTGGTCTCTTACGCGCTAAGTGGGATTTTTTGCAAAGTGGGACTGTGATAATCCAAATCTAAAGTTTTCTCTTTGCATTTAGTTTATTGAAAATAATTGAATTTTTGTGTTTTTTCCTCTTATACAAATCGATGGTTTCGCAAACAAAACTGGTAATTAAAGGGTTAAAATCCTGAAATTGAATACATTTTTGGTAGTTATGATGAGGACTGATACTGGTTAAAAGATTTAACTTGGTAAAAGTGGAAAATAATAATAATATATAATATTTTAGGCAATGTTTAATACGTGGCCATTTTTGCACTCAACGGTGTTAAAAATCTAATGCAGCACAAGGGTTAAACAAACAGGTTTAACGTATCTTGGGCCTTGAACACAGTCCTGCATAATCGGACTTTCTTTTAAAAATCTAGTGCATTTATGATCGTCTTCCTCCCAGAGAATGTGCATTATGACTCTTTAACCCTTTAACGTCTGATCCGTGCAGATGGAAGGTGTTCTGGACGCTGCGCTCCGTGTGTGTGTGTGTAAACTGACGTTCAGTGCGCTGTTGTGTCCGTCTGTGGTCACACACACCGTCACAGCGGTCAGTGTTTGCTGCTGCTGCCTGCTGTTATTCACGGACCTGGCCGTCACCCGTAAGCAGACGCACACCTTCTCCTGGTTTTCCGTTGATTCGTGGATCTGACGTCTGTTGTTCTGTGTTCCTCCAGTGTTTCTGCTCTCCGTCTGGCTCACGGAGATCTGGGTGACGCCTTTCAGCGTGTCTTCGGATGTGGTGGCCCTTCGATTCCTGCTGTTTCTCTGCCAGGCCTACGGAGCCGTGCTGTTGCTGACGCCGCTCCTGATCGCGGTGGAGTTGCTGGTCGATCTGCTGGACGGGACGGCCACGGGACACTCGGAGCAAAATGAATCTAAGCGTCTTTCTAGGACGATTGGCTGTTTGGGATGTCTGCTAGCGTGGGTTGTGAGTGGGATCTATAGCAGTCATGACTGGACGCTGGAAGGGTTCGCTGTGGAGGCCTGTTTGAAAAGAGGCGGACGTCTCGTTACATGCATTCCCGACACGGATGAGTCGTCCTGGGTTCTTCCGGCAATGCTGGTCCTGTTGAGTTTGGGTCGGCTCAGGTCTGACTCGTGTAGAAACACACAGATAAAGGACGGCTGTGGCGTTCACAGGGACGGGTGTGTTTACGGTGAGCAACGATGGTCCTGTCCAGGGAACGATGTCCAAACCGGTTTGGCAGACAAACCAAACCTATCAACGTTTGCACAGTCTAACACCGATCTTCTACAGGAGGTCACATCGCTGGCTGTTTTTAACAAACGGTGTTGTATTCCTGAAAGGGAAAGTCCCCGCTTTAGGCTAGACGCGCTCACAGGGTTGGTATGCATGGCTCTGGTTTGCGTTTTTCCCACAGTCGTCAGTGGGAATATTCTCCTTATCTTAAACTTGGAGAACATGGTGGTGAACACATTTAAACTTTTATCTCATTCGGTCAACAGACTCCCGTAAGTCTGATTATAGATGAGGTTTGTGAAGCAGAACGAGATGGCCGACCTGTTATTGTCCATGCAAATTCATTTGATGGATCGCCTTGCACACGTACCGCAGCAAAATCTGACGCAAATGCAAATGAAGCCTGGGGTTATGTTCATGCGTGTCTACATCCAGGGACCCTTTTGTTACGGATTTTTTATTTTTTTTTGTTCACAAATGTAATTTTAGTCTGTTTATTAATGTTTTTACTCTACATTTGTGCTGTTTTTGGAGGATTTGTGATATCTTTGAAATTTCTATAAATAAATAAAGAAATATTTATTTAAATAGACTTTTTTTTTTTTTTGCAAAAAACTGCAAATTTACTTTATAAAAGACCCAGATTTCTAACTTTCATTTATGGGGATAACATTGATCATTTTAAATGATTTAATGTAAGAGTCAAAATTTGCCCTTTTTTTTGGGAGGGGGGGAGCAGTTTTAAAATAAAATAACTCACTTTAACCACTAGATGGCCATAGACCTCCACCATAAGCTATTTGTCATGTGATTAACCAAACTACTTATCTTTTCACAAGTTTTTCCAGTTGGATTCATATCTAAATATTATAAAATCACAATTATAATTTTAATCACAAGTTTGTCAAAGTTTAGCATTTTTTGTACTGACAAAAGTTCTTCAATAATGTTACATTATGCTTTGAATCAAACCTGAGCAAGACTCCCAGTCCCAATGTTGGAGTCTTTAGATTTTATCATTTATTTTAATCATCTGTTTTTAATATAATTCTACAATTTTACTAACTGTAACTGTAATTACAGAAATTAACAGTTATATTACATATTGAGGAAAAATACATGACATGAACATCAAAATGCAATGAACTGAACAGCAATAACAAATGAGCAAATAAAGCAGTGAAAAAAAAACTAGTTAATTAAAAAAAGTGAATGGGGGAAAAAAAAAAAAAATCAAACAACTAGAAACAATAATTGGTGGTCATCTCATACAGTCTCGTTTACAGTGCACGGCAGGTGTTTATGCGTCAGTGCACGGCAGGCAGTATGCATAGTATAGCCTTACAAATGTATTACTGTGTGTGTGTGAGAGAGAGAGAGAGAGTGTACATTGTGGATTTTTTTTTTGCATTGTTGGAAGTGTGCCACTTTATTTCTGTCTGTGATCTGCGTTGTTTAGTGTCGGCATTTTTTTCACGCTAAAATAAAATAAAAATATATATATTTAAAAATATATATATATATATATATATATTTAAAAATAATATATATATATATATATATATATTTATTTTTTATTTTTATTTTTTCTTGGTAGATCTAGACAGTGTTAAGAGGCGTAGAAGTTTTCATACCATTTGGACAAAGAGAACATTTTTTAAAAGTCATTTGCGGGCCAAAAAGACCCCGAATATAACCAGAGATTAGAAGTGAACTCCGGTGCAAAATGAACCTTTGGTCTAATAAAACATCGGTACCTAGTCAACCGTTCTCTGATATTTGTTTTCATGATAATCAAATGTAAAGAGTTTTATTTATGTTTATATTATAACGCTAGTATATGGGGCATATAATAAGTGAAAAGAAATCGCTAGTTAATACCACTAACAAGGCTCAAAATAGCCCCACACTAACACAGTGACATGATGAGGGTCCGGACATGTTGTTTTGCATGTAGGGACCCTCATTATTCGGCCTTATATTTTGCACCGCAGTTCTCCTTTAAGGTTGCAGAAACAGATGTGTGAGGAATTCATGAGTTTATGAGGAGCACTTCTTTGCAAAATAAAGAAACGGTTCATTTTGAGAGCACCAGCTGGTTTCATATGAGATAGTCGTGTTATTTTTAAACCCTAACCAGTTTACGGTTCCCTAAAAAAGCAACTGGGCCCGAGGGGTGCTGTGCTTCACAGAACAATAGTCACATATGAGCAGTGGCATTTACAATGTGCAATAAAGTATTTATGTGTACAGACGTGCTTGAAGTCCCTCGCAACCTGGCCAAGAGAAGACGCTTTCATGACCGAACATGTACAAATAAGAATAATCACACAAGTTGAAGGAGAAGACGAACCTCTTGGATGGGCTTGCAGCTCTTGAAGTCTACATTTCACCACCAGAGGTCTCCCTGCGCTGCGTCTCACACCGTATGCTGAAACCCAAGCTCGAGCTGCAGCTCTTTGGAGAAACGCTACACATAAACCACTCGCTCAGACACATGCAGCTGAATCTCTGTGAACACAAACCAGTCTGATCCCACCGGGCCGTGCTGCAAAACTGGGGGACAAATGCATTTGAAACTGTTATTTTAGCATTATTTATATACAGTGATAAAATGTATTAATAGTAAAAAGTATTTACATTTTTAGTGTGTTTTAAGTGTTTTTATTTATTTATTTGTAAATTTAGCACTTCAACTTAAACATATTTTTTTTTCTATTTAGATGCTAGTGACATTTTTAATTTTATTATTTAATTAAAAAAAATAAATTATTTTATTAATATTAATAAAAACACTGGTTAGCAGTAGGATTAAACTAAAACTATAAAAACATTTTTTGGACTGAAATAATAAACTTAAAGCTTATTTAATTTCAGCTTATTTTAATGGTTATTTCAATTAACAAAAACATTTCACTAGAATATAGTAACTATACACACTAAGCTCACTGTAAAAAAATATTTATGGTTTAACTTAAAAAAGTAAGTAACCTGGTTGCCTTAAAATTTTAAGTTGATTGAACTGGAAAAAGTGAGTTAATGCAATGAAGGAGATTAATTTAACCATCAGAAACTCAAAATTATAAAAGTTATCTCAACTAAATAAATTATTATAAAGTTGATTTGACAAAAGAAAATATGTTGTGATAACAAATCTTGAAAATATTTTTTACAGTGTTAGTTGCTATGGCAGGATTATTTCTTATTTTCATTTAGTTTAACGATGCACTGAAATAAATAAACTAAAGCGGAAAATGAATAACTCAAAACACAATTTTTTTTTATGAAAATGGAAAATATGTCAAATAAAGCAGATTTACGGTGAATTTAGATTAGAACAGATGAGGTTTGTATAAGATGTGGAGTTATAAAACGGTTACTTCATTAAAAGATTAATTTTTCATAAAAATATTGATAATATTCATAAAATAAACACCAGCAACAAAAAATATAACATTATAACACATTTATTCTTCCACCACGCAATTTAGGTTGCGGCCGCAACAAAGTGTGTTGACGGCTTTGAACGCGGCTCAACCAATCAGAATCAAGGACAAGAACTGTACGTTTTAAAAAAAATAATTCAGTATCTCAATATAATGGTTAGCAATAACAATTTGGCTTATACAAATGTCAGCATATTAGATAGGATGAACAATTCATTATGAGTTTGCATCTGTCATGTGATCAAGACCAACTTAGATAATCAGATACACAAGTGACTGCATCTCCAAACATATTGAGTTGCCCATCTATACTGATCTTTTGAGTATTAAATTGATGCACCATCATATCTAGGTATGATAAACCAGCAGTATGATGCTACCTAGGTTTTGAGACACAGCCACAAAGTGTAATGACTTCCCTGCAGTGACATCCTCTCACACATCGAGTGTGTGAGAAAGTGAACATTTCATTAAAATGATGGTGAGGTTTCTTTAAGACTAAAGCCTGTATCCCCACTGAAACCTCATACCACCCACACCTACAGTAGTTATATTGGTATGCTTGAACAAAAACTCTTTCGGTTTAGGTAAGTCTATAGGTTTGTTTGACAGGACACTTGTCCCGAGGGATACTTACACAATTACACTCTTTGCTTGGAATCCAGCAATGATGCAGGCGACAGGTATTGTGCAATAACATAAAAAGCTTGTGCATTGTAAGATCCATAAACAGAAACAGTGTCCCTCTGGAAGTCTCCAGAGTTTCACTGTCTTGTTGGACACAGGTTGATGCAATGATTTCATTAAAAATGCAAGGAAAATCAATTCTTCTCCTCGGACACAAGCCATTTTTCTGCAGCCAAATTGTAACACATTGTTTTCAGATGGCAAGAGCGATTTGTTGTGATGCATCATCAGCTGCTGTTTGGAAAAGAGACGGACGTGTATGAACAGGAATTTCGCAGTAATACATAGATTCTGCAGAGCAACAGACGTAATGCAAATCATATATATATATATATATATATATAAATTTAAAAAATATATATATAAATTAATATATATATATATATAAATAAAAAATATATATAAATATATATATATATATATTAATTTATATATATATATATATTTTAATTTTTAATTTTTTAATTAATATATATTTTTATATATATATATATATATATATATATATTTATATATATATATTTTAATTTATATATATATATTTTTTAAATTTATATATATATATATATATATATATATATATATAAATAATAATTAAAAAAAAAATATATATATATATATATATATATATAAAATAAAAAAGCTATGGAAGGCCAAATAAAATAACTTAAATTAAATAAATATATTAATAAAGGTTAAAATATTTAAATAAACACTATTTGAAGTATTCCAGTATTTGAAATTATTGTTTATTTAAATATTTTAACCTTTATATAGATTTATTTAATTTAAGTAATTTTATCTGGTCTTCCATAGCTTTTAATATATATATATATATATATATATATATATATATATATATATATATATATATATATATATATATATTTAATAGTATAATATATATAATATATAATATTTATACCATACAAATACTTAAATAAAAATGAGAAATGGCGGTTTGGCAACTAACAAAAAAAAAAAAAAATAGAAGTACTAAAATGACTAAAAGTAAAATCAAATAATAATTTGATAAATGAAAGCCAAATAGAAACATTAAAATAAAAATGATAAGCTAAAAAGCTACTTCAAAATATTAATACAGCAATATATAAATAATACTAAAACAACACTGCTTCAGTTCACATATTCGTGTCTGTGTGTGTTTAACGGCCAAAATGTGTCTCTGTGGTTCTGGAGAATAATTTAAACAGAACAAAACCTCCTAAAGTTGGAAGGTCCTGAAGGCTAAATCATCATGAACAACTGGATCTAACTATTTGTGTGTACATTTTGGCACCTGTGTTGGACTCTTAATGAAGTCCTTCAAACAAAATGAAGAGTCAGAAATGTTTTTGGTTTTCCCATTTTTTTTTAATTGAACATTAAAACACTTTTCCATGAGCCTCCAGCTTCAAGACTCAGCAGAGTGCATGTAGACAATGAGTGTAAAGCAGCTTTCATCCACACACACACACAAATCATCATCAACACCAACAACAACAATCCTCAGCAATATATATCTATATATCTTAAAGAACCCGTCACCATCATCTAACAATAATAATAATAATCATCAGACTGCCTCATAACACAAGCAAAGACCGTGTGTGTGCCGTAACACCGACCCCATAGAGGTCTCGGTTATAAACGTCCAACGCCTTTATCCTTTAACAACAAAATGACAGAACACACAGGTAACATCATAACCAAAGTGGAGTGAAGTTCAAGCACAGAATAAAACATGGAATGGATTCCGAACCTGAAGAGAGAAACTGGTGTGTTGGAGAAACAAGCTATCAGAAATCGAGCCTCGAAAAAAATCTGAACAATCAAGGACAATTTACGAGAGCGTTCTGACAGGGTGTTTCCATTCATAATTATATGTACTATAAAATGTATGTATGTCACACAGATCCTTTAAAAAAAGCCATTGACTCGTTAGGAAAAATACATTTAGACATACATCAGACTCAACACTTTTATAAAGAGCAACGGATGCAGTTTCTCACAAATGGAAATGCCTTTAACCATCTCAGCAGTATTATCACCTGATTTGAAGCTGACAGATGACCCAGCGTCCAATTTAACACTTCGGCCACATCCTGATGAGACGTCCCGGGACCGCAAACTCTGGAATGTTCTAGAAAGTAATCACAGGATGAATAAATAAAAGCCATAGCAAGCTAAAGGGAAAAGCAAGGCGGAGGGGACGCACTTTAACGCTGTCCTGCGATATGTACAAATGCGCATGGTCCCTTTATTATGATGCGCTAGCGGCATTCGAACCCTAAATCTCGACTGAAAGGGAATAAAAACATACACCAGTCACCACATGGCTGGGGGTCAAACACCACCACCATCGCAAGCATAAGCATGACCTGAGGAACACGATATTCCACTCACCGGCGTTCATGCAGTTACAGGGGAAACAAATTAAAGGGATAGTTCACTTTGAAATGAATTTTTGATATGTTTTATCTTACCTCAAGGGCATCCTTTGCTTCCACAGTATTTTCAATTTTGACATTTTTCAGTCAAACCGTTGTTGTCTATCAGTCATACACTGGAGGCTAAGGGGGTCCACCAAAGAGCAGCACAGAGAAGTCCAGATTAAACATGATTTAATGACTCGTAAATGTAAGTACACATTGATGGCCTAAGACACGAAACGAGCGGTTTGTGAGAGAAAACCAACAGTATTTATATCGTTTTTACCTCGTGTAATCACAGTGATCTGAATCAGTTGTTCAATGTCCAACTGAACCGAACTGAATCAGTTCAATGTTACGCCGGAAGTGATCGCTTGCGTGTGACGTCACTCAATATTTACACGGAGATTTCGGAAGTTTTACCTTTTACTAAACATATTTAGATATACCGAAATCGTCTTCCATTGCGGTTTCCCGTATATCTAAATATGTTTAGTGAAAGGTAAAACTTCCCAAATCTCTGTATAAACAAAGAGTGACGTAGCGATCACTTCCAGACCGAAGCGCCCGTGCCGTCAGATCATTGTGTCATGACTGTGGTTAAACGAGGTAAAAACGATATAAATCCTGTTCGTTTTCTCACACAAACCGCTCGTTTCGTGTCTTAGGCCATCAATGTGTACTTACATTTACGAGTCATTAAAGGATTAGTTCACTTTTGAAAAAACTTTTGCTGATAATCACCCCGTGTCATCCAAGATGTCCATGTCTTTCTTTCCTCAGTCGAAAAGAAATGAAGGTTTTTGATGAAAACATTCCAGGATTTTTCTCCATATAATGGACTTCAATGGGGTCCAAACGGTTCAAGGTCCAAATGAGAGTTTCAGTGCAGCTTCAAATGTCTTTAAACGACACCAGACGATGAATAAGGGTCTTATCATGTGAAACTATTCCAAAAATGTAACTTTTCTAAGGACAAATGCTAGCCTTGCTCTATTCTGTGAGGCGCGTTTGTAACGTCACGTAATACGGAATTACGTTCAAAAGGTCACGGGCGACGTAGCTGGAAGTGCAGAGTCAAAATCGCCCGACATCGTTGTTTTACCTTTTAATTCATTTTTTTGTAAACGGCGTTTGAGTTAGTTTCACGTTCAACCTATGCGATCAACTTGTAAACACTGATTCTGTACTTCCGGCTACGCCGCCCGTGACCTTTTGAACGTAATTACGTATTACGTGACGTTACAAACACGCCTCACAGAATAGAGCAAGACTAGCATTTGTCCTTAGAAAAGTTACATTTTTGGAATAAGCTTTGAAATAACCGATCGTTTCGCATGATAAGAACCTTATTCATCGACTGGTGTCGTTTAAAGACATTTGAAGCTGCATCTGAAACTCTCGTTTGGACCCCATTGAAGTCCATTATATGGAGAAAAATCCTGGAATGTTTTCATAAAAAACCTTCATTTCTTTTCGACTGAAGAAAGAAAGACATGGACATCTTGGATGACACGGGGGTGAGTAAATTATCAGCAAAAGTTTTTTCAAAAGTGAACTAATCCATTAAATCATGTTTAATCTGGACTTCTCTGTGCTGCTCTTTGGTGGACCCCCTTAGCCTCCATTATATGACTGATAGACAACAACGGTTTGACTGAAAAATGTCAAAATTGAAAATACTGTGGAAACAAACACACCTACATCTTGGATGCGCTTGAGGTAAGATAAAACATATTAAAATTAATTTCAAATCCCTTTAAGTAATAAGTTCGTACGGCACTACCTCAGTGTCGAGTCTGACGCTGGACACACTCCACAAACACACCAAACCCAAAACAGGCATCATTTCTTGTTTCCGTCTGCACAGATACGCTCTTTTCTCCAGGCTTGAGTCATGAAAGGAGCGTTTGGACCAAGCAGGGGCTGAGGGAACGTAAGTCGGGGTATTGTGTACGAGCAGCTGGGAAATCTTGGGCAAGGCAAGATTACAAATGACCAGCAACGGTGAATGTACAAAACGCCCATAGGCACCTCTCAGAAAAGTGCAAGGCTCTCCATTTTATTTACCAACTCCAGGCGTTCACAATCCATCAGTCAGATCGCCTCATGGCCTTAGGAGGCGAGCTGGAAGAAAGAAACTCTATTATACACCCTAGTTTTGTTATAGTTATCCCAAAAACTTCTCCGCTGACTCGGTATCTATAAACGCACGGTGTTAATTCGCAAGGGCTGCACGTTTTTTCCATTGGCGTGACTTTGACCGGGACTGAAGTATGGGAAAAGTTTGGCTTGAAACTTCTCTCGGTAGGTGTAGAGCCAGGACATGTCGTCGGCGTTGTAAAACACCAGCAAACCTTTGGGGTAGTCCAAGTAGACGCCCACTTTCTCGAGCTTGCTCTTCACGTTGAGGCGCGTCCAGGGCTCGGTGCAGGCGCTGTATTGGTTACCGTCGTGCATGACGATGCAGTAGAAGCCTCGGCTGGGTTGGATCTGAATGCTGCCCTTGCGGTTCACCGTCTCATTGGCCACACCGATCATCCACTGGGTTTTCTCGGACACCATCACTTCCCAATAGTGCACGCCCCCGGAGAAGCCCTCGGCACCCAGCACCGAGACCTCCACGTCGAAGCGGCGCGGCGAGTCCTGAAGCGGCTGTGGGTGCAGGTTCCCGTACGCGACGATGGTGCAGTCGTCCGACAGTATGAGGCGCTGGTGAGCAGTGATGGGGTCCATGGTTAAAGCCGCAGGCACTGTGAACGTCAGGAGAGACGAAATGAAGATCAGTGCATCCAATAAGCTTGTTACATCACATCAAAACAAATAAAAATAAATAATTGTATAAAAATTAGGGATGTCACAATCTCTCATTGTGTGAGAGATTACTTGCTCCAAGTGAGAATGTTACAGTAGTGTGAAATTGAACACCGTATATGCCAACATAAAAAATAAAAAATAAATAAAAAGCAAGCCGATCCACTTTTCCATGTTGATAAGAGCATTAAATTGAGAAAAAAAAAAAAAAAATGGGACAAAAAGAAATCAAGAGACATTTAAAACAGTGACATTTTAATCGCGAGTTAACTTTGACATTATTAATGCGATTAATCGCGATTAAATATTTTAATCGTTTGACAGCACTAAAAAAAATACATAATATACATTAACCATAGATGCATACCTTTTATATTAAATGTCAATATTATAATTGAGCCTTCGCTAAGCTCCGCCCTCCCTAGTTACTGTTGCTACAGTGAGTATGCACCGGTGTCAGACATTCCTAAGATAATTAGTAATTTTGGCGAACATGTGAAATATCTGCGAGCAAGACAGAAGGGACTGCAGTATTTCATTTAAGGGATATATCCACGACAATATATGCAAGCGATAATTTCTTAACGTTATAGTCCCAGCTCCTCATATGCGGACCATTCAAATGCGAAACACAAATCGTGCAAAGCAGGTTATGTGAAAATAATCCTAATAATTATAAATCAAACTACTTATCTATAAATCTTGTGGAATAACACTAACAGCGGGAGAGCCGCGATCGGATTGGGTTAAAGTTACTTAGTCAGGGGTAGTAGCTTACAGGCCGTCGATTAACAAAATGCTGAAATATATTATGAAGTATGTCAGTGAGCCTCTGTCTTATCTTTAATCGTCTTATTTAACGGTAAAATATATGCATTATGACCAAAGAACCAATAGGTATTTTTGTTAATCCTGTTATCTTTGGACAGTGTTTTTGTTGTAAAAGGGGTTATTAAGGCCTGTTCACACCGGGACGAATTTCGCGCGCGTTATTCGTCGACGTTTAACGCCTCGTGACTAAACAATGGGCGCCAATGTGAGTGTTCACACCGACGCGAAAAACGCCACGCGTAAAAGCGTCATTTTTAAAAAAAACGCCTCGGGTTCGTTTTTTTTGTTTGCTGCGCCGCGTCAAAACCTATCCGACCAACGAGATTGGCGGGTTTGCTCACGTGTCTGGTACTCCTGAAGTTACAGTAAAACACAACTTGAGGGCGCTCAAACACAAAACGGTCTTGAGCACACATACGGCGAAGAAGAGATACGTTACCTATGGGCAAGATGAATGTTGAGCTGCTGCTCTCGGAGCATAAAGAGCTGTATGATAATATTTATATTAGTATTTCTGTAATAATAGTATAGTATAGGGTGACCAACAGTCCTGTTTTCCCGGGACATGTGTAAAACGGTCACTTTGTGCTTTATAGAAATCTGAGTTGTCAGTTAGATTTTGACAAGTGAGGAGAGGAGAACCGCTCTGCCGACTCTTTGTATTCTTTCTTTTATTTTATTTTTCTATTGTGACCAGATGTTTGTTTGTGTTTTTTTTTCTCTCGCTTGATCCCCATGTATGAGGACGAGTGTAACGTTTGAGTGGTTTTATTAAACGCGGGGAAATACGACAACTCTCGTCTCTCGTGCATCTGTTCATCCGACAACGGCTATGTTTTTATCTCTGGGCAACATCTCAACTTTGCGTTACACATGTCCTGTTTCCACGTCCTGTCCTGACTGTTTTTAAGTGATGAAAATGTCCTGGTTTTCAAACAAAAACTGCTGGGAAAGATCAGTTCTACAGCAAAATATAGATGGGCAAACAAGGTGGACGAGGAAGAAAAACAAGATAAAGAGAATGAAAACTAAAGATATAAATAGATTTTGTTAGAGTTCGTTTTTGTAAGTTTGTGAGAGCTATTTTTTGTTACATTTGGAGGCATTTCTTTTAGTTATTTATTATTTATATATTTATTTTTCTAATAGAGAAGACATTATTTCTATCATTATTTCATTCGTTTTTTTTCTATCTGTCATAATAAAACATTGAGACATGAATATGATCACCCTAGTATAGTATTCTATTATTATTTCTGTTTTACATTAAGCGCCATCTAATGTCAAGGAATGAATTTGCATGTTCACTTGGCTCATCGTCAGCGAAAAACGCTTGGGTGTGAACACAAAAAACGCGTTGAAAAACGCTGACGAATAACGCGCGCTGATATTCGTCCCGGTGTGTACGGGCCTTTAGGCAAAATAAGTCTTGACTTCAGCCTAAACCCCTTCGGTCAGGTATTTATTAGCATAAAAAAAAAAAAAAAATCCTAATGTTTTTATTTTTCTGACGTTTTTCAATCATCTTTTCCTTTTCTATTTTGTTTCATTGTTTTTTTATGTGTTTGTTGTTTTTTTTTGCATTGTATTATGTGCAGGATTTTTTTGCATCACATATGATCTCTAAATGACTGACCGAAGAAATAAATAAATACAAATACAAATACTGTCGACATTTAGATGTGAATGGGTCTCCCACACTGCTCGATCACGCCCATCATTTCTCCCCGCGGCTTTTTAGATTTTCGGGAGGGAAAATAATCCCACTCCCCCATCCAAACTTTTAGGATACCGGGTATCAGATTTGCACAATCCATACGCTCATAAACAATACCATGTTTCCATCGCTCGAAAACTTGCCAGACCTCCCGCGCCTAGTTACGGTTGCTAAGACATGATTGGCCAGTGGAGGTTTTCAGGCGTGGCTTAGCGAAGGGTCAATTGTATATGCCATAATACATACTGACAATCATGACTACTATCTTGAGTGTGAATCAGGTTTTCAATAATTCAACAGTCATAGTCCCATCATCAACTGTTCCTGAACATATCACTCGCCTGTTATTGGTCTTTTAAGCTTTCCAGATGTGCAGATCTGTTTTGCTTTGGGCATCCATAAGCACTTAGTGGGCTGTTATATCATTGTCTCTCTCTCTTCCAGACTTATCAATGAGAAACTGGCTCAATGAAAGCTAAATAAGCAGCTTGAAATGAATGGTTTTGGAGGTCATTCTTGTCAATCAAAAGCGCTGACACAATCACTACCTGAGCTGGTGGAATAATACTCGTCTGAAACACAAACACACTCCCTCTAATTCATTACCGTCAGGTCATTTCAAGCGCACACACTTTCAGATGCATCCAGTAATCGTAATAAGCGTACAGGGCAGTGTGGGTTTCAGTACTGGCGCTTCTGCCAGGCATTGAGTACTTTGTTGAAAAAGGGTAAATAAACCACCCATCCATCAACCGCTGCCTGGCTGGTAAAGCCTGGAGCAGACCGTCTGCAGTGCCCATTATGGTGCCAGCTTGCTGTGGGTTCAATGGCGAGCAAGTGTGCCAAACTATGAACCCTGGAGAAAAAAACAAGCTTCAAAAACATTGGACACATGCCACTTAGCGAAAAGAGTCCAAACTAGCCTGGACCTGAAAGAGAAACCCGAGCCAAGCAGTTGCAGCACATTACGACATGCGGGACGCCAAGACATAATTCTGGAAAGCCGAGCTATGATTAACTATATATCATGTTTATAAGGCATGTGGGGAGAAAATGAAGCTGAGGGTAAAGAATGCTTATCTGAAGCAATCACTTATGTTGTGCATTCTTTAGTGCTCCTGTATTAGGGATGCCAACCGTTCCGTATAATATAATACGGAATCGTTCCGTATTTGTCACATAAAAGTCTTGTTCCGTATTGAACTGATCCGGAACGCACTTTGTTCCGTATTTTTGAGAATCAAGTCAAGTCAAGTCACATTTATTTATATAGCGCTTTTCACAATACAGATTGTATCAAAGCAGCTTCACACTGATAGCATGAAAGTAGCACAACACAGGATCAACAACATTGCTAAACAGTTCAGTGCAAATGCATGACAGACACATCTTCTAATATATCTCAGACAGACTATGAATGAAGACCTCACCAGTTGAGCCACTCCACTCGTGATGGACTAGTTTTACCGCAAATTAGTTAAAATATCCTTTAATCTAGAGCGATCTTGTCTGCGAGCTTGAGCTTCTAACGGCGCGGAGGCAAAACCAGGACTGGAGTCAGATAGGGCTGTATTCAACCAAAGAAATCCTTAGTCGACCAAAGTCGAGTCCTGCGCAACGATTAGTCGACTAAAAAAAAAAACAAACAAACAAAAAAAAAACGTGATGTTTTGATTAAACATTTTTTAAACAATTGTCATTGAGCATTTATAAAACAACAACGAAAAAACATCACAAATAAATAAAACTATAATAATAATACAATTCTTTGAAAATTAAGTGATTTTTTTAACTGCAAAAAGTGAAGCGCTCTGTCCTCGGTCACAATCGCGCACCTGACCACACCACACGCTGCAAAACATATAACTGCTATCTGCCACATCAGGAAAAATCCCAACAAAAGCTCTCGTTTATACAGGCTTTATATTCTTCTTTACTTTCAAAGCTATGGGTTAACTTTCGTCCTGACGATCAAGGCGTTTTAAAACAACACACAAAAAACCCAAATAACTTAAAAACAATCCTAATAATAGGCTGTAGGACCGCGTATAGGTTTATTTTCGTTTTGTTGCATTATTTAGGCTATTTTCAAATGCGTCAAGTGTACAAATAAAAACGAAAACATTAAGAAAACACAATCTATTGCGTCAGCATGATAAAGCCGTTAAAAGGCTGCTCACGTCTTTTGCGCGCTCAAGTTCGATTTCAAATGTAGGCGCGCGACTTGCGCGCTCATAATGGAGCAACGCGATCGCCCTCCACAGTCTTGTCGTCTTTGTTTTAAAATGCAGCCAGACAAAAGATTTAGATTTCCTGGACATTTTGTCGACTAAAGCCAAAACAAGCAGCGTTCTAACTGAATGAATACAGCATCCCTTACCGAGCGCGAGC